TTTCTAGAGGCGAACCGCGGTTAGAGACAAACGAAACTTGGAGAGACAGGGAGGGGTTAGAAACGGAACTGATACTGGTACTCGCACGGTACTTGTACGGTACTTGTACAGCTGTCAAAAGGTATCCACTTGGGTCACATAAAGTTGGGCTGCAAATGTGCCGGAGAAGTGGATCCTCTTTTGGGAGCAAGTGGACACTTGGGGTCGGAGACCACGGAATTCTGGAGACATGGGATTTGGATATCGATGTTTCTATTTCCATGCAGTTTCGGAAGGCAGGAAGTGGTTTGTTGAGGCGTTGAACTTGTCTCAATAGACCTAAGTTTAGTTGAAAGCTAGTCGAGCCGAAACAGAGAGGCCGGTTTCAATCTTGCTGCGAGTACCGGTAGTAGAAACTGAAGTGGAACACAACCTCTACGACTAAGACAGAAAGTGTCCGTCAAGACTGTCTCAACCTCATTTCCGACTCTGAACTATCCCCAGAGAACCTGACGACTTGTATGTACTTGTAGGTATTACTTGTACGTCCATTCGGCACTCAGCACGCGACCGCAAAGTCTGTGCCACGGTCAGACAGTAGACTCACGTCTTGGTTAAAGTCGTGTCACCCACTTACCGACTTTTCCGCTGCAAATCTCTACTGAAAATTCGCTGGCTGCACCACCTCTGATGTTCTGGCAAATACTTCGACTTTTCAACATCCAACCAAAGAAAGACGCGGTTCTTCACATTGTTGAGAGACAAAGCGACAAGCGACAATTCGACTTTCCATTCCAACTCCAACTTCAACTCAACTTTTTCTACCGAACGACCTTCCTCTTCTCTCTCACCATCGTCCACTGTGCCCATTGATGGATGTAGGGTCGTAGAAGCGGTAGTAGCTGATGAAATCCTCCATGGTCCGTGCAGCCAACGCCCAACGCTTCATTCTTCCAGTGTAGTAGTCCAATGAACATCCGGCCAACCACGTCCATCCAATAACAGACTGTCCAACACCAGCCCCCTAAAGTCTCGAGCCCCGTATACGGACACGTTCGTATTACTGACTACAGTGCCCGATGGCTGCCTAGTCCACATTTTAAAAACGCCGTTTACAAGCCACAACGGCGAAAAACCGGTTCGAAACCGGTTCGAAACCGTACGGCACTCATCCTTTATCTAACTCCACACAACAGGCAACCATGCAACCCTGGGTAAGCACACTACGACTCCCCGGTACGAGTACGAGCACGGAGACTGTGTGGCGGCCCAATCCTCTGCCAAATAGACAGAGTTAATCTCCGATATTTCGCCCCATGCCTGGCCAATGTCATACGACATTCATAGATCTACACCGGTTGCACGAAAAGAAATGCTGGGGATCCAAAGCTTGACAGACATGACTGACCAACGGGCCAACAGCTGAGCGTAACATGTTGAATGGAACAACCAGAGCGGACTATACTGAGCGGCCATTTGCAGTTTGCAGTTTGCAGTTTGCAGTTTGCAGTTTGCAGTTCGCAGTTCGTACCTGAACTTGTTCCCCCGTCCTTTTCCGGATTTATCAACATGGTCACGTATCTATTTCAGACCTTTCCATCGCCGGATAGATTGATTTAGTGCATCTTTCACTTTGACACCGAGTCTTTTTCTGAGTCTTTTCATTTCTGCTTGTTTTGGCAGATCTCTACATCGTACCTTGTAGACCCTTTTTTTTTTTTTTTTTTTGTTTTTGGTTGGAAAATTGTCATATGGCACTTTTTTATAATTTTTGTCTCCATGGATGCACCCACGTTGCTTTTTCCGTTGAAAGTCTGAATCCTGCATGTTCATTTGGTTGGGCAGGATACATGAGACATGCACGTGATCGGGCATGGGGAACAGACTACGTCCGCGTCACGTGAGAGGGAGGCGTAGCAGGGAAAATAAGGCGATCTTTTTTTTCGAGCGGTCAGCGAGTAAAAAAACAAAACAGACTCGGCGCACTAGTCCCCGGGTCGGGTGCAGCAGCGCATACGAGCCATCATGTTGGCCTGATGTGGGTTGCCTAGTCCGTATTTTATTTCCGGATTTTAGCTTGTGTAACGACAAGGGTCCTTGCATAAACCTTATTTAATTACAACGCACGTGCACATTCAAACCTTGTGTTTTGAGCGGGTAAAACAAGGTTATGGCAGTGCAGACAAGGAGCGGAAGTAAATAATTAAATATCAAATAAATGACTCTTATTCAATTAGATGAGTTGAATTAAAAAAGTTAAAAAACCAGAAAACCAAAAAACAACAAGAACCAACTGGGGGATTGAAAGATTTCCCCTATTTCGCTATCCCCTCAATCTGGATAGATTCGCTCAACTCTGTTTCACCTATTAAAGCCCGAGCTTAATCGAGTTTATAGCCCCTGATGATCAGCAAACAAGGACATGCAGAGATGCGGACCCACAAATTAGCTGCAACGCTGCAACGTACGGGTGGGGGCTCCCCAGAGCACCATTGTGGATTATAGGGTTAGGAAAAGGTAAAAACGCATGTAGGTACAAACGGTTGAAACAAGATATGAGAGCCGGATTAGGGTAAATGTTAGGGCTGATTGCCCAAAGCGTGGGCCGAGGTAGGGAATGTGGCTATAACAGATGGTGCCTGAAGTGTGAAACACGAGCAGATCGGCTGGTGTTAAAGGGGTTGGAATGGGTAGGGGAGGGGATGTTGGGATTGGGGGGTTCGAGGGGGTAGTAGTATGGTTTGAAGTGGCTGTTGTATGGTTGGAACTGGCTGTTTATGGTGGCAATATTTTTGTTTGTTTTACTCCATTTTAATCTGATTTATCTGATTTATCTGATTTACTCATTTAACCGCATTAATTAAAGGATAAATCGCAGCAAAATCCCGGCTGCATTGGTGACCCATTATAGCAGCCTGGATCCACTTTGGTCGTGGCCACAAAGAGGCCACACGGCCTGTCATTTTTTGGACCCTGTATTTTAGCCCTTTTGGGCTCACCATTGTGGTGCATCAGGTTTTTTATTTAGTTTTTTTTATTATTGTTTTTTTAAATCACATTGTCTGTGAAAGGCGGTGCAACTAAACGGAGAAGGAATGGGCTTTTTTCTTTCAAATTTTTTAATTTTTTAATTTTTCAGTTTTTTTTCTGGAAAAGCAAGGATGAGACACCAAACGAGACAAGTAAAACAAATGAGACAAGCCATCATCGGTCTTGTGCGCCTACAAAGAAACAAACGAAAAGAAAAAGAGAACCAACGCCGGCAAACAAGCATATATCGAAATCACAATGGTGGCCAGCATGGTTCTAAGCATATTCAGGGGCGAGGGGGAGATGACAGGGTCATGTGTGCGAGTACATGAAGATGAAGAGGGAGACGAAGAAGTGCAAGAGTAAGTGGAATTACAGATGCTATGAGCGGTTTTTGGCTTAATTTTTCTTTCGAATCCAGGACCCACACACTTTGAAACCCGCCCCCCCTATTTGCCTATTCCTGCAGACGAATTTGGGGTGATTCAGAAATTGTCGATCGGGGGAAATGCACGGTGGATACTTGTAGGGAATATGATTCGGGCCCGGCGAGGCGCATGGCTGCTGCGGGGCGAAATTAGACCTTGGCTGTGCGCAGCTCGCGGTTTAGTGCTTTGTATTATGTCATTTTCAGGGCTGGGGCACTGGACCATCTGGTCCCATAGACTTGCTTTTTATTGTCAGCAGAATTGCAATTTATTAATATTAACTATTTAATTTAAAAAGAGGGAAATGACAGAAAATTGAAGAAAATAGGGGAAAAAAGACGAAGACAAGATGGCGAATTGACGAGATGACGAATTGACGAGATGACGAATTGACAAGATGACGAGATGACGACGACGATGATCACAGGACGACGACGACATGATGACTCGACCCTCCCCGAGACACTACGGCAACCCGTTGTCATTCCCAACTGTTTATTTCCTCCACGCAATAATATCCTCGTGGACGTTTAATTGCAATAATAAAGGACCAAGCCAACTTCCCCAACTGTCATCTAACCCATGGCTGCCTTTTGCAGCGACAGGCTGCCTACAGGGGTAGATCGGACCACCACCTGAGATCCTCACACAATACCCACCAATAAATCCAACTCCGCTAACAAAGCCCCGCCCCAATGGCCCTTAATAGTCCCCTCGCACCTCTTTCCGCTCCTACACACAGCCTATAGCGCACTTTAGCCCAGATCCGCATCGCCCCCTGTCGGCACCTGTTACAAGCACCGAACCACCTACCTGCAATTACAATGGTACAATGGAACCGTGACGCTCGCCTCGCTCGCTTGCTGAAACAAACAGCCACAAAGCCAGCTAATTTGCTGTCCGCTCTCCCAGGCCCGGCCTGCTTATTATCGCCGGTATTATCCTCCCTGAAATATTGTTAAAATTACCCCGTCCGTTTTATACGCTAACTCCACAACCCAGCCTAGCGGCACGTTAGCGGTTTCAAACGGTACTAAGCCACTAACGATTCAGGGCGGCTACGGCGGCACTAAATCCGCAGCCCAGACAGCCGAAATCCGCGCCCAAATCACGTGCTCGCCTGAGCTTTAGCCTCCCACTAGAGACCCTGAACAAGGCATCTGTACAAGGTCATGCATAGATGACGGCGCCGGTTTGGGAAAACGCAGGTGGACGATCATCCTGAGAAGGCGGAGACAAGCGGAGACCTCTCCGTTGTAAGCGACACATCTGACGCTTGTCAGAAACGTCCTCAAATCACCCACCCGGACCCCCCTCCCCGGACGGATTCGTACCCCTACAGTAGCCCAAACATACACCAGTGCAATTAGATGCATGGGCTTGTTTCAGAGGTAAACTACAAGAGCACACTCAAGTAATGTGCCGAGTCCAGCCACCCGCAGTGCTCCCGAAACACCCCCGCCATGACTCATATCCTTATCAATACATTAATAATACACATGTCCAAACCCAGCCGGGCTGTGGACAAGACGTCCCCATAGTCGGAGATCCATGGTGTGGGTCCTACAAATTAGTGGTTCCCTCAACCTCCAACTGATCCAGAATGGCCTCCTTGATATTCTCGTCAATATCGATATCGTTCAAATCAAACGAAACCTGCAGCCCCGTCCTCGTCACCGGACTGAACTGCATTTCCTCGGTCACAACCGTTTTCTTGCCTTGACCAACCTTGAACCACTCAGACACCGACGGCTGCGTCAGCTGAGGCACAAACCGCACGCCCGTCAGAGGCTCCACAATGTAGCCCTTGGGGTCAGCCTCGCGTCGCTCCTCCAGCAACGACGAGTTGAAACGCGAAGCGGCTAGAGCGTGGTCATACATCCAGTGTGGCGACAGCTGGGCTCCAATCGCCTTCCGACGCTTGGGAGGCGCCTGCGTGATGGGCGGAGGCATAATGGGCACAACAGGCACAGATGCTGCTCCGAGACCTCCAGCGCCACCGAGCCACGCTACGTAATGGTCCTTTGAGTGCTCTCGGCCCTGGTTGAACGGATCATCGGGGTCCGCAATCTCACCCTCCACACTGCCAGCGTCAACGGCCTCCTGTACGTAGTAGTCGTCGATAATCTTCTTTCCTCCAAGCACAATCTTGGCTCCAAACTCTCGGAACACAGACCGGGCAGTCACAATACCAATGGACCGGCCCTTGTAGGAGTGGGGGATGATGTCTCGCTCAATTAGATCAAACTTCTCGCCTTCATCAGCAATCACCTTGTGCAGACGCCGGTGTTTTTGGAACAGCAAATACGAGTCTCGGAAACCCATACATCGAGCAGGCTCGGTCGACAACATGTACAGTCGTCGGCCTCGTCCCAGCACCGTGAATGTTCGCACTCGGTACTCTCGTCCTCCCTGCAGCTCTCCCAGCTTGTTGACCTTAACCTCGCCGGCAGGATCTTCGGGGAGCAGCAGCTCATCATCCTCCACGGGGTAGGGGTTTCCGTTTTCATCCCGCGGTACCATGACGAGATGGGACGTTCCTCCTCGCGAGCCTCGGCCTCGGGCGGCCCATCGGGCTGATCCAGACCGCATTGCTCCTCCAGCGCCTCCAGGTCCGAATCCTCCAACGGCGGAAAACGACGTCAGCTTGAGAGCCTCCTCGTCCTCCTCCATTTCGCTCTCCCGCACGAGTGTGGCCTTGTTTTTAGATCCCGGGGGCCGGCCTCGCTTTCGAGGTGCTGGAGTGGCCGGTTTGGTCTCCTCGTCGCCATCCAAGGCTGCGCTGCTCTCCTTGGACTTTGGTTTGGGCTGCGGCAGCTTGTCGTCCTCGTCGTCCTCGTGCAGCGCATCCTCGTCCACATCGGGGTCGTTGGGATCGTCGCCAATGTCTGCGGGGTTGATGTTGGTGGCGTCATCACCCGGAGCATCATCACCAGTGTCGTTAGTAGCAGCCGTAGCACCAGCCGCAGCATCAGTGGCGTCAGTCATCTCGATATCCTCCTCCACTTTGGCTGAGGTGGATGTGTTGGCATGGTCGGCGGTGGTTGTGTCTGGCTTTGTGTCTGAGTCACTTTGCTTTGTGTCTGTTGTGTCTGTGTCACTTGGCTTTGTGTCGATCGGCTTGGGTTCCGTCTCCGCGGTTGTCTCCGCCGCAACAGGCACTACCTTGGATACTGGGTCCGACATTGTGGTGATGGTGTGAAGAGGTGGTGTTGATAATTTAGCTTCACGCGTTGGGAGCACGATGGGTTATGAGTGATAGGGTATTTTTCCTCCAGCATTTTTAAGATTTAACGGAATATTTAAAAACAGTAAAAAACAGTAAAAAACAATAAAAAATAAAAAAACCAAAAAAAACCAATAAAAAATCAAAAAAACCAAAAAAAAACCAAAAAAAAAACATACAACGCCCTTTTACCACTGCTCCCCTCTACTAGATCATCCATACTACCATTTTGCAATTTTGTCAACCGCTAGCCGCACTCACCAACACCTTGTCGTCGACTAACCAAAAGAAAACATGGAGATAGAGACGCACTAAAAAGACGAGATTTTTTTCGACACTAAAACAATACGTGGAGGGGTGAGAATGGTTCCACTTTTTTTCTTGCCCGTCTAAAAGTGCATCGAAATCCACTAACGGGAGGGTTGGGGTTCTCAAGGGACGAGCACCACGGCGTCCGGTCAACTGACAGCTGAATGGATGTTCCCGAAATATCTTTCAAACAAAAGTTTCAACTTCTTTTTAGACGACTCCGAATCGCAGTCTCGTACTCCGGTTGAATCACGTGACCAAAACTAAGACGACAGAGGGGATTTTCGCCTCAGTTTTCCCGTTTGCATGTCTTGCACTAGTGATATCTCCGAAATTGAGACCATCCACAGCTCCTGGTAGCTTTCTCAACTCGACATGGTGCTACTGTACGACTATGGTACTGGTGTACTGTGTCTGAAGCACGTTAAATGGGGCCCAGGAGTTGGCTAGCGGGTTCAAGTGGGTTCAAGGGGGTTCGGAATCGACAGTTTATCGATCCGCCGATGCCCGAAAAGTGCCGTCTGCTAAAAACGAGGGTCTCTAAAGCCGTTAGATTGCTAGTCTAATAGCCAACCCCCAGGGCTTCTAGAGCTCCTGGAAACCAGCCATATGGATAAAAAGGCACAAAGAGAGACTTCTGAAGAACTACTTTAGTCATTTTTCCAGTATCTCCGATCCGTGGGGTTATAGCTGTGTGCCCAAGAGGGGGGTGACTGCGATTGGTAGGTCTCAGAGCACCGAACGCAGCTAAAGGACGCAACAAAGCAATGAAAAGAATCAAAAAAGCTGTTCATTCAGCTGCACGATGACTAAAAGACATGCCCTTGTCTTCCACTACTGCAGGTTGATCTCTATTCACGAGTAGATGGCTCGCAGATGACATACAAAGATTTTCGGACCAATACCGTGCTTTGAAGGGATGTACTGAATCGTGAAAAGCTCCAAGACATTAAAAGAGGAGATTATGGGCGGGAAGGATCCAATTTCTCACTTTTACTCAGTTCTAGGGTCCACAAGCGTCTTCTAGACTGGCAATATGACACTAGCCAAAGTTCAGCCATATCTATGTTCGTTGTAGGGTCCAGGAAACACGATATGAGAAGAGGGACTATTAATGCGGGTTTATAGGGTCCTTTAAAACAATCTAAAGAGTGACCCTGCCATTGGAGCGTCTCTGGAGCTATCTAGCGGTGATTTTATTACTCTTCAAGTAATAGCTTAGTAAACTTTGAACTTTAGTTGATACTGGATCGATCTGAGCGATATTTGTTGATGAAATGTTCGAATTTGTCAGAAAAAAAAGAAGAATCAGCTCAAAACAGTACACATGGATCTCCCCATCAACTCATCTAACTCTCTACAGCTCCACCTACCCACCAATACCTCCTTCGGTTCTTACCACCATGCATAAGGTTGAATACGAGCACTATTTTGAGATTAGAGTGACTGACGATCATGATGTTCTCTCTTTTGAGAGTTGTCATGCGTCCGTGTTACTTTCCTCCATGCTCTGCGTTGCAGTATGTACTAGTTGTGGGTCTATGCAGTTTTATGGCGACCATTTATGTGCAGTACAGTGTACGATACATTCAAGGTGGATGCTGCTCCTCCCTAAGGCGGTGGTTGGGCTCGGGGATTGACTGTGCGAACCGAGGCATGCCAAATACGTCATTGCATGTCTTTACCCTGTTTTTTTGGCGTCAAATACGGGGTACCTTTGTAGTTTGCAATACCGTACAGTAGCGTGTAGCAGTAGTCTTGTATCCCAAGCTAACAGAGCCGTATACGCCAACATGGGAGTCGAAGAAGCGAGAATGGCCTGATGAAAATCTCCAAATCTCTCAAAAATATATCGTTTAGATCCGATTCTGTCCTAACCTGCTCACGACTAAAACTCTCGCTCAAACCTCTATGCGCATAGTATGGAACATTAACCCAACTTGTTGTGCAGACAGTATGATAAGTTAGGGCGTTCACGTGACCGCAGAGGCTTGTGTTTATCGCCTTTTGTTGAACCTGGGCCAACTTTCCGCAGTCTCCAAGCTAGTCCGAGCACGATGCATGTCAGGAGAGGTTCTGTATGCATTCGTACATTAGTCGCTATTCTGTACTTGCCTATAGCATCAAGGTCAGTTGGCGGTTTGCAGAGTGCTTATCGAGGGTTTCCGAGGGTTTCCGAGGGGTTCCGAGGAGTTTCCCACTGGTATTACTTGTTCCTTACGGAACCATGACTTCGACAACGATTCCTCTGACTCCGAAATACGGGGTGGTTAGCTCGTGGTCAAAGCTATAAGCCTTAACACAACCTAAACAGCGGGGTTAGTGGAATGTTTGCCGCTTTAGTGTGCAATAACTGCTTCTTTTTTTCTTTCTCTGCTGTCCATAAAAGGGCTTGGGGTGGAGGTGCCCGCCGCCCAATAATCATAGAGCAGAACAAGAGCAAGATGTAATCCCGGGCGGGAACCACGGATCTGGCTTGTATACTGCTTATTTCGCCCCTTGCGTTTCGTCATTCTAGACCACAGATCTAGCCCACAATCATGACCCTTGGAGTTGGAGGACACAGTGTACGAATTGCGTACAGTACAGTACTAATTGTTGCCGTACTGTTTGCACTAGCCCCGACTGTGAAGGAACAATGAACAACTTGTAGTGATGAACGGAGCCCGGAAAAAAAAGACTACCCACCCTCCGACAGTTCCATGGTACTTCTTTGCGTCGATTGCAGCTAGGGTGCAAGCCGGTCGTGTGCAGCGGCGGCGGTGATTACTTGTGTCCGCGGAGGTTCTTTGGCGGTGACCACCGGCGTTTGGGGGCGCCTGGGCTATGGTCCAGATGCTCTTTTGGGACCTCTTGGCCCGCTAGAGTTCTGTGAGTAATCATGACAGGGTATTTGCTTTTTCTGGGGGAGGAACAGGGAGTGCATTGGGCTGGTTCTGTCTTATCAGACAGCAAAGCAACTGTGCGGTCCTGCTGGACGTCAACCTCCTCAAACGAGCAAGAGGTCTGGCGACCTGACCATACCACCGGCGGTTGTCGCCCCCGACTTGCACAGCTATCGTCGTGCTCATAATGGTAGACTTGGACCAAACCCTGGCCAAACTCTGTGGCTATGAATTAAATGTGCACACTTAAGCCCATTTCCAGATGGTGCCAAGAGGGTCTTGTTGGCTGGAAAAAGCAATAGCTGGCCTTGCTCATCGTGGACTAAAGAGCCGGCGAAACTGATAGATTGGCCTTTCCGCCTGGAACCTCCTCTTGGTGTTCTGGAGAGATGCGCTGTAGGTTGCTGTTTCAGAAAGTGTCCGTTGTGATGACCGATCGGGGAGCAGATGAAGGCGTCAGTGAGGCGGCTGCGGAGAGATGATGAGCCTTGTTTACCGCCATGGCACGACGATCAACTCTCGGCTGCTTACTAAGAGACGGAGTCCTCCACTGTCACGCTGGTGCTGTGCAAACGTTTCATTCGGTGGCCGTCCCTGTGGGTATGCAGGGAGTGTCTCATAAAAGGGGGCAAAGAGGAAGGGAAAGGCGGGAGGCTGTAAAGGGGCAACATGTCAACGAGTGAGACTGAAAAAGAGAAAAACGGGGCCGAGAGCACAGGCAGGCATGAGTGAGACCGAAACTGAAAAAAATGAGACTGAACAAGATGAGACTGAAAAAGATGAGACCGAAAAGGACGGGGGTAGGTGAGACATGCGAAGAGCAAGGCCAAGGTGAAGGTGAAGAGAAACCACTTGAATCCACTTGCGTCCACTTGAGTTCCCCGAGTCCACAGCCCAACTTGGACCCATTCATTCTTGCATGTGCCAATGCAAACCACCAAAACCACACAACACAAAACACAACCCCCACAAGTCCCAGTGGATGCCAATCTCGCTGTCACTCCCGCTGCATTTTGCTCTCGGCCAGTCTATCCACTCCCTCCACTGGAAACGGACACATACGCTTTGTGTGAAAAGCGACCCCTGCAGATCCACCGTGATGGTGAGAGGAGCCTAAACATTGCTGGGGGCGTGAAAAACCGCTCAGCCGGCCAGGGCTCGGGACATTTGGAACAATGGCGACATCCCAGAGACCCTGAGGTGCAACCCCCCCCTACTCACCGCCCCAACACCACTCACACTACCCGCTATACACCATGTACCAGAGCTGCTATGGTCTATAATACGTTAAGGTTGGCAAGAGACAAAATGAAAAAACACAAAAGCGAAAAGTCACAAAACGCAAAAGCAAAAAACAAAACAGACAAACACAAAACCACAAATCCAAAAACGTAGTCTTTCAAAAACCTTATGTACCAACCTAATTTATTGAAAAATGCAAAGCCGGGGCTATCAAACCCATGGGCAAATAGTCTTCACTGCGTCATCTGCACGTTACTGCAAGGACCCTCCTTTGTCTCTGTACGGCCCTGGCAATACGAGGATATATATAAGACCCAGGGGAGTCCCCTCAAGCAGAGCCCTCAATTCATCACCAAAGAGACCCCATCTCACAGACAGACACAGACTAACCCTCGCACTCAGTCACACACACATCCAGCTGCTACCATGTCGCTCAAAAACATTCTCAACGACGAGCGCCCACTGCCTCCCATTCGATACATCAACTACCCCCCCACGCCCCCGATGTACTACTACCAGCCACAGGCCCAGGCTCAGGCTCAGGTTCAGGTTCAGCCCCAGGTGGTCCATGCCGCGGCCCCTCCACCACCACCCCCTTCGGCCATGATGCAGGTGCCTCCTCCTCCTCCTTCCCATGTTCACTCTTACGCTCCTCCCTCGCTGCCACAATCGCCCCCTCTTTACCAGCCCCAGACGGTGCCGATTGTGAACGTGAACCTCAACAACGCCCACAACAAGAAGCGAAAGAAGTACATGTGCGACTGCGGCCGGTCGTTCACCACCTCCGGACATCTGGCCCGGCACATGCGCATCCACACCGGCGAGAAGAACTACCAGTGTCCCTACGAGGGCTGCACCAGTCGCTTCTCTCGTCAGGACAACTGCATGCAGCACTACCGAACCCATCTCGGCACCTCGCGCAACTCGATGATGCGACGCAAGAGCGGGACCGTGTCTCCTCCTCCGGGCCAGGTATCCAAGCCCAAGCAGGAGAAGGCGGTGGAGCGAAAGATGAGCAACTTTCTCTCGACGGTTCTCGTCACCTAAAATGAACATAGAGCTCTCTCTCTCTCTCTCTCTCTCTCACACACACACACACACACACACACACATACTGTGCAGGCACAGAACTAACGGTCGAGAGACCAAAAGCATTTAGATTAATTTATTGTATTTATTGACATCAATGACATGTTCGTACTGGCGACGAGGAAGAGTGAGGAGTTAGGCTCCGTGGATTCACCACCAACTTGCTACATTCTATTCCTGGAGCTTTATAGCGATGTTTCAGCAGACTGTTTCAAACTGTAGAGTTATCCCCAAGGGTCCCGATGAGGATGTTTCAGAGTCTCAGACGTCGACTTTTGGACATGTTGGAACATGTTATACGAGTTTTGAAAGATGTGATACACGCTTCTGACTGAGACGTGCTAGAAGGGCTTGAAAGTAGCCATAACCGCAGTCTAACACAGCCAATCCGCAGTCTAACACAGCGAAACCGCAACCAAACGGCAGATTTGGCCGTAACTGCAGCCATAGCCAGACCTCTACCTGCTGCATTGAGGTAAGTCGACATTGGTGGACTCTGCGATTCAATCTCTGGGAATTGGTCTCTGGAATTGGCGCAAACTACTGGTACTCCGATCGCTATTGTTCCACTGTCGCTAACCAATAGATAAGTCCTATAGCCGACTGTCTGCCTCGATTGTGCAGGCTACTGGTGGAAACTAACCTCTCTTGGGGTCAGTTCAAAGGACCAATCTCCTTCAATGTGTCTAAAACGGCACCCTCTCGCCAACACCACTGGACAAGCCCATAGTCCTTCCTTTTGACCATGCCCCATTGTGGCACACCATTGTGGCAAGCTATCCAAGATCCCCGTGGGAAGGCTGTATTGGCGACCAGAGAGATGGTACACGCAGATTAAGCCACAATCAAAAGAAGAGATAACACATGCCCGTGTTTATCGTGAGGTATGGGTGTAGAGTTAGGATGCACTACCGGGCTACCACGAAAGGAGAACCGGTGCAAAAAGAGCGGCAGAGTCCGGACCACCAAGGGGAGTTCAAGACGTAGCACCAAATCAGCTCTACGTTTGACTATTAAACCCCTGCTCTGCTAACAATGGTCCAATAGTCGATATAATGGTGTGGTCCCCGTTGTACTATCAGGAGAATGGTGGCCTCTCCAACCCCATTCGCCTTTAGGTTGATGGAGCGACGATCTCTCAAACAAACGGACTACAGGTAGGGTTGACCGCTTAGAGACGCATAGCCAGCCTTCTGGTCTCGTTGCCTTCCTCCAAGTAGGTTCAAAAGGTTCAAGATACTGAGCCCACAATGAGACACAAGTTACATGGCAATATACCGCCTAGTTCGTATTCGGGTAAGTGAAACTAGTGTCGCTTGAATGTCCTAACTACAGCACAGTATGTGCCCTTAGTCGACTACGACTAGATGTAGTGGCACTCGAATTGCAGTTGTAAAAGCTCAGTGCAGAGAATGGTAGCTTGCAGTTAGTTCTGAACCTCCACGGGCTGGAGGGGGTCTACAAGATGGAGGCTATCAATGGTTAGTTTCCATGCTATAGACACGGCTTTGATAATCGAACACTCTGTGTTTCGGACCGTATCTCCAGCCAGGGGGTGGGGGCTTGGAGCCGTGGAACAAGTGCTACCATTCCACTTGTATACTTCCAGGGTTGTACGCTCGCTTTTTGAAATTTCACGGGCTACTAGTGTGCATTGGGCCACGCTAATGACTCGCACAATAAGACCTTTCTGCTAATACTCGTAGTGCTATCAACCACGGGCACAGTACACACTCCACGGTCGACAAGTCGATGGACACTTGTAGAAACAAATTGAATTGACGGCGGGATTTGCGATGACGGTCCATGAACTGCTATGCACAGTGTACCCCCAGCGAACAAGGGTCAAGACTCCAGGTGCCAGAGAGCCGGTGGTCGAACTGCGGACAACCCCAGGCTCAAGTCCATGCCAGCTTAGGACTCTACTACTGTATGTACTGTAGCTGCAAGCGTGTGACGATAGTTCCAAGCTCACCTGGGGGTGCCTGTGACCTGCGGCGAATTTCACGAGAATCACTAGTTGAAGTTGCGCAGGCGCTTTGCGCACGTGTCTTCTCCGGTCCGACCGCCCATGTTGTTTTGAACACGCTACTGTCTCTTCCACCATCGAGAGGGTGGTAGCGCAAGGCACCTCCTCGAACTCTCTCCAGGTGCTCGGAAACAGAGGCTGGGCCGCAATGCACTAGCACTTAGTTTGGTCTAGTACCCGGGCTGCCATCAGACGTGAAAACACCAGTCAGGGAGATGGTGTGTATGGGAGTTGCATGGGACAGTGCTACCGGCGCCAACACGAGCCGAGACAACTAAGGTAGATTGCCTGGCTAAAGCAGGTCGGCAAAATCCACCTCTGGGGTCGATAACAGCAACTTGTGTCGGCTCTAGAGTACATACGAGTCCATCATTGGTCTTACTGTACCGTCAATAGTATGGACAAGTGCAGGAAGTAAAGTACACACCAATATAGCCCCATCTCCCGGGGTTCGTGTTTGAGCCGGAACAAAGCCGAGAAAGGTCCGAACCGAGTCGACGGTCTTCTCTGTCAACTGTTGTCGTCTGCGATTCGACATTCATCAACCCATGCTGCTCCATGCCCACGGGCACATTTAGGTGCTGCACGCCGACCTCAGCGGCGAAGGTTATTTTGGTCACATTTCTGACCACTCTATTTCGGCCGTTGATCTTATTTGAGACCGGAATATTATTTTGAAAAGGAACCCAAAAGCCAGAGGCAAGCTGGCCAGGAACCTTGCGGACGCACAAAGACTGCAGTTTTGCTTTTTGCAACTCGCTTAAGCACGCAGCTGTATGTATAGCTGCACCTTGTTTGGCAATAGACCCTGCCACGTATTGCTGGGGCGATATGGTGAGTGATTCCGAAGACGGCGGTCGGAGGACGGGGCCAACAAGAGACCAGAATGGGAAGGAGGCCGGACAAGTGTCGCCTCCGAATCTCCGTCTCCAGGTTGTCGCCCACACCTCCACTTAACCTCCATACGTAGGCCCCCACGCTATAGGGACCTGCTTATTTGCTGATCAGACAAGCAGGGCAAACGATAAAAGAATGCGGATATGGTTTGAGACAGAGGTTGAGATGGTAGATACCGGAGTTGCAATGGAGATGGCAATTATTTAGGCAGGCCAAAGTCCGGCAGGATGATAAAGGCATTAGCCCTCAGTAAGAGTCCTTGGTAAGTCCTTAGTGAGAACCCTTAGTAAGAGCCCTTTTTCCCTTAGTATGACCAAACTCCAGTGTTGGCCCTTCTCACCACCCTGCCCGATTGAGTTGGTAAAACCTAGCGTGGCAGCCAAACACGACGGCTTGCCGATCCCAAACCACACCTGCGTCTTGCACACCTGGCTGTAAAAATGCTGATCATCCCTGAGGATCAGGGGTGGTTGTAGGGTGGGCGAATTCCGGGGTTAGCTTAACGCCGCCAGCGTGTGTCGGGCGATGGTGGTGGCTGCTAATGAGGCCACGTGGCGTTGGTGAGCAGACAAAATATAAGGGGCGTGCAGTCCACCTGTGTTTCTTTTTTCTTCTTTTTTTGTCGCCCTCTGCGCTCCCCCCAGCTCCGCCGCACAACGCACCTCCTGACACTTTTGGTCGTTCCGTCCGTCTGCTTATATTCCATGGGACCGCCCACCCAACTTTAGCAGACGCAGGTCAGAAAGCGTACATTGAGCAGTGCCGTAGACTGTAGACCCTGGAGAAGCTGCGACACAGAAAGAGAGCTTTACATCTCCGGCGGATGTTCCGTGAGTATCAGACATGAGCTCCACATCCCCCCCGCCCCCCGCGACCCAGCGATTGTACTGGGATGACGTGGCACCTGGCCCCGGGTCCTGGTGGACACAGTCTCATGGTGGGGGTACGGCAGTTGTCGTGGCCAACACCGTGGTACAACAGTCGCCCCGACTCGTGTCTCAGGGAAAAAAGCAACTTCAACGGGCCTGGAACGATCGCCAAACATGTACATGGATGCGCCTTCCCGAAGCAACTTGCGGCGTAGAGAGAGCACCCAATGATTGACATGACGACCGTCGGTGATGGGCCAGGCAAGCTCGGACGGAAAAAGGACTTTTGTGTCACTGTCAATCAGGCAGCCAAAAACAGACACATGGTCGCAAGGACCCACATCACGGACCGCACAAACACCCAGCCCGACAAGGCCTGATGCTCCCGCTGGCTGCTTGCTTCCCCACGATGACAAGGGTGTGTAGGTGTAACGTCAGTGAGACATGCAGGACCTTGTCTTGGGCTTGTCTCGACAATGCCATGCCGCCACAGACAGCCAAGGGCAAACCGGCAAAACGGCAAAACGGCAAAAAGGCCGAGACATTTCACATCAGACCCACATGAAGCCAACCTGACCGCCAAACCCTTATGCACCTCCGGCGTTGTACATACATGGGATGGACGTGAGACAGCAGGTCATGTGCGACGTCGCCATGTTGCGGAGACTCTTCAGGGGACTCTTCAGTGGACTCTTCAGCAGACTCTTCAGCAGACTCCAGTTCAGACGTTCAGACTCTTACATCTACCTTTCCTCCACCGATGACAAGATAAGCACTATTAGTGTATCCTGACTAACATGACTAATTGTGCTTTGTGTTTTTTCGTGGCCCTTTTCCCTTCCCTTTCTCTTTTTCCCCTTTTCCCCTTTTCCCCTTTCCCCTTTTCCCTTTTCCCTTTCTCTATCCCGATGATGTCTCGGACTGGGGTGGTGGCTAAGCTGCTCATTTTACTTTTGTCGATCGTTATTTTCAAATAATATTCGATAATGCCGCGGGTGGTTTAGCTCTCAGACAGGGAGGGAGGCACTTGGCGTCCCCCAAACACTATCGTGGAGGGCGCCTTTGCTGGTGGCCACACCTCTGGCCATCTGGACAGATATGCCGGCGGTGCCAAACTGCCCCCCACAGCTGTCTCAACGTCTCGGTCCAGTGCAACTGTAACGCCGATTAGCTGCCGCCATGGACTCCGGGGCCAAAGAGACCATTGCTTTTTCAGCTGGCAGACGGATATGAGCGACCAGCTGGAACCACGAGCTCTGGGACGTGGATGATTGAACCGCAAGCCCTGGGAGGCGATGGAACCGCGAGCTCTGGGAGACGTTCGAACCACGAGCACCCGCGCCGACACCTGCACATGACCATGTCTACTGGTACGGACCGATCATGCTGGCCTATAACTGGCCCGCGCAGCCATTTATGACCAGCGTTAAGTCCACGGCATTACCCACTCTTTTGATCATGTGGCCCGTTGCTTTTTTACCACCAACTCTATGGGGCCGGCCCTGGTTTCAATCTCACCCAGCAGATAACTTTTTGTTAAACACTCGGGTAGGTCAGGGTCTTTTTGGGCCAAATAGACTCAGGTCATGGTCCACACAGCCCACCCGTTTTAAACACTCCGTCCGCTGGCACAGGAGCACATGAGAGAGAGAGAGAGAGAAAGAGAGAGAGAGGTTGTTGCTGATCAGCATCGCCAGAGATTTGCCTTGCCCTAGAAACGACAAAAGACAAAGCGACAAAGCGCAAAAACACAAAAGGAGACGCTAAATTACACACTCTGTCAGATACAGCATTCCCGATCATGTACGAGTGAACACACGCAGTACGACCACTGCTACTCTACTTGAGAGATGTCGGCAGAATATGAAAGTGTGCGTGGGAGCCGGTCCTACAACAGCTCGAGTACAGCACCACCTGTACCTTGCACCTGTATGCAGGTCTTACCGACAGTGGACCAGGTGGCAACTGAGCAGTATGCACTTAGGAGAGGGTTGCTCATACAACCATGAGTGTCTGGAGTTGATCAATGTCCACGAGCGCCGCGAAACGAGCGGTAGAGGCACTTGCCGAGAGGCCACGATACTGACGCTCACGATATTGACGTGGCCGGTTTTATCACGTTCGCAGATCTCGTTGATCACGGAGATGGGCAAACCTACACAAGTGGTTATTTTGCAGTCGCCAAAGTGCACCCTGAAAAAAAAATGGTACGATCACGGCGCCGTATCCCGTCAGAGGCAAAATAAAAAGGACAAAAAGGGGCACGCACTCTGTTCAATAAACCCTTGTTTCGCTTCTTGTCTTTTTTCCAACCCAAATCAGAGACAGCCAAAGGTAGACGGGTTCAAACTCGAGCTCAAGCTCGAGGCCCTGTGGCCGGTGCGTGTCGCCTATTACATACGAGTCGGAGGAGGTGACAAAGACACGGTGCAGACGTGCTTATTCGTGTGGTGTACCTGGCATCCCAGAACTTTGACACGGGAGATTGCCGTGTCTCAAGAACGCCGAGACGACATATGTATGTACTGTGCGGTACAAACACAAGCGAGCAACCCAAATGTGGCTGTCTAACACAAGGGCCAAGTGGACTGTGTGCGGAGTGTTCACCGGATGCCAGCCCCTCCAACTGTCGGAATAGCTCCTCCCCCCGCAGTTATCACGCTAGCTATAAAAGCTACAGGTTCAAGTGATAAATGTCATAAACGTCGTGCTGTACGGGTGCTTAGACTATAAAACACAGTCTAGCTACTTGTAGCACACTCCATGTTTGCTTTTCCGTGGTATCTCCACCCCAGCAGTTGGGGGCCTACTGGATTTGCATGCACCTGGAAAAAGAAATGGAACCCCCCCGAATGTGAATGCCTTGAAGGGAAGGAACAGACAGCAAATTAAGCCCATGCGGGAGACCCAAACTGGACAAGGTAGAGATCGCCCGCCCCCTATTAGTAACGCTGTGTGTGTGTGGATACAGTACAAAGAGGCCACAAGACAGTTTAAGACATTTTGGAGGGAGAGAGATTGGCAAGCAGATGGCAGCCGTTGGTGGTTCGATTGAGTATTTCTGACTTGGGTCATAGGCAGTGGCATGGGCTCCAACTGCGATGATAGCATGGTTTTAGACACACTCATAACAGTAGCTCCTGGTAGCTCCTGGTAGCTCCGTATTCCGCACACGTGTCTCCAGCTCCGTACCGAGGCAAGGAGAACCGCGGATAGTGAAGTTGCAGTGGAGTTCTCAAATTGAAAACGTGTGCGGGAGGAGGTTAGCAGAGGTGGCAAGGACTCCATTTTCACTTGGAATTAGGTGCTTTTTACCCGTCCTCATAAAGTCTGTATCGTTTACAATTGCGGAATGCTCTTGTCGCTATAGAGTGGCTGCATTAGTGCGTATCGACTCCTCTAGTGGACGCGTTTCGCTTAGTGTCAGAAGGCTGGACCATAGATAGTTGAGATTGTACCTTACATGCAATTGCGGGTGGGTACATACAATGTACGACCGGGGCAAGGCTCGCCGCCAAACAATGTACGGGTTTACTCCTACTTTCGTGGCCCCTATTTGCTTTGTTTGGCCACTTTGGAGGTATAGGGGGAAAGCAGCCGCTAGAAACCTAGGAGCCATGGGCAGTTGTTTGGAAGATGCTCCGCGGTCGGTTCAGGTGGATCGTCAACTGGTTGTGCGTATCCGAAGACTGCTGAGCGAGTTCTGCCCGCTTTTCTCTTCATCGTACCACAATCCCTCACCCTAAATCCAAACGGCAAAAAAAAAAGAAAAAAAAAAAACAAACAAAAAACGACAATTGACATGATAATCGACACGGCAGCTGGAATGCGAATGCATCATTGAGACAGTACAACCAGTCTGATACCAACCATGTCCCGTTTCGGCGATGTTTCAGCCCGAAGTACAACTGAAGAAGGCAAGGCTGCCAGCTCCAGAAACAAGCTGCTGTTTCCCTAGTCCGGGACCAGTATCGATAGTGTCGCTTTTCATGAGACGGCAGACTATACAGGGACGCTAAAAACCGGTCCATGGAACCGCATTAATGCTCGGGTGTTAGCACACAGCCCACCTACAAGAACAGTACAGACCGGTATTTGCGAGGGGAAGGTCCAAAGTGTGTGATATTGATTTCGGGAGTTGACTGCGATGACTAAACTGTCGGAAGGACTTCTCGATGCGCGTGTTTTTTCTTGTCAAATCGCTTTCTCCGTGTGTTGGTCAATCTTTCACCTCCAAACAACCATTCACAAGTTCCAGTAGTCAAGTCATACCGAACGGCTTTCACAGTCAGACTCATGTCGAATGGTCCCTGACAGCACAAGCACCAGCAGGAATGACTACATATGGGCGTCTCTTGCCTCCAGTATGTACCCTGCGCAGGCACAAGCTACTTGTACATGAGACAGTTGCTACGAATGTACATGTACAGGGACAAGTACGGAGCAGATGCAGTCCACCAGCACGTGTCCATTCTTTCATGTCTCATATACCCCCTTTTGATTCTTCTTGAGCTTACAATGTGCTTACAATGTCCTGTTTGACTGTGTTGTTTTTCAGTCCGTGGGTTGAGACAAGATCAGATCTGAGGCGATAGTCACTGGGTCCGATATTCTAAGACATTGTCTATCTGCGCACTCTATTTTCCACGGGATCTTCTGTCTGTTCATCTCCGCCCTCATTCTTAGCGTGACATAAGTTCGGGCTCTGAGCAATGGTCAAACTAGGTCTCCACGGAGATGCTACCAGTAGCTCCGAGACACCTGTAAGAGCGGGTATTGAAGCGGCTAAAACCCTGAATCGACGATGACGTTGATAGCGTTCCACCTGCGTCTCTGTATCGGTAGATGCGACAAATGTTCCATGGAGTGGTGACCAGGCGGTTCTCCATTCTACTCCTACCCATAGTTGTATCGACAGCAAACTAATTGATGAGTCTCCCGGTCTGTAGACAGAGTACGACTAGAGATCTATACGAATATGTCACTTGGTCGGTACGAGTACTTGCACTTGTATCGTTCTCCTGTTCAAGTGCGAGTACCTGTAGTTGGGTTCTGTACGTGCACACTTTGTAGCCAGTTGAAAAGCATTGTGGAAAGAGCTGAGGACGGAGGAACCAGGCGGTGTCAACCCGACAATCGTGCTGAACAAACAATGGCGAGTCCTTTGCACTTTTCCCGCTTTCTGCCGTGTCTTCTAGCGAGGAAGTTCTGGTCTCTGACTTGGAACGCTCGGCCCGAACCCCTTCGCCTAACTCCAAACACCAACGCTTCTGGTAGGTACTTGTGTGTGCTGACGACGTCAGGCAAGCAGTGCGAGTCATAGGTGTTCATTTATGCGTCGATTGCGGGCGATTTCAACTGTCGGACCTCGGAGGTTGTTTCTCTAGGTTGCCCGAACCCCGAGCCGGTCCGCTTTGGACCCTGGACCGATGCGGTGAAAGATCGTTATGCAAGGGGACTGTATGAGTTCTGCGGTACATATATTGATGTCCGCAAGCGGCTCAAGTTGCCAGCAGGGCTCACATGGTTCAGCAAGGGTGTTTTCAGGCAGGAGACGAAGGCCATGAGGGCAGTAGGCGGAACCAGTACAAAACACCTTGCACTGTAAGTCGGGTTATGATCATAGAGAAAGGGCTAAAGTCACTAGGATGACTCTTGGCAAGGTATCAACACATGACTGATACCGTGCAACGCCTTTTAGATCGATACCATCGTCTGTTCCTTCACAGTTGTACTGTTCAAGGAGTAGGGATATGATGAAGGTTGTGTTCAACAATAGCTGAGACAAAAATAGTCTGAAAAAACATTCTTAACAACTCTCCCAACTGAATATTATTTATACTCAATATTCTACACAAGTAAACCAGACTCCAACAACTGTTCAACTACAGTACACATCACGTCAGTGGCGACTCTGCCGGGAGAAACTACAGCACAAAACAGAGCAGTCAGCTAAAATCACTTGGTTTCCACTGCAACACTGCAACTTCTCTCGCCACCTCCTTGCACCCTCCTTGCAACCTCCTCCACACCCAATCTCATCCATCTTTGGTGACAAATCCGAAACCCTATCAGTCAGCCCTGCATGTTGGGTGCTACGTCATCTACTAGAGCTGACAGTACGACCTTGATCTCCACCACCATCTCACGACATGCGATTCACCACCCTGTTCACGCTGGCCACCGCGGCCATGGCGTCGCTGATCGATCTGACCGACAAGACGTTTGAGAAGTCCGTGCTCAATGCCGACCACCCCACGCTGGTCAAGTTCTACGCTCCCTGGTGCGGCCACTGCAAGAAGATGGGCCCTGACTACGACCAATTGGCGTCCGTGTACGCGCACACTGACGACGTGGAGATTGCACGATACAACGGCGACGAAAACCGAAAATTCTCCAAAAAGTACGGCATCCAGGGCTTCCCTACCCTCAAGTGGTTCCCCGGCAAGGGGGCCGATCCGGTGGACTACGAATCTGGCCGAGACTTTGACTCTCTGGTGCAGTTTGTGCAATCCAAATCCGGCGTCAAGGCCAAGACCGCCCCCAAGTCCGAGGGCGCTAAGCTGATCAAGACCGTCGACGACCAGTCCTTTGCCGACCTGTTCAAGAACGACAAGAAGTACGCCCTGGTCGCCTTCACCGCCAAGTGGTGTGGATACTGCAAGCAGCTGGCGCCCGAGTACGAAAAGGTGGCGGCTGTCTTCTCCCGAGACCCCGTTTCCATTGGACAGGTTGACTGCACTGAGCCCGAGCCTTCCCACGATCTGCTGGAGAAATACGACATCAAGTCCTACCCCACGCTCCTCTGGTTCGAGGAGGGTAGCACCGAGCCCGTCAAATTTGAGGGTGGCGACCGGTCTGTCGAGGGTCTCGTTGCTTTTATTAATGACAAGACTGGCCTCAACCGAAACACTGACGGCTCCTACAACGATTACGCCGGTGTGTTCAGCGGCAAGCTACTGGAGCAGCTCAAGGAGGCTGTGGAGAACCCCACCAAGGTCAAGGAGTTCATCGGCGAGATCCCCCAGTCTTTCTCTTCCGTCTACGAGCGAGTTCTCAGCAAGGTCGGTTCTCTAGGAGAGGAGACAGAGGCTTACCTCGACAAGGAGATTACCCGACTGGGTAACATCATTGAGAAGCGGGGTGCCAAGCAGGACAAGCTGGACGAGTTCAAGATCCGACAGAACGTTCTCAAGTCTATCAAGGCGCTTAAGAACAAGGTCGAGAACGTCCGAGATGAGCTTTAGACGGTTGCAAAGAGATATAAAGGAATGTTACGGTTTAAACGAAGGAGGAGGTGGGTGGTACACTGAGAGGGCGAAGAAGTGGTGCAGTACCGGTACATGTGCCCTGCTCGAGATCCACGTGTATCTTACCTAACACATTGTAGTATCGCACTCACTTTGGGGCTGGTCTGAGGGGGTCTGTCCAATTTCACGTGTGCAGTTGGTGCGTCAAGTATCGTAGAACCGAACATAAACAACGTAGTTGTGTAACCAAACAACAGCGCACTTTCACTACAGCCACCATGGACACCTCCGACGCACCTACGACACGGGTAGTTTACCACGAGATCCCCGCCCCTGGCGAGCCCCCCTATAGCAACATTGTGGCCTTGTTTTTCCTGGTTGTCTTTTTTTTGGGCAGTTATCTCCTCAACAGAGCGTTCCACTCGGCTCCAAAGTTGTGGATCGTGTTTCTCGATTGGGCCGAGACAACCAGACCAGGGAGCGAGACCCAAGAAGCCACGGGCAAAGCGCGCCAGACAGGCCCAGCCAACTGGATGGACATTGACAGTCTCTCCGACGCCGAGATGAAGGAGGTGATGGAGAAGATGCAACTGATCAAAAGCAACGCCATCCGACTGAAACAGGAGGCCAAACAACGCATGGCCGAGATTCAACACGAGCTGCAGTATGTGGCGGGTATGCACTGACGGCACTGGCTGCTCCGCTGCTCCAACAGGGTTCAGTTGCGCATCGATCCAGGGTTACATGGTTTGTATCTTGCAGCGTGGGGGTCAAGAGATAGGGAGGAAGGGAAGGAGAAAGACACGTTGGAAATGACAGTCGGAACAGACGTGGAACGTGAGGTTGCTTGGACGATACGATAACGCCCTGTACAATCTATGGTCTTCAGACGCTCCATGGAAACATCTTACCCGTACCATTCATCTCTTCTGTTCTAGAACCATGTGTGTTATGAAATCTGACTTTGCAGGGTCGGAGTCAAACACCGCTTTCATCTTGGTTAAGCGAGTGGATTGTTTTACGAGATCGACGGTCTGAGATGGAGCTTGGCGCTAGTTTCAGCTTGCACGATCTCCACATGGTTTCAAACCGTGTTGCCATCTGCAGTTCTGACTGCATAGATACAGACGCTGCCAAGGTCTAATGTCATAAATGTCATCTTATGATATGAAGTCAGGTGCTATTATATCATTGAACTTCAATAAAATGCATTATGCTAATATAAATATACGTGTTAACTTCATTCTTCTTTGTTGCGGTCGCGCCTGTGGTCCTTTTTGTCGTCATCATCTTCGGCAGGACTCATGTAGTCCACCGGCTCAGGGGTATCTCCTGCCCACTGAACAGGCTCATCATATAACGAACGGGACTTCTTCTTTTTGGGTCCCGGAGTAGCTAGAGGACTTCCAAGAGTCCTGGGAGGTGGCGGGGACTCGATATGCTCGTCTTCACTGTCGCTATCGAGTCCCAGACCCTCATCCACTCCATCATCACTCACAGGGGACTGAGGAGTGAGATTCAGCGACCATCTGGGAGACAAACTGCTGATATTTCGCTTGAAGTTGCGTCTCAGATGGCGTCTGAAGGACCCAAAGTCAGAGTTGTCTTCCGAGTCGTCTGTATTGAACATCAATCGTGATCTTCGAGATAACTCGGGACCGGTACCTCGAGTCAGAGCCACAAAGATGAGCACCACCAAAAGGATGAGACCCTGGAACATGGACATTCGTTTTTGAAAGACAAGATCATCGGCCAGCATGGCAAACCGTTGCGAAATGGCAGCCATGTTCTTGTCTGTTTGGCTCTTTTGCAGATCAAGCTCAAGGATGGCTCTATTGAGCTTCTGTTCTCGTTGTTGAGAGAACATGACTAGCTGTTGCAGCACGGTGGCATTGAAATGGAACAAAAAGTCGTCAATCTTGGAGTTTTGCTTCTTCTCAATCTTGTACAACAAGTCTCTGAGCACCTTGGATTGCTCCTCGACGTACTGAAGAGAGAGGGTTGCGTTAGACTCAAGTAGAGACAGACGTTTCATGATAGTCTTGTAGATTGACTCTTGAGTCGGTGGAGTTGTTGTGGAGTTGTTAGATTGGTTGTTGGTGGTGGTATCGGTGTTGTTATTGCTGTTGTTACGTTCAATCTTGCGGTAGAACTCATCCAAACGGCAGTATTCGTTGAGGCCCAGTTTGACCTTGTCCAGCGACAGTTTGGGGGTGCATTCGCCCTTTTCGATGACGGTATGGTTCAGCGAAGGGTTGGACTTCTCAACCACATTCTCCTGGATCATCTTCTCTTCATGGAGCGTCTCCTCAGCCTTTTCAAACTGAGCCGTTTCTTCCTGAAGAGATTCGTCCAGCTTTTCGCCCGCGACAATGTCACCATCTCCTCCACTGCGTTTCCATTCCTCCATCATGGTGGTTCCATGGACTCTGACCACAGATATGGGACAGTAGTACTCGTGTCCCCAGTGTGAGAGGAACTCGATCTTGACGTATCGCGCCCAGATCTGAGGAACGGTGATGTCAAAAGTCTGTAGATCTCGGATATTGTCGGCTGTAAAGTCACCAAGCACTCTCCATTCTCCAGATGCCACGGGGTATCGATCGGCCACGCTGATTCGGATGTCTTTGAACATGGACGAGAAGAACTCGTAGTTGCCGACCACCACCTGGTCGACGAGAATGTCCTGGCACAGCTCGATGATCACATGTTTGCTGCCGGCCACACATTTGTTGAGTAGGTACGAGTCCTTGTTCTCCACGAGAATGGCCCCTGCTCCCTTGACATCTTTGTTGCTCTTGACGACCGTAGCTCCGCAGTCGAACGACGCGTAGTTGAACCGATCCTTGTAGGTCTTGCCCGGGTCGTCGGACGCCGCGAAGAGAAAGTCGATTTCGCCCGTGAACGGGTCCATTTCCGGCTCGCTGCCTCCACCACCGCCGTTACTGTGTCCGGGACCGCTTCCTGGCGTCGATCCAAGGTTCTGCCCGCTCTGCAACAGGTTGTGTATTCGCCACTCTTCGAACGATCGCAGCGTCGGGGCCGGGTGCGACGGCGTCGGTTGGCCGGCCTGAGACTCGCACATCACCAACCCCGCCGTGAGGACCAGTTTCCAGAGGTTCATTTGCGCTTTTTCAGAGGTCGGTGTTTTTTTTTCAATATGTCGACAGATATCACACTTCTGTAGGAAACTTAATTAGGGGGTGGTGGAAACTGGAGATTGGAAATTGGAGATTAGGGGGATTAGGAAGGACTCAATTGAGGAGAGAGTCGGACTATTGAGCCGTGGCAATCTCGATTAGGGAACGGATCTAGGAATATTTGAGCCCAAGTCTCGTGATCTGACGTTCACATCTGATACAACCATTGCGTCATATCTGCACCGCTCTACAGTGTTAGACTGAAGTTGGGTGCTGATTAACTGCGGGAGTCGATCTGGTTACGTAATCACGTTGGCAGAAGAAGAAATGCGAGTCTTGAGGGTTAGGAGGGATAGGAGGGACGACATGGTTGGAATTGTGGTGGTTTTTGAGTAACAAGACTCGAATTTCTTCTTTTTTTCTGCATATACATTCATTCCCGAAAGTCGGGCTCAAGCAGTTCATACCTAACAAAAATGTCAACAAAACCCAACGTACACAACTACAGTCAACTAAAGTGGAGCAGCAAATTATTCAGAAAAAACGGTCAGTTGTCGACAGTTGAAGACAGGTGGAGTTTGGAGAACTTTTAATCTGGACATTTATTGTCTAAATATGAAAGCGAATCTACAATTTTATGGAAATTTTACCTTTGGAATGCTGCGTTTTCTTGTATAGTGGACTACAGACAACAATTCAATCTCATACTACCAATCGAGCTCACAAAGCCCTGGGAACTTTTGAAAATGCAATAATGGTCATGATTAAGTATGTTTATCAAGCTCTTCACTTGGGTGGTCCGTTTGTTTCCCATTTGAGGGGAGTTTTTCTTTCTTCTTTTTCAATTACAGTAAATACAGTAGCATTAGAGACATTGACATGGACTGGACCGCGGTAAAAGATTCGAAACAAAGACAACAAGTCTCTTAATCATTTAAAAAGAGCTATTATACCTAATAACTGTAAAGATCTGTCTAGTCTTCGTATTAGATAGGGACTTCTCTGTTCTGTTCTGTTCTGTTAGCCAGATATTTTCAGTCATAGACCCAGCTAGACTTGTTTGAACAGAATGAGTCCTCTCTTTGAGGATGTGATAGTGATTCACCAAAACTAAATGACTCTTACGCTTGCTTGTTGCCAAATTGGAATGGGCGAGAGAACCGCTTCCGACTAAAATGCGGTTTACAAAATGGCCAGGTTTCGTCTGGAGAGGGTCTTTGGGACACGGTTTAGAGGTCTAGGGGGTTTGTTTCTGTCGCAGTTTTCATTATGAGAACTTCATCAGCTGGTTTCCTTGGCTAAATCTTTCTTATCGTCATTTCATGTATCTGGAACCGCTTGACTACATACAGTCTACGTAGATCCATGTCTGTAAACCGATACTGGCAAAGTATACCACTTGGAAACGTATCCAAAGGGATATAATCAAGCCGTGCAAACGGATCTCTCCGTGTTTCTTTAGTGTGAGTGCTCCATATCTTCTTTGTATGATCATTGGCAGACCTCCGTGCTCAAAATACACGAATGTATAAACGGAACTTGTGGAGAAACGACTCTATGGCATATAGATAAACTCCCCGCTTTCTAAGGGGAAAAGACAGGAAAGCCAGAGGTTTTCAGCATCTTTTTGAGGCAGTTGCTAAGCCGCGGTAAGAGGTTTCTTGTCTAGAGCTGTATTAGCTATCATGAAGCCCAGGTTTCTGTAGAAGCGGCGTATTCTTCACTTTTAGCGCGACGCAGAAGGCAGGGCTAATAGCATAGTCAAAGTAGCCGAACAGGTTGTATCGTCTGTCCTCACAGCTTGATGTTCGCTCGATACCCTAACAAAGTTGTCTATTAAAATTGCCCCTCCAAAGGACTGGATGGGAACTCTTAACAAAAACTAAACTAACAAAAACTAAACTAACAAAAACTAAACGATTTTTTCTGAAGAAACCCAGGAGTGAAGATGACTACCGGGTTATGAGAAGTGACGGTAGAAAGCCTTGAAAGGAACCGGAAACACCACCAACGGAACTTCGTCCGGATACTTGGTCCGACAATACTTGGCAACTCGGTACTACTCACCCCTTATCAAGCCACTTTCAAGACTATATCCGACATATTCAGCCTAAAGAAAGTCACCATTCGTCTAGCAGTATCATACTCCATCTGTTAAATCCCGCCATGGCGCTACTATGTGGTCTGAAGAGCTACAGTATGTACTACGGAAAGCGCGGGCCCGACACATAGCTGCAATAAGATGTAGAAAGGAGGTGACAAGGCGCGTGCACTATTGGTAGGGAGAGATCAGAGGTGCTCACGCTCGGCTTCATGGCGAACCATACATCTCCTTTTCAAAGTCCCAGTCATCGTTACGTGATGTAATGTGTGGTTAGAATAGAAGAGGTTGGGGAGGTGCTGTTCAAGTGTAGGAAGACGAGTTCCTTGACTAGTTCGACACTCCTTTCAGTTCTGTCCCTTCTGCTCTTTTTGTTTCCCCTACAAGGTCAAGGAACTCGATATCCCCGGTTTTTGCCATTCCGGCAAGACACATTCTTCCCGGTCGACTTGATTTTGGTCAACTTGTGACGCACACTCGGGAGTCTTTGAGGACGTGGAACAGCAATCCACCATATGGCGGAGGCAGTATGAGTTCAATCAGACAGCCCAAGGCACCGAATCTTTCTCACCATGGACTTGAGACTCACAGACCACATCTGGATCCTCGTGAACTGAGCTTGAATGTATGGGCAACTTCCAGTTGGTGAGTGATTCTGACCATCGAGATGGAACCGCTATTGTGTGTGTTTGCAAAGATGTTGTCGCCGCAGGGAGCTGCCGAAACCGAGGTCTCTTCTCCTCCAATCATGGCACTAAAAGGGTCAATCTGGTGAGTGAGAGTGTTGACTCCATAGAGGGTTCCGTTAGTTGTGCTGAGCTCCAAGGCTGTTCCACCAAGATATCCGATTTCGGCAGCTCCCCATTCGGCTACCTGACCAAAGTGGTCCTTCTTCTTGGTCAGGTCGAAGAGTGCCAGAAGAAGCACCTTGGCTGCGTCGAGAGTCGCCAGCTGAGTCTTGAAGCGACATGGGAAGATGCATAGATAACGCACAGATAATGCACGCCCAGATGCGACGTGTCTCGAAAAATCAGGTTTTTATACATCTCGCAATCTGAATCGCATTTCCTTCTTGAGCTGAGCAGTGTCGCGTAGTATACGACGGTCCCCGAGGCGGTAACAATGTAAAAAGTTCTTCATTGTGGTTAAATCAACCTCCAGCATCGACCCTGTTTATGCAATGGCTCTTGGCCTTGACTGTCACTCAGGCGCGACTTCCCAAACATCTTACCACCATTTCCACGAATTTGGCGTACTTAATCTCAGATGGAGTGAAGGAGTCGTTTGTGGGGACTGTGGCAGACTGACCTGTTCCTGAGCTCCGGCAAGGCCAACCCCATTCGACAGGATCCCTCTATCAGGCAACCAGTTACGACTCATTAAACCGGTTAACTACATTACGACTTTGACATTCTGGAAGATGTTCAGTTACACATCACCTCCAACACCAACTGGAACCTTCAGACTGTTGTCTCTGAGTACTTTGCTGGCCATTGAGTGAAGACCTGAAGGAGAGGTGGAATTCTGGGCTGATCAAACACCCAGCCTGGTCTAAACAAGATCACCATGAACAATTTGCAGAACAGATAACCATTAAATCCCTTCTGAAGGCTCCATTCTTCACCCTGACTCGTCGACAGAACATCATAACTTTTACTCACCATTCCAGCACTGTCGGAGGACCGAAATAGATACCGTACAAGCTTCTGACTTATATCCTCCACCCAGATAATGAGATCGGACCAAGACATTCTCTCTTCGTTGCTGCCATGTACTTTGTGGGAAACTTGACAGTCTGGATCCTGTCTGCTACTTAAAGCGCTTTCCAAGCTGACAAGAGAGTGCCCAGATGACCAGCATCTCGAGAAGTGCAAAGCATGTTGAATCGTGAAAAGAGTCGACTATAGACAATTGTCTTTCAAAATCTATGTGCAATCTCTGTAAGTCACTGATGGACTAGTTCCAGGAAAAACAGGAGTCCTGGTTCCCGAGTTCAGAAAGCAGCCCTCAGTTTCGTTATTGAGCCCATACAGACATTTCAGGGACCGCTCATTCCAACTCCTCAGGGTATAGTAGGGTATCCAGTTGTCCGATTGGCTCTACGACTAGTTCAATTGAGTCTTCAGTTGTCCAGTTCGAATCGCCAGTTGTTCTCCAGTGATTCCTTTGACCCATCCATCCAGAAGTGAATCTCGTTTCACTGAGTCCAAAACCCCAGTTGCATCACCATTCCCAGGATGCTCAAAACCATCCTTCAACTTTACAGTACTTGTAACTTGCTGTCTATTGTTTCTAACGGCCCGTCTAGCCAGTTCACCTGCTCTACTCGTAGATAGTCCCCGTCGCCATCTCTTTAGACACCGATCGAATCACCAGCGCAGTCTCCTTCCCATATAGTTCCTGGGAATCACTGGTTGAGACATAAGCACCAAGTGTGTCTAATCAGTCCTGATTGAATCTCCCGGTTCAGTCAATCGAGCTTCTCTCAACGAATCTCCAACTGAATTCCCAATTGACCCTATCAGCAGCCAGGGCAGCAATCGATCCCACTCGTTCAACTCTTTACCCATCTGAATCTGATCGGGAACCGAAGAGCCACTTCCAATGAGGTCTCAATTCCAGATGGATTCCCTTCTGTTGAGTGTCAGCTCCTGTCCCGAGTACAGCTCCCAAAAACAACACCAATTCAGGTCCCACTCTCAAAGTGAGTCCGATTGCTGAACTCATCGAAGACCCCAAGTCAAGCCCACTGCTCGATCAAGAAACTACTCCCTCCAAAGATCACTCCTTCGGGTCACCTACCCAAACCAAGTCCTCGCATCAAAGTTATAACCGATATCTGTTGCAGTTCCAAAGAAGATCTTTATTCCTCTAGCAACAGGTACTAGAGAGTCCCTAGTTGGCCCCGTCGCATCTGCCGCTAATCCCATATTGGTGGAAGCTTTGGAGGTAACAGTGGTGGCAGTGAGACTCCTGGACCCCAATCGTCAACCCCCTCAGATGTGGGAAGGGAGTTGGGGACAGTGGTAACTGGTTGCGGTATCAAAGAGCAGACAGCTCAAACAGTAGCAATAAACTGCCCAACAGTAGGTGAGGATCCAATCGAACTTCCCCCGCTGATTTGAACAGATCAGATACCAGTCAGAGGCAGTGCTTCTTCAGAAGTGCTGACTCTGGTTAGGTCTTCTCTGGTTCACCTGGTAAAGACCATCTCAATGGTGTCTACTCTCGAGTAACTGGCGAGGGATGAAGACAACACGGGGTACACTCACTCCAGATCATTGAATAACTGGAGAATTGTGGGGACGAGAATCTGTTGCAACTTCCAACCCTCACTCTGACCGAAACCCAGCGGCGAACGACTCGGCGCTCCCGAAAGCTGACTGTAGGTACCACCGGAAGACAAGGAAGTAGGGGAAGTGAAAGCAAGGATCACAATGCTGAAACTGGCCCAAAAAGTGCTGGGCATTCAGCCAGCGAAACTAGATATCAGGTGCTCTGGTTTTCTCCAAGTTTCGGTGCAAATTTTCTGAACGTTAGTGTCGTTTCTGTTGCTGACTGTCCAATGCAGCTGTTTTGTCTAGGCGCGATGGCCTACGTGAATTGTAGGTAGATGTATCGCACATCGTCGGTCGTCAACTATTCGCCAGAGTGCCAGTATTACTCCACTCCTTCACGTCAGTCAATCCATATTGTCCATTTTGTTAAATTACATCCATACTCCTCCATCAAAATCTAATCTCGTAGCTTCCACCCTTCATCAAGTATCGTACCCACTTAACGGTGTTGTAATTGCTCTTCTCAAACACCTTGAGGTACCTCACCACCAGACCGGAGCACGTGATCATGGTGATTTCAAAGTCCATCGAAATGGGCGGCTTGTTCCACGGCGTCTTCTCCGTGGTAAATGTGAGTTCGGCTGTGGCTCGGAGAGAAATCTCAGAGCCTCCACTGATACGCGACACCTTCCACACAATCTGGTTGGTCGACGAGTCGTACTTCGCCTTGCCGTTGGATGCGTTGATGGTGGTTTTTGCCGCGTTTCGAGGCGTGGGAATGTTGATGACGACGTTGGTAGCTGTCTGCTGCTTGGGGAAGTTCGCCTTGATAACGATATCGTATTCGACTCGTGACTTTCCGACAATCTGCACACTGGGGACCACCTTGAACGGGATGCTTAGGTTCTCCACGCACTTGTAATGCATGAGCTCAAATTCACCATCTGGAGGCACAAAATTGATCGACCGGTCGTGGTCAAAGTTATTCAGCTTGACACAGGGGTGGAAAACACAGTCCTGTAGACCCACAGAGCCGGTGGGGGCAGTGGAGCCACGTCTGCCACCTCGCTTGGACGATCTAGGGTCGTCCTCGTCGTGCTCCTGGTCGAGACGAAGAGTATCGTTCAGTCCAAAAGTGCATTCTGGCACTCCACTGAGTTGCGACTTCATGTGAATGGTTCCATCGACATTAGCAACAAGCACAGAGCCGGTGGGCGAAATGAGTAGGTTGACCTTCTCGACAACATCCACGAACATTTCGTTTCGGTGATGCTTGACGTTGTCTCGTCTCCAGGGAGTGGCACCTGTGATTTGCGAGGTGATGGTCTTGGACCGTTTGAGAGCCTTCATGGATTTCGATCTACTCAGGGCGTCGGGAACAGACACAGACACGGCGCTGGAGCCAGACTCGCTGCCACTTCGCTTGGCCTCCGTCTGAATATACTGCTTCAGCATATCCATCTCTGTGTTTTGGGGAAGGCCAAAGTCGATCATCTCGTCAAGCAGTTCGTAGACCAGAGTGAAGTTCTCCTTGACGCTCTGCTCGTTGAAAGAGCCAAAGTAGGATTTGCCGAGGGCGACAATCTTGTAGAGGAACTCAAACACCATGCCGGCATCCACGTTCGACCGGTTCACCGCAACGACATACATGTCCTCGGACTTGCAGTGCATGAAGGAGGTTGAACCAATGGTAAGAATCGGTGATCGTACCTGGGTTAGTAGTGAAAGGGATTGTGGCGGTAATCGCGAGTTGAAATGGGTGAGAATCGATCTTCCTGCCGGAACGAAGCATGAGATACGACTGAGAGCACTCCATAGAAAGGTAGGGTGGCTGAAAGAGTGGTAGCAGCTGGACATATATCTGGTTTTGCTGTAGATGTCACTCGTTGTCTCGGTGTCGCATAAGGAAGCGGAGCCAGAAGAAATCGAATCATGAGGGATCACGCTGAGTTTTTGAGCTAGTTGAACTAGTCGTGAGATGAGCAGAACTATGCCCAAGTCAGATACGTTGCTGAAACAGTATAGCTTGTGCTTCGTGAGCTTAGTAGCAGTTGTAGAATCGATATCACCGTATGGTTGCAAGGCGTAGTAAAGGGACTCAATCTCTGCCCCAATGGCGGTTTTCCTCTCAAGAAGAATGTCCTCTCTCACACACGTCCTTCATCGTCCTCTAAGAGAGCATAGACATGGCACAAAAGAGAACAGACCATCATAAAACAATCATAATGACCACACTTTCCCTGTCAACACCTATCCAGCTGTTAGCAGTCAGAGTCAACCTCTATTAATCCCTCCAGCTCAATCTCCTGAGCATTCGCGTCACCACACGGTCACTGGTCGCGTGATGGTCGCAATTTTCATCATAGCAACTCATACACGGCCATGAGCCTTCCATTGCAACATTCCCTCAGTCGCCCAGTCGCCCCCATCAATTTCGTGCTCCAATCCTCCTCCCTTCGGTACTCACCTCGGGATTACTAATGACCTGAATTCGAAAGACATCGGCAATGCTTCTCCGCAACCCGTCGCGGTAGAGACGCGAGATCAGCACCTCGCCCTTCTGGTTGTACAGTAGAATAGCCGAAATCATGGTCAGATGGCGGGCAACACGTAAGCTCGTGACAATTAGCGCATGCACGATATGCACCCCTGCGTGTCTGACTAAGCATAGTGACTAAGCTTGATGATTAAGCTTGATGATTAAGCTTGATGATTAAGCATGTAGGTTATGTGAAGGAAAATCTCTAGATTTGTTCTATTGTTTTCACGTGATTTGAAATTACAAATGAAATACAGATGTACAATACAATGCACCTAATGCATGTTCTAGTGTTGTCGACAGGCAACGGGCCATGGTATCTTGGATATCCCAGATTCATGGCCACTCACATTTCCCATATCCATCTATTCAACTTACTTAGTCCGTTAGTATAATCATGACTCACCACTCAAGAATCATATCGCCAAAGGGCTTGCTCTCATGCAGCTCTCGAACAAGTCCGTTGACGTTACTGAGATACTTGCCTAGCATGATCTGCTTGTCCTCGGTCGTCAGGCGGTACACATTGTCTCTCGACATGGTCTGTCGGTACAGAGTCTTGGATTTGTCCACGTTCTGCCTGGTCTGAGTCTCGGGGATGAGGTAGAAGAAGAGAAACTCGAGGATCTTGAGCTTCACGTCCTTGGGAGTCTCCTTTCGCTTGAACAGCGTGCAGATGGTGGCCAGGCCTCCCATGTGTTCAAACAGTCGGATGTTGGGCACTTCACGCAGCAAACAAGCGACCAGCGCTCGAATCGTCACGTCAACGGCCTGGGGGGTTCCAAGCAGCTTGATGAACAGGCCCATGTTGTTTTCGGTGGCAAAGATGCGCCGACTGGGTTGATGCAGCAAAAGAGCTCCTCGAAGGAGATCGATGGCAAAGGGGAGATGCTGGATGGTGTCTGCGCTGGTAAGCATGCGTTCAATTGTCGTCACGAGGTTAGATGCCACATTATACTCGAACGACTCCTGCAACTGCGAGTACTCCTCGAAGTTGGAGCATAGATCAATGTTGGACGTCTGTCGAGCAGCTCGAACCAGACTCTTGAAAATCGATCGGATTTGCTGCAGACCGGCGTATATCCGCTTGGGCGACGACGACGTTGTGTTTGTAATCGCCGTGGAAAGAGAGCTCTCCATGATGAAAGGTCTGTCCATGGCTGGTGGACAATCGCTGTGGGTGCTGCGTACAAGTGTGTCCAAATGGTGTGTTCAAATGGTGTGTTCAAATGGTATGACCAAATGGTATGTAGCAAGTTTGGTACCGATGGGTGATGTTTTGGGGCAGTCTAAGACAATGTTGCAGTCGTGTGCGGATCTCTGTTTTGCTATGTTTGACGTTGGTCGGGAATGTTGATGTTTCTCCCAATTAGGCAGGTTGCCTGCCGATACCACTGTTGTGCATGTTAGACGCAGGGCAGACCAGCCTCCGCGCAGTTGCCAGTTCGAAGCCGGGCAGCGTAGTGGATAAAGCGGCATGAAACATGGGGCTTTAAGGAGCCGGCGTCAAGTTGCAAGTCTCGTTGCACGTTTCGTGTAGTACTGCTGACTTGAAGAAAGTGTTTAGTCAGTGGCAGATCACATGACAAAGAAACCTTGTTTTGACAGTTCAGGAAAGATGCGCGTCGACTGACAGTGTGTTCGATTCGAGCCTTTGGAGGGTAATAAGTGCGGATTTGAGGAAGGGTTGGTTGGATCCGGCAAATCTGGTAATTGCAATGTGTTTTTTTTTTTTTTTTTTTTTTTTTTTTTTTTCAATATCTTCGAGTATAATTGACATCCAGACGTGTATTAAAACTACAAGTAGTTGGAGGGCGTTCAAGGGGTACCATATTTTATTTTATTTGCTGCATACTATATTGTACTGTAAATACATGAGCTCCTTTTTGTTAAAAACCAAATGAAAGTTTGTTGATATTTAGTTAACACTTACATCCTGCTTCGACAACCATCTGGTTCCGATAGTATACCAGGCTTGGTGTATCCGCCCGGGCAGTGACGTAGCCAGGGTATGACTTGATGAAGCTCTTGAGCGCGGGCCAGTCTTGGATCTTCCACAGCAGGAACACAGAGCTGAATTTGACAGGAAACTGCTCACGAGGGAAGTAAATGTACTGCTTCTTGTCATTAGCGGACAAGCGCAAGACATTGTTGAAAAATCCCATGCTGTCAGCACTGGTGAACTGTAGCTTTTCAGAATCGGAGCATTGGTTGAACGAGTGCGATCCTGAGTAAAAGACACATGGAACACGGCTGAGAACCTCGTTCGAGTAGTGGCCACGTTGCCACGAGGAGCAGCACGAGTGGCACGAGAGGTAGCCGAGGGGGTGTGAGTAGCGGTGGAGACTGGCTTCACAGCCTGGACAGCGGAAGCATCGGAAACCTCCTCATGAGACCCGACACTCCACATGAGAGCACTGTCACCCTTCGCGGGAAGTCGTGGGAACCAGGAACCTCTGGCGGCGAGAAGCTTCCGTTCAGAGCTGGGGAGATCATTAATGACCTTTGTGTAACGCTCCAACATATCTGCAATCTGTTTATCAGCGCAGACAGCGGTGATACTGAGCTCAGAACGAGTGGACTCTGGAGCCTCGATGCAGGCGAGCACATCACCCCAGTGGTTGTCATCACGCTGAGAATACCACGTGACCCATGCATCAGGAAGGAGACAAGGGAGACGGCAACACTTGATGAAGTCATCAATTGGAGAGTTTCGGAGTGCGTAGGCGACGCTTTGCAAGTAGGACACGACAAGGAACTGTTGTCGTGGATCCTTCAAGAAAGACTTGCGATCCATGTTGAACTGTCGCTCATGGGCTGCAGGAGTAGAAGAGCTGTCGTCAACAAGTCCAACGTATTGAGCAATGGCGCGGAAGAAACCCGAGCACATCTCAGTGAGGGGTTCATAATCACGAGTCTGCTTAGCGTGCGTGTGGGCAGACTTGAAGTCGTTGATCATGGGCAAATAGTCCGGCTGGTCCCTGACAGAGAGGTGGCGCGTCAGGAACTCGAATCTCCGGTACAGAGGCATTGGAGCGACCATGACGGCCTTGAGGAGGCGGGTGTCAAGGTTACCAGAGTGTTTCATGAACATCTTGGATAGGGCCTCAGCTGAGTCTACACTGGTTCCCTCAGTGGGAGTAGAAGAGTTTAGCAGGAGGTCAATAACCCGGCGACTGCCCCCTTCCCATGGAAGCCCGCAACCGCCCAGGATCTAATGTCGCTTACAGCGGTGTGACCATTTTTCACAAATATTGCGAGGTGAAATCACGGCAGCTACAATCTCATTAGTTGACTCCATATCAGCACATCTATTCGCCTTTCACCTTTTTATAGCACATGAAACGACCAGCGCGGGTAGTGAGCCAGAGATCAGGAGGTGTGTCTTTTGGTTCCCGTCCTTCCTTCTGTCCTTCCATCCTTCCGCCCTCTCCGTCTCTCCGCCCGTAGTTAGTCAATGTTGAAGTGGTGACTCTTGAAGTTGTGCCGTTCTCGCTCCTCGGAAAACCGCTCAACAAACTCATCTGAATGCACCATTTCCTCGGCAAACAACTTGAGTTCTCGGTTCATGCGCTCATACGAGTCCCTTTGACGCTCGTAGTAGCCTGTGAGACTCAGACCTTTAGCCAAGGTTCCCGTGAACTTCTCGCCTTGTCTGAATGTACATCGCCCAGTGTTCTCTTTAGACGCGATGATCTCAAAGGTGTGTTCACCGTCCAGAGCCCACTTGTGTTTGTCGCCTCGACACCATTTGAGAACACTAGGCGAGGCCAGCGCCACGATGGGTGTGTATGAAGAGGTCCTTGCCGGCTGTGTTGCATATACGGCTAGCCTGGAGCCTATGAGATCGAAATAAAAGGTGGCTTCTTTCTCTCTTGGCGGACCTCCACTGACCTTGAGCCATGAATTCCACTGGTGGTAGTTTTTGAAGTCGAAGAGAATGTTCGAAACCACCTCTGGCGATGTTTCAATGGTGATTTCGGTGGTGATTGTGTAGGGCATGGTACTTCTGGCGGGCGGACCTCATCCCACGCCACCACTACACGTATATAAACCTCAGATGGCAAGATCGTGATGCTGAAGCGGCGTAACGTGAGTTTTCATGTAAAGAGTGACATTGGAATGAAATGAGGCGCAGACTTCAATGTTCCGTGAAATTACCAACCAGAACACGAGACACTGACCGAGATACGCGGAACACAACGATATACGGAACGAGATACACTGGACGAGATACACTGGACGAGATACACTGGACGAGATACACTGAACGAGATACACTGAACGAGATACACTGAACGAGATACACTGAACGAGATACACTGAACGAGATACACTGAACGTACCCAGGGCCGACTCTCAAATCTATTTATAGCTCTTGATGCATTGTTAGAGTTGAAAATTCAGTGTGTCCCGGAACTTAACGCAGGGCTAAACGCATGGTTGATTCTTGAACAATAACGAGATTGAAGTCAATAGATGAAGATATTTTCTATATGTTTGAGAGAAAATCAATTGAATGACAACTTACAAAGTCCTCTAGCCAGTCTTTTTTATTCCGCCATGTCTCAATGGCACCCAAACCCCTTCCTTATTAGCCCCGCATGGTACTGTATGTAGATAACTCTGATATGATTTCGTATGCGCGACTCAGTGCTATTTTAGGCCCAAACAACCAGCCGCACGCGCCGTTTTCGGCTCAGAGACAATGGTCGACGGTTTATCAGAGTTCTGAGATACACTGCCACAGCCGTGTTCTGGAAACTCGTCGCTTCGTTGCTCTTGAACTGACGGAGTCGGAAAGGTTGATAGATTAGATAGAGTAGGATCGTGGTAGAGCTGTCTTGTCACGGATTCCAGTACAACTGTCTTGTTACAGACCCAGTATCCAGACGCGCGTTTGGTGTGTAATTAGTTTGGTGAGTGCCCAGCTTCACGTCTCACGCGTGAACACTTTTTCCCAAACCGTCTTGAATTCGGGCAACTAACCAAAGAGTGGGACGAAAGGGTTCTGCAACGTGAAAGGCTCGCAAACAAAAGCCGAGAATCGAGACTCTCTCAACCTGGAATGGTGCAGAGATAGCATCCTGTGAACTTACCTTGCAGAGACCATGAGTATTATCCCGAATCTGCGAGTGGAGCGAAGGCTACGACGGTCTTACAGTCTTTTATAAGCCGTTGTCGGCTTGACAATGTTCGAATGAAGACAGTAAATCTGCAATCACTTCGAGTTGTACTCAGATCAAGTACGATATTATCAATGCTAGATCGAACAACCCCATTGGTCTCGAAAACCTGTACTGGAATGTATTCCACTCCCCCCTTGTCTCTTAGCCGCACCAAATCAATTTCTACATAAACCACTAAAAGTCCTCATTATTGTCCTCTTCAATATCATACCCACCGAACTCGGTTGTATGATCGTAGTCTCCAACTTCACTCCCAGACAGAAACAGGCTGTCGCTATCATGCGTGTCCTGTTCAGGGTTCTGTGCCTCCTCGGGGATCTGTGGCTTGCATCCTTCAGCACTTCTGTCCTTCGCCATCTGCTCCTCCTGTTGCCGTCGCTCTTCTTCAATTTCCCGGTGTTCTTCTCTCCGCAATCGATCCTGTTCAATGGCTTCTTTCTCTTTACCTTCCCTCCACGAATACTCAGAGTTCACCAACTCGAACAAATCATCATACTGGTATCTCATCTTGTCGCTAATGCGCTCCAGTCGACCCTTCATCAGTCGAACATTGAACCTGGGTGTCAGTCCGTCACTATTAGAGGCCTCCAGATCCTTCAGCAGCTTCCTGTACTCGGTCATCAAGAGCAGAGCGGTGACAGGAGCCTTCTGGAGTTTTTCCTGTCTGTCTAACTCGGCCTCCACGAGGTTGTATTCCGCCTCAGCAACATTCTTTTCAGCTTCAACAACACCCTCGTCGTCTCCCTCATTCATCAACCGAAGACACTTCCACCGAGCCTCATGCAGCTTGTTTCGCAGACTGTTGTCGGAGCTGTAGCTGTAAAACTGGTCAGTCAAATGGGGAGGATCGGCGATACGAGCCAGCTCTTCACGTGTCATACTGGGCTCGCCCACATGCTTCTTCCATAGCTTGATCCACAGAAGACTGTCAAGATCGGCCATGGTGAAATGATAGGGCAACTTGACAACAGACTGCAAGATGATCAGAGAGTAGACACACGCATACAGCTTGTTGTAAATACGCAGACAAGTGGGGTTCAGATACATGCTCTTATCGCTCCACTCGAGCTTCCGATATGTCAAATCAGGTTCTTTGGTCGCGGGCTTTTTGGTACCCCAGATCTGCAGCATGTAGACTTCAACCAACTTTCTGTAAGGTTCCTCCTCGTAATCCAACCGGGTATCCTCATTCTTGGAAGTGGTGTACTTGAAGATCTCCGTCACAATCTGTCGCTTGAGTCCCTTCATGGTAATCTTCTGCAGTCGGTTCATCATGCTAGCCAAGGGGGGATAAACATCAGGCTCCTTTTCTCGATACCTGTCGCACACAGGAATCTTAGTCATAGCAATAGTGGAGCCCTCTCTTCTTCCCTCGACAAAATGCATCCGGGCATCAGCCATGTATTGGACCCTATCCATCAACAACTCGTACGCCACAGATCTCCATGGACGACCGGCCAGAAAAGCGCTTTCGGCCCAAAATGGCTCGTTCAAAAGCGGCATCTGTTTGTACACGGTGCTTGTGTTTCTGATTATGTTGAGCGCTCGTTGGACCTCGAAGCAGTCCGTCTCTAGATTGATGTGTTTGTAGGGCTTGATGAGCTTGTGTTTGGTGTCCAGAACATTGTGCTGGTATTCTCGCCATTTGTGGTACTTGTCATTTGTCCGCAGCCACTTTTTGACCTCCTTGAAACTGCTGTTGCCCGTAAATCGTTCCATACACAGGAAAGCCAGCTCGAAACAGTGTAGTCGGGGCTCTTTCTTCAGCAATCGAGGAGGGTAGAGCATGGACACCTCCCAGTCATGTTTGAGAGTGTGAATCTTGCACAAGTGGACATTCTCGGGCCAGTGGTAGGCCGCGTACCTGTTATCCTTGCCCAAGAGAAAAACCTTTTCGCTTCGGTTGTATCGGGCATATTGGTAGACTGTACTGGCGAGAATCTCGTGCTTCTGAGCCGAAGCCGTCGCAATCACGTTCAGATGAGGGTACTTGTCGCGTATGTAGTCGTAGACAATGGCCGACACGGAATTGGGACGTCCTCCGAGAAGCGGAAATCGACACATGAATCTCATTTGGTCGTCCACCTCTTGCTGCGACGCCACCCGGTCGATTTCGGGTCCCTGGCCATCGAAAATGATTGCTCCAATGTCCCAGTCTTTCCAGTAAGCCATGAACTCGTCCACCCGTTGGCAAATGCCTCCCCAGTCGCTTCTCAGGGTGTAGTGACCTGTGGCGGTCAATCGAAGCGCAAAACAGTCGCCGTCGATAAATACTTTTCCTTTGTCCTTGGCGAGAGATGTGTTTCCATGTTTGACCTTGTAATAGAACGGCTTAAGGTGCTGAGAGAGTCCTGCTATCGTCATTCCGTCGTTGCGATGTTGGTGAAAGATCAGATCAGAAATATTTAGCCGACCTGCAGGCAGAGCCAATTTCGCATCTTTTTAGATAGGACGTGGTAGCTGTGGTTTTGGTCGGAGCGGTGAGCAGCAGGAAAAGGAACCGTTCCGAGGGCGCCATTTATTTGTGTCAGAAGGCTGACGTGGCCACTTTCGTTAATGGAGTCGTTGAACGGTCAAGATGGTGAGGTTGAGAGAACATAATTTTAGTTGAGGGGTCTGAAGTAAGTAAATCTAAAGTAATCTAAAGTAATTGGAAACCAAATTTCTATCGATATTCTATACAAAAGTTACATGTTCCTTCAACCTAACTAAACCCAACTAAATGACCAAACCCCCTTGATTTACATCACTGTTCTGAGCGAGTACTGAAGATCAATGCCCATGGCTGTTGCAATGCCAAATAAAACTCATCAACACCTACATTGTCTACAACTGTCCACAGATTCCCTTTTACTTCTACTTGAATGTACCAGCGTCGGGTGTGGCTGCCTCCCCTTGTCTACACACTCCTCTTTTGTTAAAACTGTTATTATCCGTCACTCGCCGTCTTACATCTTGTACTTGACGGGCTCGTAAGCATCCTCGAGGTACTTCAAGTCCATGGCATCAAACTCAACGTCCAGGGCGGCCAGAGCCTCATCCATTCGCTTCTCGGACGAGAAACCAACAATGGGCATGGCACCCTTGTGAAGGACCCAGGCGGTGGCGATTGTGGCCATGGCAACGCCCTTCTTCTTGGCCATCTTCTCGACCCGGTCGATGATCTCGGCAGTGGAGTCGTGGTCCTTGTCGAACAGCATCATTCGCAGATCAGAACCGGACCGAGCAGTGTCCTCAGCACTTCTGGGTCGCGCAAGAATGCCTCGAGCCAGAGGAGACCAGGGAATGAGACCAACACCAGTCTTGTTGCAGTACCAGTTGAGTTCCCGCTCGTCCTCCCGGTTGATGAGGTTGTAAAGAGACTGCATAGAGATAAACTTGGTCCAGCCATGCTTCTCAGCCACGTTCTGCAGCTCCACAAACTCCACGGCTCGCATGGAAGAGGCTCCTAGGTAGCGGGCTTTGCCAGACTCAACACAGTCATGCAGGGCCTTCATGATCTCCTCGTAGGGACACTCGTCGTCGAGTCGATGGATCTGCAGCAGATCAATGTAAGTGCCGAGTCGTTCACAGCAGTCGTCCACCGAGGCAATAATGTTCTTTCGAGACAGTCCGATTCGGTTGGTGAACTCCAGCATCTCCTCCTCCGATCGACCGCCGAGAATGGTCTCTCCGTGGAGTCCCTCCTCGGCCACGGGGAAGAACACCTTGGTCATAATGACCACCTTCTCTCGTGGGATGTTGTACTTTCGCAGAAACTTGCCCAGTAGCACCTCGGAGAGACCGTTGGAGTAGGTGGAGGCGGTGTCGAACGTTCGCAAACCTCGGTCGTAGGCAGCCTTCAGCAGCTCCAGGGACCGCTCTTCGTCTCCAATGACCCAAGGAGCCCAGTTGCTAGAACCAAACGACATACATCCCACAATGATGGAGGACACCTTGAGGCCAGAGTTGCCCAGACGCTTGAAAGATTTATCGGTGAGTGGCAGAGACATGTCGAGAGAGTGTAATTGCTGGTAAAGGAGATGTCGACGACTTGTGGTAAAAGCGCAGGAAGTGATGTGTTGTGTAGATCGGTTTCGCTTATAAGTTAGGGTTGGATAGTGTGTTCGTTCAAAGGTGGGGAACGAGAAGAAGGGGGCCTTTAATTCCTCAATTAAACAAGTTGGCGCGATTCTGAAAAGACGTATATAGCCATAATCATACCCTGATTCGATCAATACCATTTTATCCCAAATTACTCAGCAAAACACGCCCAAATAACAACACCCCTTTCCCACCCCCACACCAAGATGAATAATAAGCTCGAAGATGCAATTCACAAGGATACAACGGAGCTTCAATCTGATCACGGTTTTCTGTAATATGTCCTCCCCCGAATCTCACGTAAGCTACCAAATCACGTGACCCCAACTGTCCAATCGTCTATATATAGCATCACGTGACCGACAACCCCCCACCCAACCAGCGGCATGTTAGCCGCAACACACCCCATCATCTCCACTCCGCATATTATGCAGGGTGTAGGAGATAACGCTTAATCCCGGCAATAGGGTAACTTGATTAGTAATCTGCATCGCATGGCATGTGAGTGAAGTGCAAGTTGGGATAAGAAAAAACGGAACCCTAAATTATTTTTGAAATATATATATATATATTTTCTCGTTCCACCCACACTGTGGGGAAAAACGGAGATTCGCGCGGATACTTGAACTCGGCAAAAACGAGGGATATAAATTGTGGTATACTGGAGCTCTATTTGACTTTAAGTTGGTTAAGTCCGCTCCGATAAATGTCAACTAGTGTGGATAAAAACATCATCATTCATCAATCATAATCTCTATGTGAGTGGGGTCATGCCGATAGCAGATCCATGGCGGCCTGAAGCTCTTTCAATGCTGTCTCCTTGTCCTCGTAGTTGAGGGCGGAAATGGCAAACTTGGCGTGTTTCTGGGCCTGTTTGATCAGAGCGTCTTCGTCCAACACAGTCTTGGGGTCGACTGGTTTGGCCACAATCTTTGCAGGCGACGACACCTTTCGCTGCGGGCTGGGAAGAGTGGGTTTGGGAGGAGCCACGTCTCCGGGGGGGTTGGAAGGAGGAGCAGGAGGAGTGTTGTCTTCGGGAAGAAAAGTCGGAGGTGCAGGAGGAATGCTCGATAGGGGGTCGTCATTATCGTGAGATGATAGTGCCTTGGAGGCGTGAATTGAAACCTCTTTCGGAGACAATCTCTTGTCGAAAGGATCCACAGAGTCAGCACCGTCGTCAACGCCAGCTTCCTTCTTCATCTCCGCCATCATTCTTTTGATTTGTTCCTCCTCGGGCAGCTCTGCCTCCTCCTCTTCTGTGGTTGGTTGTTTTGGAGCAGTATCTTCGTTTCCGTCATCAATGGCGTTGTCGATAACGTCGTCCTCGTCCTCGACAGTGAATTCGTTGGGGTCTTCTCCGGCCTTGAGAGTTCTGAGGATTCGAGCGGCGTGGAACTTGGCATACTTGATCTTATCGACAACGTCCTTGTCCAGCTCTCCAAACAGCTTGACCACCTCAAAGAAGGTGGCCGCGGCAAAGAACATCTGCGCCGTGGCCTTGGTGCTCGTCTTGTCCCGCACCTGCTTGTCTGCCCGGGCAAAGATCTTCAGGGCAAAAGCCTCCACATACGAGCTGGCCACCGTGTCGTCACTGATAACAGCCTGGCCCTTCTCCGACACCAGAACCGGATCCTCCTCCTTGAGCTTCTCAATCTCGTCCAGCAAATTCCCGGTGAAGATGGCGGCTTCTGTGTCTTTCTGATGCAGACCCTGGTCGACAATCTGCTGCGCCGCGTACAACTTGCAATGGTACGAGATGATGGGGTCCGCCGTCTGCGTCTCCTTGGCCTTGGCCAGATACGGCGTGATTGGTTTCAAAGAAGCCGGAGTCGTCATTTCAGCTGCTGGAGTAGTTGTAGAGGTTGTGTGGCGTGTATCAGCATCGTATGTATAGATAGCAATTGAGTTCAAGTGGCACATGGTGGAACGTGGGGGTAAGGAGTGGAAATAGTGGGTGCAATAGTGGTGTGAGAGGTACGATATTTACATTTCAGAAGTCTACGAGTTGTAAGGAACAACATGATATCTTTTTATATTCAACAGGATGACAACTGATAACCTTGACAACTCCGCGTGGTGGTACTAGTATGTACAGTAGGTACATCGTATCTCAGGAAAATCTCGACCAACTGACCACTGCAATCAACATACAAAGTACCATCATATCCCCAAACATGAACATACGAAGACATGTTACGACGCCGTGAAGATCGTGGGGTCCCGGACGTTTTATTTTCGTCACGTGACTCTCCTCTGGCGTGTGTTTTGATCACTTTTGTGTCTACTTGTACAAGTACTTGGAGATATACCCTCCCTAGTTAACCATCATACAGTAAGTAGCTGTACAATATGTACTGTACTTTTACAATACAACATTGAGCTTTCAGAACGGCATTTCTGAGAGGTTAAGACCACGAAAGCGACTCAAGTCGAAGGAACTCCCTCTAAAAAGCCCCATGATAAAGCTCAGCTCAAGTTGCCGTACAACTATCTCCTATTCTACTACCCTACGCTGCCTGCCTCTTCCCACCCACTTACGTAATACAATCTAGGCTTGACCCTTAATAAACGGTTATAAATGGACGCATCAGTGGAGATATTGAAAAACGGGAAAACGGAAATTGCCTTCACGTGACCCGCTCTACTCGGTCTCCGCCGACTCGACGCCCGGTATCTCTTGTATCGGCTTTTCTACACGGGTTTTGCTGATCTCAGCCCAACACAGGACTTTTAGAGTTGCAACGCCAAAACCAATAACGGGTTAGGTGTTTCCATTTGCGGGGTTATTTGTGGAGGAGAGAAATGGAAAAATTGCCAAAATATCGAAAAACCGCGAGAAAAATAGGGAAAAAATAAGTTTCTGGTAGATGTCAAATATCTCTCTCTTATGATGCAATCTCCTCCCAGATTTTGTCTCTTTTCATCAAGATAATTACCTCAGGTTTGTTGGTTATGCTATCACTAATTGAATGGAAGAAAAGCGGCTCCAACATGTCCAATAATCACGCTAGAAACAAGAGAAGAGTCTTGAAATGCTCGGGCAGTCGTGCCGAGCCCCATCTACTTCTTTTATTCGCGCCACCTCTTCCCCCGCCCCCCACAGCTCCCCTCGGCAACTCTTGCTACTTATACTTCCCATGCACGAATAAGCCGCCAAAATAGAGTGAGCAAGTGTGCTGAATGGGTGGGTTAGTGGAGGGAGCTACGACAGGGCGTTTGTGACTGAATGCGAAATATTTTGGGGGCGCGACACAGAGCAGAAACCAAAGTATATATATGTGTGTGTCTCCCGCGGCTCGGCTCTGTCGCCCGCTGGGCTTGTCTTTTCTGTGTCCATGGGTTTTTGGGCCTGCCTCCCAATCACGCGTTACCCTCCTACGCGCCTGAGTTTAACTTGCAATCGTGACTCTCTGCACGACGACACGGCCGAGACGATACTGTGCCAGTAATACACCCCATTCCACGGCTCTAGCGACACGTCTACAGCGACACAGACACGGCCCTCGCAACTAGCGCCATACAACCAGCGTTTTCCCACGACCGATCATTCCCGTGACGCTAAAACCAGCTCCACAAAACCCTGTACACCCTTGCTCCACGACAGTGCCCTGAGGTACCGACAGAAAAAGAAGCGCTCAGAACCACCTCTGGACAGAGAAGAGCTAGCTACACGACTGCGACTTTGCTCGAGCTCCGCTAGACTCGCCGACTTGTATTTTTTCACAACTGCATTCACACCACATCTGTTTGCCCCAGAAAAACTGACGCTCAAAGACGTTCACGACACGCTACAGGCGACAAAGACCATTGTTCATCCACAACCATGCCCGACGTGAAACACGAATCCTCCACACCTGGCATGTCGCCAGAATTGTACACCGCCGTTTACTCCGGAATCCAGGTGTTTGAAATGATGGCCAACGACGTGGCCGTAATGAGACGACGCACAGACTCGTCGCTCAACGCTACCCAAATCCTCAAGGTGGCCGGCGTGGAGAAGTCCAAACGAACCAAGATTCTCGAAAAGGAGATCCTCACCGGCGCCCACGAAAAGGTCCAGGGAGGCTACGGAAAGTACCAGGGAACATGGATCCCTTACGAGCGAGGCGTCGATCTGTGCCGACAGTACTCAGTCTACGACGTGCTGCAGCCGCTGCTAGCTTTTGATCCCGCCCAAGTCGGAGACTACACACCTACCAAGGAACAGGCCATGGCAGCCCGCCGAAAACGGATCGTCGCTACCAAGCAGCAGAGCCGAATGGACATGCCTCTGGCGCAACCCCTGCAGCTTCCCCAAACACACACCCCTCTCTCTGTGTCTGCCGAAAGAGCACTTTCCATGCTCGGCAACAACTCCATGAGCAACATGAGTGGCTCACCCAGCATGTCTAATATGGGCACTCCTCAGATTGGCACTCCAGGCACAGACTCAGCGTCTCCTCCAGCCAAGCGTTTCAAGTCGGAAACTAACGGACACGGACATGGTGGCCCTCAAAATCAGGGCCCCCAAGGCCACCAGAGTACTCCAGGACACATGGTTCAACAACAGCAACAACAACAACAGCAGCAGCAGCAACCCAACCACACTCTGGAATTCGACGAAAACCTTCCCACAGCAGACCTGTTCTCCCCGACGAACCTCCCTATGGACCCTCTTCCTCCGGATGCACACAATGACGCGTCACGAGATATCATGACTCAGCTGTTTATGGGCAACGGAGCAACGAGCTTCTCGCCGGCCATCAACGTTGACGTCCCCATTGACGATATGGGACATGCTGCTCTTCATTGGGCTGCTGCCTTGGCCCGAGTGGATGTTGTACGGGCTCTGGTCATGCATGGAGCTGACCGACGACGAGCCAACTACGCTGGCGAGACGGCGCTAGTTCGAGCTATCCTTGTGACCAACAACTTTGACTCCGGCACCTTCCCCCAGATGCTGGATATCATTTACCCAGCCATCCCCCTACTAGATAAGCAGAACCGAACTCTTCTGCATCACATTGCCCTGACTGCTGGTATCAGAGGCAGAGCAGCAGCTGCAAAGTACTACCTTGAGTGTCTGCTCGAGTGGATTGTGCGACGGGGGACGTCGCCGAAGCGAATCCGGTTCTCTTTGGCGAGATTTATGCAGGAGATTGTCAACGCTCAGGACAAGTACGGTGATACTGCGTTGAACATTGCTGCTCGAGTCGGAAATCGTGCGATCGTGACCCAGCTGATTGAGGTTGGTGCAGATCCCATGATTCCCAATCGAGCTGGACTTCGACCTGTTGATTTCGGCGTCACTATCAACCTTGCCGAGGTTAAACCCATGCTCTCGCGGTCAGGAGAACGAGTGGGCTTCTCTGCAAATGCCGAGACGCGGTCTAAGGATATTCTGCAGACGATCATCTCGTCGATCGAGGGTCTGGACACGGATTTCTCGTCTGAGATGGCTGGACGAACTCGAGCGGCTGAACAGGCTCATGCCGAGCTCAGGGGAGCTACCAATGCACTTTCCGAGGCTCGACAGCGACTTGAGCACCTCAAGAACCTTTCTTCCAAGCGAGACGCAATGCTGAAGCGAGCAACTAACCTTGAGCGGGCTCTTCACGACGAAGATGCCAAGTTCCAGGCGCATTCCGGCGGTGCTAATATGTCTTTCGAGGGTAACTTTGACGCTGACCAGCCGTTCCGAACTCGTGCATTGTTCCAGGCTCCTCGAGACAAGGAGTGGTCTGTGCAGGAGATGAACTCGATTGAGGTCCCCTCCCAGCAAGTCCTTCAGGCTCGTGTGCGAGCGTACCGAAAGAACCAGGCTGAGCTGGAGCGAACGTCTGGAGAGCTCAGAGGCAGATCGACCGAGCTGGAACACAAGTTCCGACGGGTCATTGCTCTGTCCACTGGTGTTGCCGAGGATAAGGTGGACGAGCTGCTGGAGGGTCTTGTCCAGGCAGTGGAGAGTGATTCAGGGGAGGTCGACATCAACCGGGTGGCTGGTTTCCTGAGAAAGTTGGAGCCTCCTCAGCAGGCATGACTGCATCAATTTTCGTTTTGAAAAGAAACAAACAGCTCACGGTATGGGCTGTTCTCAGTGTATAATCGTGTGTAATTTTTATATAATCACGGCTAATGAAATTATGTTAATGAGATGGCACTGGCGTCGTACCAGTAGGAAAGATATCAACATACCAACATACACTCCACAATGCTGTGTAGAATAATAGAGAATATAAAAGGTCGATACAGTCGTGGCTACCGACACTGACGTCTTTCACGCCCTCATCTCGAATGAAACAACTCTGCGTCTGCCTTCCCTTTTCCCTGGCTGTCTATTGTTGCCCCGCAGGACCCCTGTTACTAAGTACATATAGTTGGAGTTTATTTAGGACATGGGGTGTCTTTATATTGGGATGTAGAGGATATAGAAAGAATTTGAAAGCAGATTCTGGATATTCCAATCAACACCATTCTAATGGTACCAAAAAACCTCACCTTTGTATTACAATAATCGCCATTTTCCGACGCCCCCACTTTTTCCAAGGACAACACATGCATAAGCGAGATTAAGATTTGGCGATGGTGCGTATACCAGCCTCGACAGAGTCTCTTGTCTGCTACTTTCACTACTTGTCATATCAGCATCATGAAACTGTTGAAGTATGCCGCCGCGGCGCTCTTTGCGTCCAGCGTGGCTGCCAACGTGACGGTCGAGCTCAAGGCTCAATGGCAGAGTGACTTTCTGCTGGAATTAGTGTGAGTATCGAGCATGGCAGGGCGGCGATCTTGCGTGTTTGGTTTGGCTATGAGTTCTGGCAGTGGACTGGATCAATTAGTGGTGGCCAATACCAGTGTCCAAGACTACATGTCACACAGGACCCAGTATGTGCGACAGTCCAAGGTACATGAGCGACTTGAGTCAGGCAATCTGGATCTAAATGATGGCCTCGGAGAGCTCTGACTACGACGATGACCTTAGCAGGTTATTGGACAGAGACAGTACTTGGGTGATTGTGTTAAATGTTGAGTGACTCAGCCATGGAAGAGGCGATCAGTGTAGACAAGCAAATCCCCGGACCGATATTGGCCTGTGTCTACCATCCTGGCACCAATGGACGGTATGGATCCAAGGTCAGACGATTGTTATCGGAGATACGAACCAACCCGGTTCATTAGATCCTGCTCCCCGACGACCTCCGGTAGATTCGATGGAGAGTACTATTTCTCTCTACCTGACAAGTTCGCGCTAAAGATCATCACCGGAGTTCACACCAGCAAATGGTCTCCCCCTCGCTGGACTGACAAAAAGCTGATCTCAAGACTCTGTCACCATTAACGTACGAGCTGCCGATATTCTGTTGGCTGTCGACAAAATTGTCCATCGCCTTTCTAACCCAGTGAAACCCTTTCAACTGAACACACCTACTTTGATTTCATCAATCACATTGCCGAACAGGTCGAGGATGGTGCCAATTATACCGACAAGGAATGGTACGACAACCTGACGGCCTTTGCGGCCTCCAAAAGCGAGATCTCCGACTTCCAGAAATCTCTGACCGACGCCGCCCTGGCCTTCCGGCGAGAATCTCCTCTGATTGAGACCTTCTACCAGCTCGGCGACAGCCAGGAATCCGAGTGCGACATCTTCTTCACCTACAATGGCAAAAAATACTGCGACTCCAACGATCTCTTTACTCTCAAGACCACCAAGATGCCCAAGAACCCCAGTGTGTACTTTTTCGACCACGTGGCTCGATCCGTACAGGCCAACAAGCATCTTAAGAACATCCCCGTGACCGTTCTTTACGCTGATCTGCGATCTCCCGAGTTCCCTCTGTTCCACAAGATTCTGTACCAGGAGGCCCAGGATGGAAAGATGGTGTACATTCTGCGATACCGACGATCAGACCGATCTGAGCGAGTTACCATGACCGGTTACGGTGCCGAGCTGTCCCTCAAGAAAACTGATTACCTGGTTCTTGACGACGACGCTAACACTGAGAAGCTGACTGACAACAAGAACCCCGTCTACACCAAGAGGGAGCTGCAGAACATGGGCCTGAACGCCGCGCAGTTTGTTCTCAACCATCGAAAGGACCCCGAGGCTGCTCTCAAGGCCCTCAAGGAGGTGTCTTTCGACTTCCCTCTTCTATCATCTTCTCTGAACAACACCAAGCCTGTCAAGGGCTTCCAGAAGGCCCTCCAGGAAAATACAGCCGCTGGTGATTTCATGCCTGGAGCCAATCAGATGTTTGTCAACGGTGCCTTGCTCTCCACCTCGGCCAGCAACCTGCAGTCTCTGTTTGATCTCGTTGCTCTTGAGCACTCTCGACTCGAGGTTCTGGCTAAGACCCTAAAGGGTGCAATCTCTGCTGAGCAGCTTGCTTCTATTCTCAACGACTATCCTTTGCAACACGCTTTGGAGTCCCAGCCTCAGCGAATCGACTACCGTGACGCCGATGCTCTTCTGTGGCTCAACAACCTGGCTACAGATATCCAGTACCAGGAGTGGCCCCGATCTGTGGCTTCTCTGCTCCAGAACCAGATCAACCTGGCTCATAACGCCCAGACAGTGGTGATGCCTTTCAACATGGACGATTTCGCTGATGTCAAGGTTGACAAGGAGACTGGAGAGTTGATCAACATGCACCCTATTAACCGAGGTAAGCTCACTGTGCTGTTCACTATGCTGCAACGAAGCATGCCCATCCAGTTTGGTGTCGTTCCTTACGGATCTACCCTCAAGGGTAAGAAGCTGTCTCAGTACCTTCACTACCTTGCACGAAATGTCGACGCCACTGCTTCTCTTCGATTCCTGTTCGCCCTCGGAGCTGGTACTCCTGTCGAAGAGATCTTTACTCAAATCCCTGCCGAGATTACTCAAGAAAGTGTGGACGAAGCTCTCAAGGAGGAATCCTACGAACCTTATGTGACTGCCTCTCGAGAGTGGATGAAGAAACTGGGTATGAATGAGGCCCAGACGCAGGAGCCTGCTTTTGTAATGAACGGTATTGTCATGCCCTTCTCTGAGAAGTGGCAGAATCTTGTGGGAGCTCGGTTCCAGCAGGATCTGCCCGAGATGCTCAAGCTTGTCCAGAAACAGATCATCAAGGTGTCTAAAGAGGCTCCTGTTGGTGAAGATGACGAGGACGAGGATGACGAGAACGCTGGAAACCCGGTTGACAAGTACTTTGCCAACCACGAAATCAAGGATCTGTTGGTGGAGGGAAGCCCCACTCGACGAAACCTCATTCTGTCTCCTGCATCTTTCACCAACCTGCAGTACCTTGAGAGCGACTTAAACCTGAAGGATGTTTCCACTGCTACAATCGCTGGTACGACTGCCTCTATCTTCTCCAACTCCATCCTTGCTGGAAACTTTGCCTCTACCCAGTTTGTTTCACAGCTTCTGGCTCTTATTGAGGCACAGCAGGAGGAGAAGGACAGGTTCGCTTTCCGAACCCAATTTGTTCATATCGGACAGACTGATAGTGCCAAGGGTCAGGTGATCAACGGAGTTGTTCAGAAACTGACCGAGCTGGCTGGTGAAGAGCAGGTTAGTCTTCTCAAGGATGCCCTTGCTTATCTTGAGGGTGACAATGCTTCTTTCTCTGCCAAAAAGGTTCCCTTTGACAAGACCATCACTGCTTCTGAGGAGGTCAAGTATCTGAAGCAGTTCAAGACTACAGAGTCTTCTACCCTTCTCATTATCGATGGCCTCGTCAATGACATTTCTTCCAAGGCCATGCTTCTTGATAAGTCCGAGGTGATTGCCCTTTACGAGCGAGAGGCCGTTCGACGTCTTGAGCTCACTTCTGTCGCTCTTTCTGACCTCAAGTTGCTTACCAAGTCTGTCGAGAACAACCTCGATCTTGCCAAGGTGCACATTCCTCTCGCTAAGATCTTCTACGGTGATGCAACTGAGCAGGAATCTACGCTTTATGATGTTCGTGCCTTCCACCACATTCGATGGAACAAGGACGTTTCTTCTTTCGTGCTTGGCGATGAGTCTACTTCTCTCGTCAAGATTGTTGCAGCTGTTGATGTGCTCTCTGACGGAGGACAGCGACTTGTGTCTCAGATTGAAGCCATTTCAAAGGTCACTGGTGTTTCCGTTCGAGTCTTCCCCTCCCCCAAGGCCCCTGATGCCCGCCAGGAACCCACCCTGCCCCTGAAGCGATTCTACCGAGCTCACAACTCTGTCGTTCCGGAGTTTGATGCCGAGGGAGCTCACAAGGTGCCCAACCTCAACTTCGAGGGTCTTCCCGCTCAGAACCTGCTTACTTTCGGACTTGACGCTCCTTCTTCTTGGATTGCAATGCCTGCCGACAACACGCACGATTTGGACAACATTTTGCTTGAGGAGGATTCCGAGGACTTTGTCGACGCTTCCTACTCACTCCAGAACATTCTCATTGAGGGATCCATCATCGACATTACCAAGAATAGCTATGCTCCTGGAACCGACCTGCTTCTGAAGAGCACCCTAACAGGCGAGTCTTCCGATACTCTTGTCATGTCCAATCTGGGTTACTTTCAGCTTCAGGCAGGCCCTGGTCTCTGGGAACTTAACCTCGGACCCTCTGCTTCTGACGTCTATGAAACTGAGCACGAGGTTATCATTCCTGTCACTGACGTTCTTGGTCCTCACATTTCCCTCTCCATGGAGCGAAAGAAGGGTAAGGAAAATGTTGTCGTTGGCGCCTCTCAGGACAAGGCCAAGCTGTGGAGCAAGCTCAAGAAGAGTACTGGTGTCTCCACCAAGAAGCAGGCGGACATTAACATTTTCACGGTTGCTTCTGGCCATCTCTACGAGCGATTCTTGAGTATCATGACTGCCTCTGTCATGGCCCACACCGACCACACTGTCAAGTTCTGGCTCATTGAGAACTTCCTTTCTGCCTCCTTCAAGGCCTTCCTCCCCCACCTTGCAGCCCACTACGGCTTTGAGTACGAACTGGTCACCTACCAGTGGCCCCACTGGCTACGAGGTCAGACCGAGAAGCAGCGGCAAATCTGGGGATACAAGATTCTGTTCCTGGATGTCCTCTTCCCTCAGGATCTTGAACGAGTCATCTTCATCGATTCCGACCAGATTGTGCGGACTGATCTGTACGAACTTGTCGAGATGGATCTTGAGGGTGCTCCCTACGGTTTCACCCCCATGTGTGATTCTCGAAAGGAGATGGACGGCTTCCGATTCTGGAAGCAGGGCTACTGGGATACTTTCCTGGGTGATGATCTCGTCTACCACATTTCTGCTCTGTTCGTTGTTGATCTCAAGGTCTTCCGAGCCCAGCAGATTGGAGACCGACTCCGAGTCCACTACCACCAGCTTTCTGCCGACCCAGCTTCTCTGTCCAACTTGGACCAAGATCTGCCCAACAACCTGCAGCGGCAGGTTCCCATTTTCTCCCTGCCTCAGGACTGGTTGTGGTGCGAGACGTGGTGTTCTGACGAGTCTCTGAAGACTGCGAAGACCATTGACATGTGTAACAACCCTCTCACCAAGGAGCCCAAGCTCGACCGGGCTCGACGACAGGTTCCCGAGTGGACCAAGTACGACGATGAGATTCGAAAGCTTCGAAAGGAGGCTGAGGGAATTGAGGGCAAGAAGAAGGAGGAGGAGGAGCGCGCCGGACCTGTGGAGGTCGAGGTGGAGATCGATGAGCCTGAGGCCGATCTTCACGACGAGTTGTAGACAACGAATGTATTGAATAAACGTATGTATTGTACCTAGCCATATAAATGGCGAGCTTGTGTTTGGTTTCCAAAATGTCAGCTTTTTTTTTTTTTTTTTTTTTTTTTTTCTTCTTAATCTATGAAATACATTTCAGCTACTTGAGGCCATAAGACAAAGTTATACCCGCAAATCGGATGGCATCCGTACTCGCTTGTTCACGTATCCTGTCTTCCATTTCTTGGTTTTTTCTCTTTTTATTCTAATGATTCATTACAGCCTGTTTTTTTTTTTCTTACATAATTAAATGTTAGCTTGGTTATATAAAAAATTACTCTAAGCATGTTAGAACACAGGCCCACTGGCCCTTCGTCGTAAGTACTCACTGCACGGGCTTCTTATAGAGTAAAGAAGCTACTGATCAAACTGCTGGAGAGATAATTGTTGTATTCAATACATGGGAAATGAGAGCTATTTATAATAATGGCACCGGACCAACCGACGGGGCCGTAAGGTGACGGTCGAGCCCTGGGGGACTCGACAGACCCCCACAATAGTGGATCCTTGCCCGAAGGGCACTGACGGGATCCACTCTCGAGAGTTGACAGGCAAACGTCAACGCTGCTGGACGTCCGTAGTCGCGATGATCGCGACGCCCGGACGTCATACCGACAGACGGTGATCGAGAGGTGCAGGACTGACAGTTGATGCAGGAGACAGCAACTGAGCTCCGACGATGGTCGATGGTCTGCGTGCCGTAGACACAAGAAATACCAAAAGAAGATCGTTTCCTAACAAAGCATCATTCGCCTGGCTAGCTCAATCGGTAGAGCGTGAGACTCTTATTCTAAGGTATCTCAAGGCTGTGGGTTCAAGCCCCACGTCGGGCTATTTTCTTTTTTTTACTTAAGATGGTGTGTATGTGACGCCGCGAGAGAATCCTTCAAGAGGCTTGTAGGGTCGCAATGCCGCCATTGTTTCTTTAACAACCCCCGATCTTTCTTAGTCATTTGCTTCTATATATTTGGGTTGCACTTACCTCACCCATCAATCTTTCTCCGCACATCACCATGCCAAAAAAGTATACCAAACAATATAAGAGATATCCGAGCGTTCCGAATCAGAGTACTAAGCCAGCTGTTGCAGATTCGGCGCAAAAACCATCGCTCTCGGCCATCTTTGGCGTTCCTCTCAGTCGAGAAGAGCTGGTAGAGACGAAACGCCGAGCACGAGGTGGCGGCTCTTTGAGCAAATCTGTGGGTCCAGCGGTGCAATCCGAACCATGTATGGACCCGGAGATTGCTCGCTTCGTGCAAGATCCGTCGAGAATCACAATGCTGCCGCCAGTGAAGGCAGGACCACCCGCCCCAGCAAGTTGGATGGTGAAAAAGAGCGTCCAAGAGCCCGAATTCAAGAGGGTCTTCAAACCGCAAGAGGAGGGCGTGTCAAGTCTTAAGAGACTATGCATCAAGAGCGTTGCGGAGTTCTACCCCGAACACAGGGCGCTGTTGGACGTGTACAGTGAGTATCTGTCTACGAATCTAGTGCTCGACATGTTGCCTCAAATATCACAACTAAGCAAGTACACAGTGTCTCCCCAGGCATACAGCTTGCTCTTGCATCAACCATCATACCCGGAAATTACCCACCTGGATCTCTCTGGCCTGGACTTGAGAGAAACGAGGGTACTCGCTGACTGGCTGCTAAGTCGCAAGAAAGAGAAGGAAGAGGAGGAAGTAGATTGGGAGGATGTTCAGGATGAAGAAGCAAATGTCGAAAAGTTTCCCAATCTGACATCTCTGTGTTTGGCATACCCTTCGCATCACAATACTCGTCTATGGCCTATGTTGCTGTCGTTAACGAAACATTTCCAGCTCAGCAAGTTGGACATTTCAGGATGGCCTGCTCCTCCGAGAGCAGAGTACGATATCCGCAAACTGGCTCAACACACCTTGTTTCTCGAGGTTCTAGGAGTCAATAATTGTCCATGGACTTCTTTACTTCTCAGTGAGTCGGTAGTTCCGTTGTGGAAAACTAGTTGGATCAAAGTCAGAACTGTTCTAGCAGACGGTGATCAGGAGGCTCTAAAGAGGGTCAGAGGACCCGGCCGTTGGTTGTCTATCGAGAAACAAACGTCATAGCCAATGCACGAGCACTTGTACATAAATGGATAAGTATTTTTAAGTGTTTATTAGAATAATATTTTATACAATACTCCGCACATTTTATGCGACCCTTACCCTTCATTCTGCTCATTAGCAACCTCATCGTCGTCCTCCTCGAGCTTCTTGATCTCCTTACCCTCCTCTTTTGCCTTCTTGTTCATGTAGTCCGTGGTGCACTCCTTGGTGATACCCTGCTTAAGCAGAAAGTCGAATGAGGCATCCCCAGTAAAGACATCGACGAAAGAAAAGAAGGCGTGGAACACATGTTGGCCCTTCTCCTCGGCGTAGATCTTGTCGTAGATGAACTTGTGCTTGAAGGCCTCGATCTGGTCGTTCCAGTTGTCGAAATGAACACCTTCTCGGCCAAACTCGCCCTGCAGCTTTTTGTTGTACGAGTCGTAGACGGGCCGCTCCAGCAGCAGACCCAGGGCGGGGGCCTTGGGGATGTTGATTCGGGCCTTTTCAAACGTCTGAGGAATGAGCTTCTGGGGGTCGGCGTTGCATCGTACACTGAGAGCAACCATGGAGATCATCTTTCGGATCTGGTGCAGCATGAAGGACTGGCCGTGGATCTTGATACTGACCCACTCGGTTCCGTCGATCAGAAAGGGATCACTACAGGTCAGAGACTTCATGGTTCGCATGGCCGAGGGGTCCTTGAACGCCTTGCCCAGAGTGAAGTTGTGGAAGTTGTGGGTGCCCTCGTAGATTTTGAGAATCTCTCTGATCTTAGCGAGTCGTTCGCCAGAGATTCGGAACTCCTCCCGGTGTCTTCGCTCGACAGCCTTGATTTTCTCAAGAGTGGCAGCGTCAGTCTTGGAGTCAGTCTTGACCTCAGACTCGGCCACCTCCTTGGTTTCCTCCCCCTTGATCTCATCAATACAGGCTCGCTTCATCCACTCGTCGTAAGAGACGCCCTGGGACTCGAGATCGGCAGCGACAGACTCCCAGTACTTCTTGCCCTCCTCGTCGGGGCTGGTTCCATCCTTGAGGAGCTTCTCGGACATGACAGTGCCAGGTCGAGGGTTCAGGAACGAGTAGGTAGGCATCAGGTACTCGTAGACTCGAGAAGAACACAACTTTCGGCACTCAAAAGCCTTGTTGGTTCGAGAAACGCCCCAGACACGCAGCTGCTCGGGCAGATGGCTGTTGATCTTCTCCACAATGTTCTCGTCCTCAATGATCATCTTCAGAGAGATGACGTTACCGGCGGCATGCACACCCTTATCGGTTCGAGCAGCTCGCATGAAAGCCGACTTTTTGGGGTCGTCGGCGTTGTTCTGAGAGATGGCCCCGGCCTTGACAAAGGCCTGGAAGATATCACCCTCAATGGTCTTTTGGGGAGGATTCAGTTGCATGCCATGGTAACCAGTTCCACAATATCCAATCATACAGGCAACCTTTCGCTTGGGCTGTCGCACCTCGTCGGCCACCAGAGGACCGTCCGTCTTTCGACGTGTATCTCGGCCCTCGCCCTGCTTCTCCTGCTCTCGTTGTCGGTCGCCTCGTCGGTCCATCTTCTGCTTCTTGGCCTGGTGATCGCCTCGAGGTCGGTTCCAGTTGCCTCCCTTGCCTCGCTTCTGGCCGAGATCGTGCTGCTCAGCCGAGTCGCCGGACGCACTGTTGCCGACGACGGGGGTGGTGGTAGGTTCGCTCATGGTGACGGGGAAAAATCGGCCTTTCAACGGAATCAGACGTTTGATCACTTGCAAAAAATTACCTTTCATGCAGTAGAATATTTTTCGCTGAGAAATGCGAACTACAAGTACAACAAGCTGTTCTGGATAACCATAAATCCGACAGCAAAGCCAGCATTACAGAAGCAAGAGCTTCGGGGCGAGCCCGTTTCTGGCTCCTCTGGATTTATTTGTAGTTTTTAATTCGATTTAATTCGGTTTTAAATCATATTTATGAAAAAAAAATACAGGGCTGTACTCGTCATACTCGTACCTGTAGTAGCAGAATAACAGTTCCAAGATAACAGACACACTCCCGGTTCTCTCCTTGATGGCATTAAATGTATGTATATATAGAATTCATTACTTATTTCATGGATGAATTTCGAATATTTCTAAAACACCCCGAACATCGACAGAAAAATATAAAAAATCTCCTTTTTTTCTCCCTTTTTTTTTGAAAACTCTAATAAAAAAATTTAAACAAACTTCATCGTCATTGGACATGCAGGTAAATTTCAACTTGACAACAGTGGTATTGTAGCTACAAGTAGATAAATATGCCCTGGATAGCCTTTGGGCGTCAGTCCAATGATGGTTGGTCTCAACCAGTCATTTAAAACATGTTACATTACAATTTTGGTGCTCGTAAGCCAAGATGTTGAGACAGGGTCAGACACAGGCTGAGATACTCCGTGGCCATGATCATAAGGCCGACTCCCTAGGGTTCAGTTTCGGTAGATATCAGTCATCAATTGAGATACCAGCCAACAATTGAGATACCAGCCAACAATTGAGATACCAGCCAACAGGAGATATCCGAGTTCAGGCCAGTCGCATAGCCAGTACAACGACCACAGGCAGCGGCATTCCAACAGGATCCAGCTTGAATCCGCTTATTTCTCCCACAAGGTGTAAACGAAAGAAAAGCCCTTCTCTTCCACAGGAGTATCTCGTCCAGGAAGCTCCACCTTGTCTCCCACAAAGTCTTGGAGACGTTCATAAGGCTGCTTCTTCCACAGACCCTGGTCAAAGCCCTCGAAGAAGGTGTCACATTCCACGTGGCCGTCGGGACAGGTAATTTCTGTCAAAAGCACGGCCTTTGTATGTTCGTGGACCAGCGCGGTCTTGTAAACCTGAGATCCGCCGATGACGTAAACGGTAGAATCCTCGGGGCACTTTGTAAGCGCTTCGTCGAACGACCGGGCGACTACAACCTCCTCGGGAGCGTCAGTCATGGGTCTAGAAGTGAGAACAATGTTGGTTCGATCAGGAAGAGGTCTGAACTTGGGGGGAATGGAGTCCCAGGTGGTTCGTCCCATGATGACGACGGCGTTCTTCTGGGCTGTAGTCACCTGTTTGAAGAACTTCATTTCTTTGGCTAGTCTCCATGGAAGTCCTCCATTGAGTCCGATGCCATATCGGGGCACTGTGGCTGCCAGAATGAGCGTAGTTGAAGGAGGCATTTTTGTCAGTGTTTGGTGCTGTTTCTTGTGCCCTGCCAGTGTACCAGTTGATCTGACGCGTATAATTTAGACTTAACGCGTGACCCAAATGGCGTAAATTAGCCTACCCAGCGGGGATTCGAACCGAGTGGATTTTAATCTTCAGTCCAATATGCACTGGTGGAAACACCGCTGTCTGTGATCATCAACCCACAAAACCACACAAGACACACACACACACAACAATGAACGTGTCTACAAGTACTGTTCAGCAGCAGCGACGAAAGCCCACGACCGTCAACGCGGTGCAGGACGAGGATGCAGCCCAGCTGAAACTCGGACCCGAGTTCGACGTGACCCAATACACCCACGACGGGTTTGAGACCGCCCTCACAGCTCTGTCGACCTCAGAGGCCCGATCTCTCATTAACCATACGCTCAAGAAGCGAAAGAATGACGCATTGGGTATTGAGAACACGGAAGACGATACCCTGGACGACGAGGAGGAGATCAACGCCAATGACGTGCTGCGAAAGACCCGGGAGTACATGAACATCTTCTCGCGGTTCCGAGAACAGCAAAAGGTGGCTGCGGTGGCCCAGATTCTGCGTCACCAAGACAACGCCGATCTGCATCCGTTTGAAATCGCCCAGCTCGGAACTCTGTCGTGTGATGGAGCCGAGGAGGCCAAAACTCTGATTCCCTCTCTGGCTGCCAAGCGAACCGACGCCCAGCTCCAGGAGCTGCTGGATCTGGTCAGAGAACATGACCGAGAAAACTAAACGGTGCTGTATTATAAATGGTGCTACAAGGTGGGTAATATATATTGTATAACAGCGGGTATGTGGACCACAGGCTAATGTGGTACGAGTAGCTGATGTACTCAAAGAGATATGACACAACATGACTACGGAATTACCGAGTTCACACTGCCGTTTAAATGGTACTGTACTTACTGTCGATACATACACTTGTACCCACGAGAACACATGCCCAAACACACACAGTCCCTCCATTCATGAACTTATCAGGTATTTTTCATTGTCGTCAGGATGCTCTCGGTTGGCTCCATCGCGGTATATATATTCTGAATCTTAGTAAGCAAAAAAATGGCCAAAAAAGGCAAAAAAAGAACAGCCCGACGTGGGGCTTGAACCCACAGCCTTGAGATGACCTTAGAGTAAGAGTCTCACGCTCTACCGATTGAGCTAGCCAGGCGATTTTTCTTTTAAAAAAGTCGTGTTTATCCATATCCAGGATTTACTTAGTCAGCAAAAATTATAATAATAAAAATAAACGATTTACAAGTGTATGATTTATTGAATGCCAATAACCTGGCCTACTAGGTATATAGCCGTAATGAATCATTAGAATAAAATATATAAAAAAACCTCAAGAAACAGTAGCTGAAATGTATTTCCCTAGAATAAAACGAGAAAAAAAAGGGGGAATAAAACACCAAAAAATCGAAAAAATTGCTACCTGTCGCAGGTCTGGGTCAAAAGATCATAAATTCAAATTGAATGTCCTTGGAGATATGTTTTGGTTCATTTCAACTCGATTCTGAAATATTCTGAATATTTTTGAGACTAAGCTGTCAAGTATGGAATAAAGATAAAAGGTATAATCACCATAAAAGCAAATAAAATCAATGAGAGCACATAAGTGATGTTTTGTTCCGGATAAATCCTATGCAAGTCTTCTTAATTTGTCTGATCACTTCTTTTGGGCTTTATTCAAGATCTTCCCTACAAGTACTTGTACTAATACACGTACAACTTCATCATTAAATCTAGTGTTATTAAATAGGTTAGAATTACTTAGTTTCGCTTGGCTCGGCCAATATGGGTGTTGTTGACCTTGGTGGCGAAGCGCAGAGAATTGATGGTCTCGGAAGCATGAGCCTGCATGGGAGAAACGTTGACCAACATGAGGGTTTTGGAGTTGCCGCCAAGCGAGTACTGCAAGAGATACGTGAGCTTGGAGTTTCTGTAGGGGATATGAGAGCCCTCCTTGGCAGTTCCTAGAGCATGTATCACGTCACCGAGACACGCCAGAGACTTGTTGATGTTCTGTGTTTCTCGTAGTCGGTCCCCAGTAGCGCCACTGTGGTTGAGACGCTCACTGCCTGCCAGGTCGATGAGATTGAGACGTCCGTCGCAGGACTCCCCAGTCACGTGGTTCTGGCCCTTGAGACTCACGATAAAGACGGAATGCGATCGCGAGGACCGCTCGTTAGCCTTGGTCGCAGCCACCATTCGGTTCTTATCTGACTTTCGCAACAGTCGGTTCACAAACTCGATATCTGACAGCAAGACAGGCTCTATACCCAGAATGGAGGTGGTTTCACTCTTCATGTCGTGCCGGATCTCCAGCTTCTTCGAGTCCATATCAGACGCCGAGCCAAGCAGGTCGTTGAGGTTCTCGTTGTAGATCTCAATGAACTGGCCGGAGATCACATAGTCCCATCCCTTGTCTCGCAGCTGCTGCGTCTGCTGGAAAATTAGTTGTAGCGTCTCCGGAATCACTCCTCCTTCTCCAGACATTGTGTGTGTCTTTCCAGAGCCCGTCTGGCCGTATGCAAAGATGCACACGTTGAAGCCATCAAGAGCAGACTGGACAAGCTGCGAAACTTCGACAAAAACGTCCGAGTTGGAAGCCGTTGGCTTGAACACACGGTCAAACTTGAACGACTGTGTCTTGGAGCCTATCTGGCCCGTGATCGAGTCAACCTGAGGCGTCGAGATAGTCATGTTTTCGTCGTCCAAGAACTCCATCTGCACAGCAGCGGATTTGTCACCTCTAGACTCTGATTCAAGCATGGGCCGTACCCGCGAAAAGACCCGAATGTTGCCCCGCAACTCTTGGATCTCGTTATGCAATTTCCGTCTTTTGGTTTCCTCCACGAGCAGCTTCTTACATGCCTCGTCTCGTTCTTGGTTGGCCTGGACAACGGCAGCCTTCATCTGCTCCATGGTTCCGTACTGACTCTCATTCTGATGCTGGAGCTTGTCGATTTGAGACTGCAACACGGATGTGAGAGAAGAGGCTTGGTTGGACGAGATCGACAACTCGTGAATTTGGCCCTTGAGCGTCGCGTTTTCTTGCTCGTATACAGCACACTTTTGCGCCTTGCTCTTTAGCTGTTCGGACACGCCCTCCAACTCGCGCTCAAACGACTCGTACCGCTCCTCCATGTGGCTTCGGGACTCGTCATGGCGGCGATTGAGCTCTTCAATGGCCCGTTTATGCTGCTCCTCAAACTTGCCACGTAGTTGCGTTTCGTCGCGGCGAATGTTTTGGATCTGAGTGTCCATCTCGCGTTTCAACTCGTCTACTTTCTGTTGAGACTGTGCCTGGAGTGTCGACAACAGCTCAGTTTTTTCATCCATCTGTACACGGATCTGCTCTAGCAGGCGTTCCAGTTCCTCAACGCGTCGCTCCTTCTCCTCCAGCTTGTCCACAAGCTCCTTGACGTGGCTCTCCTTGTCCTCCTTCTCTCGATCCATATCCTTGACTGACGACTCCCACAAGGACATGAGATTGTCTGCGTTTTCACTCAGCTCCTTGATACGCGCCGAGCCCTCGTTGATCTCGTGTTGCTGGTGCTCATTCTCACGCCTCAAGCTGTCCACTTTCCTCCTCAGGGCCTCGTTTTCGTCCTCCAGCTTTTGCTTCTCAAAACACATTCGGTTCAAATCGTTCAACACCTGCATGTGCTTGTTGGCATTGTCCTGAAACTCTTGTCGCTTCTGCTCCAGCTCCTTGTCCTTTTCACCTAGCCGAACCCACATCTCCTTGACCATGGTGGAGGCATAAGAGTCGTCCTCTCCACTGCCCTTGGAACCCCCTCCCATCTTGTTGCGAATCTGAACCGGAGCCGTGTGGCTAGGCGTAGGCGGCACAGACGGGTTCATCGAAGGAGCCCCAATGCCAGTTCGGCGTCCGTACAGAGTGTCGTCTTTGTGTAACCTGGAAACGGGCACCGGCAGAGCTCCAGGAGCAGGTCGCTTGGAGCCTATAGGCACGTTCTCATTGTTGGCGACGCTGCGGGGTTTGTGTTCGCTGACCTTTGCCGACTTGGCCACAAACCGGGGGATGCCGGAATTCGCCCCCTTGTGAGGCTGTAACACATTGTCCATATTGTGTGTCATGTATCGTATCGTCCAGGGGAGCTTTAGATGTTTGGAATTCAATTAAGCGGTGATAGTGTATGTTTTGATATAAGCTTTCAGTGTTTTGAGGGCGGTTGTCCCGGCAACGCAGGAGGACTAGGTTGGGAGGAGTCGAACCTGACGCAGAGGAGTGATTGAAAAATGCTTGATAATGATGAAAATCCGGAGATGTTTTTATACCAACTGAATCTCGCCGACGAGAGGAGCAAGTAGGTATAATTATTTTTCTCTCCAGATGGGTATTTGACGTGCTGGATGTGTGTCGTCTTCGACTGTGCTTTCTTTTTACGGTGGGTGGCCCTCCAAAATCGGGTCACATAAATTACCCAAAACCCTAACTATATGTGTGTTTACATTACTTGGACTTTTCAAGTAAAATTCTTCAACAAAAGATGGCTGGTTTTGAGAGGGCTACAATGGTCGTAATTGCACCAATGTTTTGTTGCTGAGAGAGGCCGAAGCCAATATTACCGCAGATGCAAACACATGACCTTTTTTTTGCGATGATCTGCTTCTACCATCCATTTTTACATCACCGTCATAACCTGTGTTTGGCTTTCTGCCGTGCATATCTGAGGCACACCACCAAAAAAAATCCTGGGAGAGGAAAAGGTGAAATTCTAAACCGATATTTTTGCACGCACTCACAAGAAAAAACACAGCATGGGTCAAAAATCAGGAGCCAAGGGCAAAGTGACCATTAAGGTGGAGAAGCAGGACGCCGCTGCTGCCAAGCCGAAGCAGCAGAAGGTGTCGAAGCAGCAGAAGGCCGCTGAAGAGGAGTCGGAAGACGAGGATCTCGACGACCTGGAAGGCGGAGATGGAGAGGAGGATGAGGGGGTTGATTCGGAGGAGGAGGAGGAGTCCGAGGACGATTCGGAGGATGACTCGATGATGGAGGACGAGTTTGACATTGACGAGGACGAGTCTGAGGACGAGGAGATGGACGCTAGTGCACTACACAAGGCCAAGAAGGCAAAAAAGGATGAGGCGTTCGGCAAGGCCTTCTCTGCCATTTTGGGCTCGTCCATCAAGGCGCACGCCAAGGAGAACCCCATTCTGATTCGATCCACAAAGTCGGCCAAGGAGCTGGAAGACCAGAAGCTGGAGGCCAAGGCCCGACGGCTCATCAAGCTGGAGAAGCGAAAGGCCGCAGAGAAGGACCGAGTCAAGACGCTGGTGCCTCTCGACGAGCCCGAAAAGGCTAAGGAGATTCTCGCTAACGAAAAGAAATTGAAAAAGGTGGCCCAGAGAGGAGCCATTCGAATGTTCAACGCCATTCTGGCTGCCCAGACTGGAGCCAAGTCGATGGACGAAACCAGCATTCTGGGAGCCAAAAAGCGAGAAGAAATGGCCTCGCAGATGTCCAAGGAAAGCTTTTTGGACGCCGTCCGGGAGGGCTGAATGCCCCGATATAGATATAGTTAATGGGTTGGATTATTTCAATTGGAGGTGTAGGCGGCGACGGGAAGAGCGTAGATAGGTATGAGAGTAAAACCCATTGGGTAGCCGTTTAGATGGTACATGGCAAGAGAGACATTGAGAAGATAGACATTGAGAAGAGAGACATCGAGAAGAGAGACATTGAGAAGAGAGACATAGAGAAGAGGATATCACCAGGATGGCAGTGAAAGTGCAGTACCAACAGTGAATCAAGTTAGTGGCTGAAATCTGATGACGATGATTTAATCGACACTATCTTTGAACAGAACTCATGAGAGGAGGTCTACTATGTAAGTACAGTGTGTACAAGCAGTACAGCTTCTTATCCCATTCCATCTCCCTTGGTTGGTGGACCAGAACCCCCCAAACAGATATACCTCCTCTATGATACTAAAATGTCGCTACCATCTCTTCATCACCTGTTTTGGGCGACTTCGGACGACTTGTCCTGATCTCAGCATTCCATCAATTCGTCAACTAAAGCCAAGTAATCCTGTTATATCACTCGGAGCAATCGTTCTCTTCCGCTTACTCAGCGCCGTTGGGACCACACGACGTGCAAAGTTTAAATGCTCACATTTGACGCAACTTCTTACTATGAGAAAGATATGAGTGGACGACCAAAAGGGGTCTTTAGAACGGATTAGGAGGGAGAAAAAGAGATTAGGGGAAGGGTTTGGGGATATTCAAAGCCCCAGAAATCAATCTGTCTACTCAGAAGCTCCCCTAACCCCGCATAACCCCCTCAATATTACAATTACCGCATCCAGCTGACCGGGTTAGGGTTGTCCACATGCACGATCAAAAGTATAAGATGATTCCAGTATGTGTAACACTCGCTCTGGAGAGTTAGTCATCCGACAGGGTAACTCTAATCTCCCAACACCTTATTAACTCTGCGTAACTGTAACTCTTCTTGCCACGTCGATCTTACTCAATTTTCCTGCTCATCATCTGCTGGATTGTTGTCTATCGTCTGGCTCTAATACATTTATTGTTTATTGCCCAAACAACTTTCATTGCACGTAAGTGAATTGTTTTATAACAGCGTTCGCCAATTGCTGCGCCATCGTCGTCCGGCTGTCCTACCGTTAGGGGTAGTGTGTCTCACACTACCGAGGTTACTAGAGTTGGGAAAGCGATACTGCCTCGGACACACCACCTGGGTCTTACGACTGCAGAGAGAATCGGCGTTACCTCTCTCACAAAGCCCTTCAGTACCGCCGCCTGTCGGGAACCGCGTTCAGGTGGAACAGGACCACCTCCCTTGCACTTCTTGGTATATCAGTATAGGCTGATGTATTCATAGTGGGGTTTTTCATAATAAATTTACTAACGGCAGGCAACATTCACTCGGCTTAAACGCAAAACGGACCGTCTTGATATCTTCTGACGCATTGACCACCGAGAAATAGTGTTAGTTACCGGGTGAGTTATTGTTCTTCTACACAGGCGACGCCCATCGTCTAGAGTTGATGTACTAACTCAGATTTCACTACCTACCCTATCCCTGGTACGCACAAAGCACTTTATTTTCTCACATATGTACAAAAAATTGTCCGTTAAACCCGACTTACTACAACACGAAACTAACACAATAATGGGCTGGTTCTGGAGTGTGAGTATTGACGAGAAAGAGTTGTGGCACCGGTGGTGCGATACCCACACATGTGTGGCTTTCCCAGAAGAAATGACGTTGTTCGGAGTTGCGAATTTCTTTTCTGGTTCGGGGCGGTGATCGTGGATGTCAAGTGAAGTGGGTGATGATGTGGTGCGTGGTGGGTTGTTTGGGGTGGTACAGTGAACAAGTGGATGTGAGGTTGGTTGTTGTGTGTTCTTCACTCAACGTTGCAACCTGTCTGCGTTGTCGCTGACAACACCATCTTGTTACATCAAGAACGACAGGATATGAACTAGTGGAAGTGAAATAGTGCAAAATGAACAAGTGTGTGTCGTTTGCAGATTGCTGCAACGTCAAGTTTGCGTACTGTGAACCGGCTACTGGCAGAAGCACATTCGCAGACACACAATACCTGTGCACCCGAGTCATGTGACTGGCGCTTTTGTTTGAAGCTCGCTAGCCAATGTTCCCACGCCTTTCGTGCATTTCTAACGCAGGAAACACCTAAAGACTTGGAGAAGCCCATGGGCCACCCCAAAGGCGACATTTCTCAGTGTCCTATCGACCACAGCAAGTTTTCCAAGCAGTTCGAAAAGAAGAAGGTCGAGGCTGAGACCTCATCTGCTCCCACCAAATGCCCCGTGGACCACAGCCAGCGATCATCCTGGTTCTCCTGGGCTAAGCCTAGCGGCCCCGATGCTAACAACAACAAACTGAACCCTCTCAACATGATGCCCGATCTATCTTCCCAGCGAGCTCCCGGCCAGTCCGTTGACCTTCCTCTGGAGCGAACCATGTCCACCATCCCCAAGGGCAAAGAGTCTAGTGCCGGTGTGTGGGAGTATCCCTCTCCCCAACAAATGTACAATGCCATGCTGCGAAAGGGCGGAGGAGAGATCCCCGAGGATGCCGTGGAGTCTATGGTGGACGTGCACAACTTCCTGAACGAGGGCGCCTGGGTGGAAATCTGCGACTGGGAGAAGAAGTACACGGAACGTACCGACGTGGAGCCGCGTCTGATGAAGTTTCAGGGTCGACCCAACGACATGTCTCCCCGAGCCCAGATGATCCAGGCGCTTGGCAAGGTATTCCCTGCCACCTTTGGATCTGCTGCTCCCTTTGACAGACACGACTGGACTGTTCTGCGAGCTGTTGTTCCTGCTGCAACAGAAAAAGATACCGTGTGGCAGGAGGTGCGATACGTGATTGACTACTACTCTGGCGATGATGAGGGAGAGTCTGGAGACACTCCTACGTTTGTACTGGACGTGCGACCTGCCCTGGACAGCCCTGGTGCTGTGATTGACCGAGTGGGCAAGTGGTCTTCTGAGACCTGGCGAAAGGCCATGGGCGAGCCTCCTCTTCCCAAGTACGTTCCTTCCAACCTTCGAGACATTGAGGAGTGACCGAAACTGTGAATCAGAGTTTGTGTAAATAGTAAATGATTTATTGATGTAATTACGGTGTTAGGGGAGGGGGAGGTTGAAGTTTTGCCATCTGCCGAGTACGAAGAGTCTGAGACCAAAGATGGAAGAGGCTGGGAGTAGGGAGACGACTCGGAGTTGGAAGATCGAGCCAGTCAAGAGTTGTCGAGACGATCGTATGAGATATGAAGAGGTCGAGAGTGGATAGAGAGTGGATAGAGAAAGTGGCGCTGTTGATACCACAGAGTGTTGTAAGCGACAGAGATGATTCGGTTGGTCACGCGGACCAGCTAAGGGTTTCTTCAAAGTAACACCCGGAGTCAGAAGAGAATGGGAATTGTTAAGAACTTGTTAGTATTATCTCAGCAAAGACAGAACTATTAATCGCTGAGAAGGGGATCGGCGTTCAGGGTAGGAAACGTATTCTTTCTCTAAAGAGAGCAGAAGAAGGCGTCATTCAGTATTAGGAAATGTAGAGTGCTTTTTTTCAGTCTTTTTGTTAGTAGAAAGATCTACAGAATAAAACATGGATGCATTCAGTTGCACATGGCGCGTAGACTCCCTGCTGGGAACAAAGTGTAGACGATCTAGATAAACGTGGTCAATGGCTGCCGAAGCTATGAGTTTTCACACTACTGGAAGGAGGGTGGGTTTCCTGTTGAGTTCAGTTCGAGACTCGGGTCCAATGACGTCACGCACGGGCCTAACGTCGCATGACCCCAAGACCAGAAGAAGCCTTGTACGTGTTCGGACTTAATACTGGGGAAAAGGCTCTGTTATATGCCAGTATTGTCTTTTCGGTGCATTGTTTGTGTGGAGTACATTCCCTATAGTTCAAATATCCTCACTAATAACTGACATTTGATCTCGGGAGAGCTTGCTTTTCTAAGTCATACCACAATCACGTTTCCCTTCTAGAATCCAGCTATAGGGACGTGTATATCACGTTTGTAGTGTACAGTCACATTGATTGAAGGCGATTACATCATTTGTTGAATATACACGTTGAAAGATAGATATATATATATGTTCGTAGCTATACCATCCAGTATTGTATGTACTGTGAATACAGTAATGCGATATGTGAATGCGATACAAGTACGTGAATGCGAACGAGTACGTGAATGCGATGCAAGTACTTGAATGCGAACAAGTACGTGAATGCGATGCAAGTATTTGAATGCGAACAAGTACGTGAACGCGATACAAGTTCCTATGCCTCTAGTTGTATCAGTGTGAAGTACATACTCAGAGTTACATCTACCACATCCTATGACAGAACATGAACGAGTTGTGGACAGGATCATAATCAGTCAACCTCATTTTGACAGGAAATGAGTTTGTATAAAACAGCTACGGGGACCATTCAGTTGATACCCGACTAAGATGTTCGTCATCTACGAATACTAGAGAGATATTGAAAAAATGAAGGTTTGAAATATCGCTTAATACGAGCGAGCTTAAAATAAAAAGTATAACATTTTCGAGCCGCACGGCGGGGTACTAAAGATGGAAGGAATGTGCACGAACATGGGCTGGGGGAAGGGTCAACACAGTCTTTTCGGACACAATTGGGCACAATCTGTTGATACATTCATTCGACTAATCCCAAAGTCGGCTGATCTACTGACATTGATTGGTACTGGACCTACGGTACCTAGTCGCTAAGTCGGCTGATCTACTGACAATGACTGTCACTACCAAAAGTTCAATAGAGCGATAGGGAGTCTACGTTCAACAGCATAAAAAGATTGGAATAACTGGGACATTCTTTACAGCGCTCCTGGCCTCTTCTCGATCGGAGAGTGAAGCTGTAAAGATAGATCTAGGACAGGCGGGGGGGTGGTCCAGAGTGGGACTGGACTCCCAATCGTACCAATGGTGACTCGAGTCATCATCTGAGAGTTAACGGGAGTATATAACCGACAAACTCGGTTCCCGGGGACTTTGTGAATCAATATGGGTAGCTCTGCTGGCATTAGCAGATGGGAAGGCGACGTCGGTGATGTACCAATGAAGACTCTATCAATGCTGCCAGAGTTGCCAAAGGAAGCCGCTAATGTAGATGTTGAAGTCGGGGTCGGAGTTATTATGACTCCATCACAAGGAATGACTCCCTTAGAAGCCATATCTAATATCAGTGTCACCAGTCTTCCCAGAAGTTTTGACGTCCTAGACGTCCTGGAATCAGACTGACCCTTCGTGTTGAACCCTTGCCATGAACAGCTCAGTTAGTCATAATCTCAGACTCCGGGCGTGGACTACTGACGGTGGTAATTGTGGTTAGGCAATTATCAACTAGTTATTAGTTACTATATACAATGCTAAAATTATGTACTGCCGCTATTCGCTCTCCTTTCTGAGGTCGCTAGGCTGGCTCCCACTACTTCCATCTGGGAGGAGCCTCAGTTCTTAGTAGGCCTCCAATCCCATATCCCTGGCCCTTCATGTCCCTGATGACTCCCTTGAGTCGGGCTGTCAAAAGATATGTCTTCTTGGGCTCCTTCACTTGCTGTAATTCCGTCAGAATGCCCTGCTTCACCTCATAATAGTCTTCTCCCAGTCCCTCCAACATGAGAGTGTAGGTGTGAGCAGAAATAGGCACTCCGGCAGCCTTCATCTTACCGTAAGACACCAATGCTTCAGCCTGCTTGTCCTGCTTCAACAGGGCTCGCAGAAGATAGTTCCAGAACAGAGGGTTGTGGAATTGTCGATTAGACGTCATGGAAATCATGGAATGCAAAAGCTCTTGGCCCATCAAGACATCACCTCTAGCTGAACACTCGCCCCGTAGCACCCGCATGATGACATCGGCGTCGGGAACAATATCAGCTCGAATCAACGAGTCGAAGACGGCTCGAGCAGCAGGGAGCTGAGGACAGACTCGATAAGTCTCCGCAATAAGCCGTGCAAAAGTCTCGTGGTTAAGAGGAATGCCCTGCTGCTCCATCTGGGAGTAGATCTGCTTGAGAACAGGGAAAATCTCTCGGTCAGGAGCCACCTCCGTGATGTAGAGAACGTTGTACGCCAGTAACAAGACAAACGACTCAGGGGTAGTGAACAGACCCTGTTGCTCCATCTTGCTTAGCCACTTGGGCATGTTGTCGACCAGCTTATGTTTCAAGTAGTACTCCAGGAATGTCTTGGCGAGATTGAGAGAGATGTCAATGGTCTCTCTGGGCGTCAGGAGCTGAACAAGCTGCTCAGCCTCTTCATGACGCATTTTTCGCAGCAAACAGGGGATGTAAGCCTCCAAAATCTCCTGTGTCAATCCAGGAAGGTCGCCAGTGGAGACATCAGTCGATTCCTGGCCGCTGGGAACGGCTAGAATCTCGGAAAACAGCGTATCCGCCGATAGGAACATTCGGTTTCGAAGAAGCCAGCGGAACTTTAGGGCAAAGCAATGAGGAGAAGGTGAGTACCCCGCCAGAACCATTCCGTCCCATGCCTGTTGGAAGAACTGGGACTGAGCGGTAGTCACATGACTAGCAGCCTCCAAAAGAGCCTCCCAACACTCTCGCGAGGGCTCAATAGCACCCCCACTAGAAGATTCCATCAGCTCCCAAACCTGAAATGCGCCTGCGGAGTTTTTCAATGCAGAGAACGCCGTGATGAAGGCCTGGCAGTGCTCCAAGGTCAGAAGGGCACGTGACGATTTCTTGACCACGTGCCACCAGTAGTTGAGCTGGTGGGCAGACTTCATCTCGACTGCCCTTTGGACTTGCTCCAGAACCGACTTTTGCTGTGAGTACGTCTTTTGGACGTCCAAATACAGCTTGTACTTGGGCCTGAGAGTTTCCAGGAGTGCCCGGAGAGTCTCGACGTCCTCCTTATCTTTTGTGGTTTTTCTGAGCATGCTTTTGACCATCTTTTCAATCTTGTCTGCAGGCAGAACCGGCGCCTCGGGCCCTAGTAGTTCAATCAAGTCTCGAGCTGCTCCCTCGCGCGAGCCCCGCGACTCAAACTCCTCCACGATAAATGCTGGTGCGACCACAGACACAAATTTGCAGTAGTCACCGGTTCGGGTGCCCACAAGGCAGCCGTTGTTGACGTAGTCGGTCCACAGGGCGATGATTGTGGCGTACTGCTTCTTTTGAAAGTAGTTAACGAAGACGCGGAATATGGCTGGCGCAAACACAGATGCATTTTCTGGCGCGCTGACAATGGACTTGATGACCTTGTAGACCAATGGAGAGTCGGGATCGGTAGCCTCCAGCAGATTGAGCAGCTTGAATGTGGCATTGAGCGGGAGCTGTGGAGAAGGAAAGACTGTGGTATTGGCGGACGATGCGGTAGTAGTTGCTGATGATGTTGCTGGGGATGTTGATGATGTTGTTGCTGATGCAGCTTCTATCTGTGTGACTTCTGTCTGCGTCGATTCGGTCTCTTGTGCCTGTGTCCGTGTCTGGGCTCCTCCGGCCCACAAATCAAACGCCTGCTGGACATCGCGCTTGTTCAAGCTGGTCTCGAATCGTTTTTGAAGGTCGCGTGACTGTTCCGATCGTCGGGGAACACAAACCCCGGCAGGGGGACCCGGTGGCAGGCCTGACGGAGACCCATCCAGGCCCAGATTGACTGCCGCAGACGGCTTGGAGGTGTCGGTGGTGGTGTCGAAAGAGGTTGCGGCTCCAGACCGGATCTTGGAGCCTCTCAGAAGCCGTGAAAGCGAGTCCGACACATGCAGTTGGGTCTGTGTCACTGCCGACTGCGGTAGCGGCACGTAAGGCAGTCGGATTTTCGCCATGGTTACGGGGTGGCTGAGGATGTGGAGAGTTCAGAAAGAATCGAATCAGGAATCATGCAACTTCAAAGTTTGCAGGTCACGTGCCAAAATAGAGTTGAGGCGTCAGCCACTGACGTGGCGAAGCTGCGTTGAAGAGGGTAACTTTATGATGGAGTTAGGCGATGAGGGAGGAAGCAGGGAGGGAGGGAGGAAGCAGGGAGGGAGGGAGGGAGCAGGGAGAGATGGGAATAGTTTTAGTCACTGATTAATAGTGTATTTTTTTTTCTTTTTTTTCTTTTTTTCCTAATTTTTCCTCGTTTTTCCTCTTTATTCTTCTTTTTTTTTCTTTTTTTTCCCTTTTTTTTTCCCTCTTATTCTTTATTCTTTATTTTCTCTCTTTTATTCTCTTTCAACCACTTGAAAGCAATCTCCCCTCCCTTTGCTCTCCAATATAAGGGTTAGCGTTCCTTTGCTCGTAAATATTAGCCACTTTTCAATCTTTGCCACATTGCCTAACCACTCGCTCTGGAATGTTTAGTCATCCGTGCACTTCTTGCACATTGCTCCAGACATGTGCCAGCCAGACATGGCCACCAATGTAAGCCAGTCAGCACTTGGTGATAATCCGGAATATCCCTCCACCAGTGTCACACGGTGGCAAGGGCTTTCCCCTGTCGACACCTGCCTCTCCGGAGTCTAGATGGAGAAACCGAATCATCGAGGGCTTGGTACTGTCGGGAACCAGTGTCCAGACTGATGAATCCAAGAGCGGTTCTCCGAGTCGGGATTGTTTGGCAAGGTTCTGGAAGACGCCGGTGTTCCAGAAACGAACAACGGAGACTGACGACCCGACACGGCCATCGAGGGCATCCCAGACCTTTGAGTCACCAACACACCGATCCGACGGCCCAAAGTCGAAATCTTGCGGTGAAACAAAACACAAGGCCTCGAGTTGATGTGTTTGTGGAAAGCAGAAGGGTTCAACAGCTGTCTATGACGTAAACACACTTCTTGTCTCTTGGCGTGGAGAAGTGAAGATTGTCGCAATGGCCAAGTTCGGATCAAGGTGATACCATGAATGGAGCTGTTCAACCGAACATGGTCCAACTATATATGCACTTGCCTGGTTTGTGAAGTTGCTTTTAACAAGTTCTGCTACTTTGATGGAGCCTTCTGACTATGATGAAGCTTTCTGATTATGATGGTGCCCTGCTTCAACTACTTGTTCTCGTCAATAGATCATAAGTTGGTAGGATTCAGACACCTTGGAGAGGTACAACTACAGAGAATCGAATAAATTGTTTACAAACCGCTTAGGCCTGTGTAGAAGCAGCCTTGACAGCCAGGGTGGAGCTAGGGATGGCCGTGTTCTGGTAGATTTCAGCTCCGGGAACATCGCCAGTGAGCTCCACCACGTCGGACTCATCAGTGTACTTAGCCTTGGCCAGAGTGATGGTGTCTCGAGTGTTGTCATAAATAACCAGAGCTCGGGAAATGAGAGGGGGGCCGGTCAGAAGAATCTGCTGGTCGTCATGGTTGAGCCCAAGTCCTCCCAGGTAACAATCGCCCCGGGCTCTCTTTCGGATGTAGGGGGCCATGTCCACGTCGATCTTGGTGTTTCCCCACTCGTAGGTGAGCTCAGGTTTGGCATCGCACGCAATGCTCCAAGCGCCGTCCTCAAAGTGCCCGTTACCTCCAAACTTCTGCGAAATGGTCTTGATGGTGCCGTTGGTGTAGGAAGAGCTCGTTCCTCCTGTGTCAAGCACAATCTGGTGCTCTCGGGTGAGCGGGACTTTTTCGCCTTGGATGGAAAGGCCTCCAAGAGGCATGGCATAACCACCATGGTGGTCCACGTGCACGGTGGTCAGGGCGCCCTGGTACTTGGCCCGGTCGAATCCTCCGTAGTAGACGTTGTTGACAACACCCTCCGTCTTTCTGTTTTCGGGGTCGATGGGCTTCTCGGCGTTGAGAGAGTAGACGGCTCGAGAGATCTTGCCCGAGTCGGCCAGAGCCTGGACAAAGTTCACCTTGGGGTTGTCATCGGCAGATTGACCAAAGACTCCAATGTTGAAGCTGGGTCGTGACGTAGCCACCCAAATGTGGAAGTCCTCGATGGTCTGGCCAAGAAACGAAAAGGTGTCAAGGCCATTGTTGCCCTCGCCTCCCCAGCCGGCGTCGGGTCCGTGGGACTTGTATCTCCAGGTCGACGACTTGCTCACGTCGAATGAGGATCGACAGTTCTTGTGGGTCTCACAGGCTGTGGTGTTGGAGCCGGGCAGCCACACCTGGGGCGATCCGGTATCGAAGATTACGGTCACGTTTTGGGGCGGGGTTCCAACCTCAATTTCCGTCTCGTAGAAGGATTGGCCCATGGTCTGGGTGGCATGGAGAATTCCGCGAGCAGCAAGATGCTGGGCGATCTCAGGAGCATCAGCGACGTTTCGCACTCGGAGAGGCAGGTGGACAATGCCGGCAGCAGCCACGGTGGCAAGAAGGAGGTTACTGAAGAGCATTGTGAGTGGTTGCACAGCTCCGGGGGCGTCCAAACCCATATAAATACATTTTTTTTGGCGGCAAGTGGGGGTTGTGAAGGTATAGGATTCCATCGAGATGGGCCAATTGATTAATGTTGCATGATCGGCACGGGGTCTATTCGTTGCATGATCAGCACGGGGTCTCTCAGTTGGTGGAAGCTAAGGATTAGTTGATGAGACCAATCCGTGGGACATTTCGTAGGACATTCGGTGGGGCATGCGGTGGGACATTCTGCTGAGCCATTCAGTAGATCGCTACATCATTCTGAACACCCCCTCACATGTCCTGAGCAAAGCCTTGCTCCGACCTCACCTCCAGCCCGTTTGAGCCAGAGTCAAAGTGTCGACGATCCCTCTTTATAACATTCGAGCAGCTCTAATGGTGGGCGAGTCCATTTAGATTCGCTGAGATGGACAGCTGGAGATGGTGTTCGCCAGTGGCTCAGAGGATATGGCTCCGGCGGTGGAGATGCTGGTGCCATGGCATCTGGATCAACCAGGAGGACGTCAAGAGAACTGCCCCACAGTCCAACAAGACACGCATGGCACCACAAATGTCACTCTGAAGGTTTGAATTGAAAGTTGGGCAGGGTTCATCCTGGGAGAGATGGAACGTTGAAGGTTGTACTGGGGTCAGGTCGCAGCTTTTTTTATGCGTGGGTCCCAAGGCTTGAGTTCTCCTGGGTGGGGTTGTGGAGGTGAATTGGCAAGATTGCGGTTGAGTGGAGGTTGCGTTGTATCGAGTCGAGTTGCGAATCATCGTAAAGATACCGTAGACGTTTTCCTTCTTGTCGTATCGATACAGTCAAGGCCCATGGATCGAGAGGAGTAGATCTTCTGCACAATGATGTAATTGAAGACAAGGTGATCGAATAATGACTCAACAGAGTCTGCTACTGTGTATTTTAGCGATGGCGAGGATAGTAGAGATGTTGTCGTTGTCGTTGTCGTTGTCGTTGTCTACATTTAGTTGAGGAATACTGAGTGACGGCTGGAAGCAGTCTTCGGGGATGACTTTCGGGCATCCAAAAGTGTCGCCGAAGAAGAAAAAATGTGTCCCAAGGTCAATGGTTGCATTCTTTTGTAAATACTTACAATTCAAAACGATATTTCATAATAATTCCCCGATGTTGGGGTGTTATGGAACGGAGTTGATGGGGGTTGATTCACGACTTTGTTAAAGAATTACTTGACGAGTGAGTATGAAGAAAGACCAAGCGTACATTCATTTCAAAGGTTATTCTTTCACAGCAAAGTTATAATTAAATGAATGTATATGCAGAAAAAAAAAAAAAAACCTGGACAAACATTAGCAGATATTCCAGTGGTGCAACAACTGAAGAGCCGAACACGGCGTCTTATATTCAAATCACAACCACCTCTATCTGAACGGGGTTGGTGCATTGGTTTGTGTCAAGTCAGCATGGCTGCGGGTTTTTTTTTTTTTTTTTTTTTTTTTTTTTGATAAGCATGGCGGTATGGCAAGTAAACTTTGGAACTACTTAGATATACAGTTGGAAATATAGTTGAACAGCGTCTCAGACCTAGACAGCCAAACCAGGAAGGATAATGAGATGATAATCACCTATACTGTCAGATTACTCTTTGACAGTATAGGGAACAGCATCATACCAAGTGGCTGGCTCGGTCGCCAAGTTTCGAACCTGCGAATGGCGTTGTCTGGCTGAGACTGTTTCCCAGTCCCTACTCAACAAGCAAGTTGCAGAAGCGGTGTTCTGATGATTTTATCAATTTTTGAGACTCTACAGGGTTTCCGTGGCGACTTTGACTAATGTCAACTCCTCGGTCTATTCAGTGGACCCATTGTCGACACCTCATCCCCTTCCAGCATCGGCCAGTTGCGCGCACTACAGTAAGTAGAAACTAGTCGTCGTGCCATTGGCAGAGTATAAGTGTCAGCAGTCCGGCAAGTTCACTATTGACTCTGTTGAAGGTCTCCGAGTTATCATGCTGATACTGCTGCCTTACTGTCGACTGAACGACCATGTTCCAGTCTTTCCTCGGCCAGACCACTTCTCCAGGTCATTCAAACACTTCCGTAACAACACTTCCCGTACGGACCAACACTTCTCAGTAGCGTCCTTGACTTCAAGTACTCACCTTGGAACACCTCCAATCCGGGAATGTACCTCTCTCGACAAAAGCCAGACTTGAATAAATATCGCGGCATGCATTCGGTGCCAGGGATGCTATATCTGACTTGCTGCGGAATACGGAGGTATGGCGGGACTCTCCTGAAATACCGGACTCATACGCCCGTCAACAAACCGACATCCAGTATTGCAAGCTGGAGACTAAACCGACCAACTGAGATCTCATCCAACATTGTTAATCCCCAAGAGGCACTGTGCTCCGAAACCTGTAGCTGCCTCCTAGACCGTAAAGAATCAAAAGTGATGTAACCAACTGCTCTCGGAAGACCCAGATGCGCCAATATTGACAAGCGACAGACAGCAACTACAATCACAAGAATCTCAACTGATCTGCTACCTCCGTGCACCTTCTGACACGATAACCAAGGTCTATACGAGGGTGTCCATCACTGGTAGTACTAGCCCAAGAGTCAACGCCCTTTCTGAAACAAAAGCTTCTTTGCTCGGAAATATAAAAGCCAGCGGCTTCCTCTTCTGTTTCTCTCTCAACCACTCTGCCCGACACACTGAAGAAAAAGACCGAGAAGAAACCGGCATCAGCCTCTGCCCATTGACTTTGATAGCTCTTGACACTATCCCCACTTTCAGTTCTTGACGCTGATGCTTGTTATATTGTTTTTCAACCGACTAACCTAGGTCCTTGGTATCTAGATGGAGTCATCTTCTGTTCGGAACGGCTTCTGTTCTATCTCCCTGTGTGGGAATGAAGATGATTCCCTTCAATCTACTTCTTTCATAAGTCTGTCAACGAGCAGTCGACACTTCTTCCCCACAAAAAGTTCGCTCCGCATACCTGAGCGTTGGATTTTCTGGCCGTAAAACATCCTTTCCATGTCTCCTCCTTCCTCTCTCTTTCTGTTCAAATGGCTGTCCTGATGAGACGTGACCACCTCTGACTAGAGTCGAAACACTACTGATTGTGGGAGTAGTGCGGCAGCCAGCTAGTCGAAAAAAAAGAGTATATAGTAAATATAAAGCGTATGAGCGATATTTCTAGCAAATTACGTATCCTACCGTCCTCGTAAAATGATAGCAATGTCGCTAGCGCAACCTTGAGCCGTCTGCATAAGCGCATTCTTTGAATCCAATTAACCAACGCAATACGGCGAGACGGACCGATTTTTACGCTCAAAAGAGTTTTTATTGAGAAGAGTTGATATATTGAGTGTTCAAAGTACGGTATTTTCAACTACTGGTACTTGTGTTACCCCTTTCAAGCCGTTCTGCCGTGGTAATGCGGTAGAGCACACCAAACTACATCGAATGACATAAGCGAGAATTCGATGGAGCTCTGACAACAAAAAGTTTATAAATCCATTTAAAAGGTCTCTCAGTTTCTTTATCTGAAGTCCCCAACCTCCTATCGCTTCCCGGAGAGTCTCGTTGTAGTCGTTCGAAATAGAAATGGAGGAAGGGCTTTAGTAGAACATACTAAATCGTGGAACACCATACTCGCCCTCAGTTGCGCATGAGACATCATCTGCGGTTCTTCTACGCGTCGTAAAATCCACTGGTGAAGTCGTGGGAGCAACAGGGCCTGTTTCCGTCCAACGTGTCGCCGACGAGAGTGAGTTGGGCCTGCAGAACACTGCAAAATGCCGCACCACACAGGACGTGATGGAGTTGGCGGGGAGTTCCAGAGACCAGTTCACTCGGTCGATAAAACCACAATAAAGCAGCCTGTCAACTTCTCGTTGTTACTGGATACCACTTTCTTCTCTGTTATGTGTCGTCGAGTGTCATGTAAACAGTGTGTTGTTCATCAAACATGACAAGATCTAATCTTCGTAAAAGGCGACTTTTCAGACTTTTCAGACTTTTTAAAACATTCTCCTTTCACCCATAAAGCCTCCGGTGAACTCCTCGTACTCACCAGATGTATACCTGCTTGTGATACCGTTGTTCCCTCGTTCAGTAGCAAAAGAAACCGTCCCAGTGCAACAAACACTTTAGCTGGAGAAAACGAGTTTCATCTTGAGATGCTGACCCAGATTACCGCTCTGGTAACGTCTCAAGGTCCATATGTCTTCAAACAACATCTTTTCCAGTAGTGTTGGCAAGAAACGGTCTTCCTGAGTCCAAGCCAATTCTGTGGCCTCAGAACAGCCGTACCGACACGCAAGAACTCTGTAAACTTCTCCTTTCAAATTTGGGGACCCGCTAGGTCATCCCAGTAGACTCCCTGTACTCTCATATCTTTCTAATTGTGTCCATTATGGCATCCAAAAAGCAACCTGCCTTGCCATAGAGCGGGTCCAACAGAGAGTGTAAACTCACCTTCTTAGATTGTGGAGAGAGACAACAACACCTGCAGAATGTCTCCAGCACGTTTTTCCTCATTCTTGCGAACTTCTTTTGGCTCTCCAGCCTCCTTTTTACACCGCCGTAGTGTCTTGCGCTACGTGTGCTGCTCTGGAAATTTTGTTCTCGAGAACCAGCAGAATTGGAACCTTTTAACAAATACGGCGCCGTTATCACAGGGATGAGAGACGGCTGCAGTGCCCCACATCCTCCGTCAGAAACTCGGGTCTCTCTAATTCTCCACTAGGAGATTTTCAACGTTCGGCATCTCGACAACTTGATCTCCACCTCAACATTCAGATTACAGATTGATACAGCATTCCGAAGAACTCGTCAACACTTGGAGACAAACCTCTAATACGACTCCAAGAGCTCTAACGTCCTCTCATAGTGTCATGGGACCTCGGCAGCTGTTTTACCGGCCGGTGGAGACACATTCGACTACTGTCAAAGATGACATACGGAAAATGCAGTGAGTATCAGCAACGACTTCGTAATGGGGTGTTAGAAGAGTCGGATGGAACACACCACACTTTTTTGAACAACTTGGAGCTCTCTACGAATTCTCAGGGTCCGTCGAAGTCTTCCCATGACTGCTTTACAATGCTCCAGATTTTGGCCAGCGCTATGAGGCTTTATATTTGCTTCGAACAACAATCTGAGTGCTATCTAGTCGGTCTAGTGTACTTTGTGTGCTTCAGAACGGTCAGAATGCGTTATGGACTTTTCTTCAATTCTTTTATTCTCTTTTTTGGCACTATAGGACCTTGCTCCTCAGTGTATGGTCGCATATCACCACTACGAGCCAACAGGGAGTCCACAAAGTGACTTGACAACAGATTGAGCAACTGTCGCTCCCGTCTGTCATTATCTCTCCATAATTTCTCCATCTTCTGACATTGCTTCCTGGAGCTATACAGCAACAGTGTGAGAGACAGCAAAACACCGTGTCTGAAGCAGCAGCAGTCAGAGGTGAGTAGTGGGGTCTATATTGCGGGACCAAACTCCCTACTGAGCGACTATCCACTCAGTTGGCGACTCTTTTGTGAGAACAATTGGCCTTCTGCCATCCATCTTGTTTCGTCGTTTGCTCCTCTCGTTCGTCACAGTTAAACACGAACTACAGTCGAGACGTGAACTCCAGGCACCCCCAATCCGACTTTCCGCAGCCCCTCCATAGTCCCTCTGCTCTTCTAACACCTCATTGCACATCTGCATCTCTCAACACTACTCACCCCACTGCCTGACTGGACGGTATGACTAAGCATCCTAGAGCTCCCAGGAGTCGTAAATCGGCATGGTCTCCAGTCGTCTTGCACACAGCGCCAATTCCCAGTCTATTCCCTCATTGGGCCAACCATAGTCTCCCCAAATTCTTTTTCACCCACGAGACGAGGATCGGTGAAACCACACTAAACTCTCGATGAGTGGAGGCAACCGGCCCACTCGGAGTTGAGCCGCTTTTTTGGGTGCGTCTGGAGCGTTGTCTACGCCAGAGAACGTGGATGGGGACCAGAGGGTGCTTGAGAACTTGTCGTAGCTCTCCCGGGCCTCTTTTGGTCTCTTCCGGACTGGTAGAGTCAAATTTGGCTGAAAACGAAGCAGAATGTGACAAGTGACTACTTGTAGATGAAGAAGATCAAGCTTGGAGGATTGAATGGCGTGTTTGCAACTGCCGGAGCTCGATCCACCATTTCCGCCATCACGCTGTCCAAACATGAAGAACCCAATATCGCCAATCTTCAAGGCCTGGTGGGACCTCCTGCTCGCTTGATTCACTTCTATCTGGGTCTCAGGTCTCCTGCGATTGGTGAATCTTGCTAGAGCCTGAGCTACTGAGAACATACGTGGAGAGGTAGGTGGTTTGCGAGGAACTAAGCTGGGAGTCTTGGATCTCCCTTACCATGCTCCCATCATGTCCTGTTTTCTCCGCTTTCCCATGCTGCCATAACGTCCTACTGGATCACCCACACACCTCATTCTGTCCACGCATTCAACGCGTGCCCGTATGGATGTATATCTATTGTCTACAGGGTGATGTTGGAAGGTGGAAGATGAGATATCCACTGAAGAATGAACAGCAAGACCCCATATCCACCGAAAACATCCTCGGCTCTGAATACGCGTCCTTCTACCACGTAATGCCTTCCACCCTTCCCTCATCAATACCCGTGCTTCCACAACATTATGCCCTTCTTCCTTCCCAGGTTGGCCAGTTGGTGAGCCATATTGTTCCCCAGATCCTTGGTATGCGCCTTGACGTACGCCACTCTGATTTCTCCCTCGGTGGCTCTCTCACATCTCCAGATCTGGTTCAAAATAATGTTGAAATAGGGCGACACGGAAGCGTGTCTGTTCACCATGGTGTATGCCGACAGGCAGTCTGTGCACACCTCGTAGTTCTTGCCCGTGTTTCTGTATGCAATCATTCTGTATGCTTCGCGAATGGCGATCAGCTCTGCCATGGTGCTTGTCCGAGCGGCGCTGGCTCCTGCCAGGTTGTATCTGCACCTCTTTCCGAAGAACACCCCGTACCCGCTGAAATGTCGGCCGTAGCATACGGAGGTAGACCCGTCACAAAATACTCTCAGGTATTGCGTCATTGGTTCATTTTCAGCGTCCACACGGAGAATATCGCGTCGATAGGCCGGGGTGTGTTGTTGCAGATGTTGCAGAGAAAAACATTCATGGTGATTTCAGGTAGCAAAGTTAAACTGGAAAAAAAAAACTGGAAAAAACTGGAAAAACTGGAAAAAACTGGAAAAAACTGGAAAAACTGGAAAAAACTGGAAAAAACTGGAAAAAAGCTGGAACAATATTGAAAAGAAAAATAAAAAAACCCAATCGGTCCATCGCCGTCCGAGAAAGCCTCGATTTCGCATGGTGCGGAAATTTGGGGACGTGGTTCGTACCACCTTTTCGATGTCCAGGGGTTTTTTTCTCAGTCGCAAGCCCCGACGGAAACTGTGGATTTGACGATATCCGATTGTTCGGGGTTGGCGCAGAGACGGATCAGACAGAGGAGTTACTTGTGTGTACTACTGTAAGGGTATCTCTGACTGATTGGACTGGACCGGAACATTGGGTAAATCCCGATGAACATAATGGTATGTTTTGATTTCGGATACGAGCACTGACGGTCGAGATCTCAAGCTGTTTGTCTGACAGAAAGACATTACAACCTGGAACTCTTGTCACAGACTCATAGTTGAAAGTTGCACTAGTAATGGGAACATTGACTTGATCCCCGCCTTTGCGCCGATTTCGCCTTCGTTTTCAGATCTTCTAGACAGCTTACCATTCGTTTTCAGATGCACTTCAGCTTACCATTCACCAGAAGTAGTAAGAAACAAGTGTCCAGATCTTGTCACTGTGAACGGAGTTCTCGAAGTAACGGTTGGCATGAATAAGATCCTTTGATTGTGTAGACCCACTCATTTGCTATGGGATTGTCGAAACACTAGTCGTTTTCTCTTGTCAAAACTACCACCCTCCCGTAGAGCATGTGGGTTCTCGCAGTCCGAGTTGGGCAAAGGATCTGGAGCCAGGAACCGGTTCCTTGAACCGACCGAAGTGTCAAGGAGCCGGCCAGGTGTGAAAGTGCTTCTTTGTGAAAGTGCTTCTTTGTGGAAGTGGTTCCTCTGATTCCTTTAGTTGGTGGCATTCAGTGATCCGAAGCTGTGGTCCGAGCTCTAACAAATGAAGATGTTTTCTCTATCAAAAGTTTCGCGACCATCTTCAAAGACTTGGTGTTTTCCGATAAACTGAGCTTCCTGCCCTTCAGGAGAGGAAATGATATCGATGGCTTGAGGGGCCGTAACAGCCTCCCATACTACAACAGCTTCACTTTTCGGTGTCTACTGTTTTGGACGTGTCTTTCCAGTTGCTTTTCCACTGCCAGGAGCGAATGGTGATAGTGTACGATTGCTACGAGTACTGGACGGCACCGCGTTCTCAAGGCAATGGCAAATCATCTTGAACATTCATTGAACATCCATTGAACATCCATTGAACATCCATTGAACATTCATTGAACGTCCATTGAACATTCATTGAACATCCATTGAACATCCATTGAACATTCATTGAACATCCATTGAACATTCATTGAACATCCATTGAACATCTGCCATTCACAAGTTGATTAACCAAAAACATATCACCTCCATTCACGCTGACAGACGTCTGAATGCTTTGAAAGAGCTCAACCAAAGCGGCCTCCAACCCACTCTCATCGAGCGGAAGACTGCGTCGACGCCGACGTAAAGTACTACTCTGACGTTCGTAGGATCGTGAGAAAAGATAGACGAGCTTTTCGCTTGGATGTGTTTGCAAGAGCTATGGAGGGGGTCATACCACCATGGTAACCTCTTCCAACAGTATGAAGAATCCTCGACTGCTTGCTGTTAGATCAGAGAGAGCTCCGAGGGAATGTGTCCTCACAGCTATCTAATTGATTCTTGATTTATTGAAGGAGCACGAGAGAGGTGCTCCCGTCTGTACTGTACGTACATTCTGTATCCTGTCTCTTTTAAGAATAACAGCAATCTTCACTTGGCCGAGACCCCTTTTGGACGTTTCGCGGCGGCCTATGTGCATCATCTACTCTTCGGGACACAACGACAGCAAAAACTGTGTGAACCCGGATCCTCGCTCGGCCCATCTATCGGCTGATCCCTGCGTGCGTTCTCAAGGATCTCCAGTCATAGTTGAGTATCCAGAGAGCACATGACAGGCACAGAGACTGGTTGGAGTGCCTTACCGGTTCCATTCTCACGAGTTCCTAGACAGAACGAGAAGTTGAATCGGCAATGACGCCAGTGAAAACGTCTACGACGCTCTCAATAGACTCAATTCACCGCCCAACGCCCAGTAAACGCATTGTCGATCAAGTTAAAACTCCGACGAGAACATGCCGAGGTCAACCAGACTTTGACAGCGAATACGACGCCCTATCGGTCAATGCCATATCACCGACCCCATCCAGAGCAACGTTTGAAGATGGTTGCTGAAAACGGTGGTGCGATTATGCGAAGATGATGTCAGTATGTCGTCTCGGCTAGAATACTTGAATGGTGTGTTGTGGGCGCATTGAGATATTGAGATGAAGTTTGATATACCTTTGTGATCAGCCAAATGAGTGCTTTCTATTCCTGCTATCAGTATGGTTTTATCGTGTATATTGCTCGAGTTATCTGGTATTCTTGTGTTCTCACAACGCGAAAAAGTTCTTTGTCAAAGGGTCGTAGATATCAAATATCCTGACATGAAGAGATTGTAGAATGTAGGATTAACAGAAGAGATTGCTCTTGGTAGCACCAGATGTCCATGTTTCTGTTTTCAGCCGTGAGTTTCGGGCAACAGCTTTCCGCGTTTTGTTAGGCTTGTCCAATAGTTAGTTGGGCATGCTAAGTATTTCTGGTGGTTGTCAGTTAGAGCCCTTTGTTGTGGAATAAAATACTTGTACTGGTGTCCCGGACTCGACCTGGGTGACCTTGAGTCCAGTAGGTAAAAGTATTACTATTTGTAAAGGTTCAATGTCCTTCGATGATACCCGTCCAGTTCTTTCGCTCAACTTTGGAGAACATACGGATAACATAGAGCTCCGGTTTAGCCGATACAAGTCTGATATGACGTGAGTTTTTTTGCATGCATTCAGCGAACAACCGAGGAGAAGGTCGAAGGAACAACTCGGCACTGTACTTGTAATTGTTTTACGTCCGAATACAGCCTATCGATGCTCCGTCTACGACTACTTGGACATGATCTCACTGTCTTTGCTCGTACAAGTCCACCCAGAGCGACACGTGCACATGCACACGTCCGTCTCAAGCGGTGCAAACATAAACTTCGCATTCGACCCACTCTCGTCTCTCGATGTTCCCACAGTACAGTCCATTTGCGTTATCTCCCTTCGGTTTCAGGTTGCACCGCCTGGACCGATGCGTAAGAGCTGCAAGAGCAAGGGAGACGAGAGGTCTTGCTGATGTGGGGTCTTTTGAAGGCGAGGAGTTCGAATCGGACACCAACACAGCGACAAGAGGCGGTTTGACAAGTCTGCTCCTTTCATTTCAGCGCGACCGTCCACCTTGAGCGCCAAGACGGATTGCTCTAGCCGTGGGCGAATCCATGTATGATTGAGTTTAAAACGGTAGGAGACCTGAGACAGTTGGATGGAGTAAACATGGGGAGATGATCCTATGATAGATAGTGATGGACCTATAAACAACTCGTGTGCTTTTTCCGTGTCAAGTGTGCGTGGTGTCTTGTTCTCCAGACCATAAAGCAATCGTAAGGCTAGTACAAGTAGCTCTGACCAGCAGCCCAAGTTGCCAACTGAAGCCACAACGGCTAAAATTGCCCTGGGTCTAGTTCACAAGGTGCAACTCTTGCAGTTGAAACCGCTTTGTACTTGTACCTGGGACCTGACTTGCAATTGCAAGCGTCTCTATGGAGTAACATGGACATTGAGTTTGCACTGCCAGTCTCCAAGCGAGTATGCAGGGACGGAGCGCGACCCACTAAGCGAATGGATACATGAACACTGGAGAGAAGTAGGCCAATTCGCTGGGAAAAGACGTGACCAATGACTAAGCAGCAAGCCCAGCAAAATGTCACCATTTTTGCTACACCATTTGCTACCAACTTCCAACCTCGGTCCATGCATGCCCAGCCGGGTACCTGGCCCTCTCTTTTGCTTTTCCAACCGCAGCGTGATGATCTGCATTTTCTGATCATCCTGGAGATCGACAGACGATCCACATCACAACAGAGAACGGACTCGGGAGCTCAAAGTACCGGGAAGACCGACAGGAGAGTGTATATATAGAGGCTGGGGCCAGGGCAGTTGTGTGTCTTCAGTATCCAATCACTCACCACACAATAATGAAGTTCACTCTCGCTATCCTCGCCGCCCTTGCCACCGCTGTCGTCGCCCAGAACGACGGAGGTCTCGCCGACCTCAAGGCCCAGTACCCCCAGTACTTCCAGGGAGTCACCGGTCTCCATATCCCCGCCCAGTACCAGGGTGAGGTTCAGGCCGCTGAGAACCGAGCTGGCCAGAAGTAAACAGACTCTTACCACAGGTCTCTTACTGTACAGCAGTCTCGTCGCCCCGTCCCGTCTCGGTATCTGTCGCTTGACATTTCCCAGACTCTATTGACGACTCAATACAATTTACTCACTTTCATATGATAACACTTTTTATTGGAGTCACGCGTGTCCGTAGCACCTAAGGTACAGTAGCGTCGTGTTGATACTGTAGAGCTGGACTTGCTTTTTCAAGGGTCCATTGTGGTAAGCACAGTCGTAGAGGATTTGCTTTGAAGTCCTCTAGATCGAAACAGTCACGGGCAGACACTAACCCCAATGTTATGTACTGTGCTGGTACTGGTACTGGCGCTGTACTGAACTCTCACTGGATCACCCTACCCTTCTCTATATCGCTCACTCGTTCATACTCTATACCTATGATAAGACCAATATAGACCGCCCAAAGAGGACACCTCCTCCCGCTGATCGGGCCCCTGAAACAAGCCGATCTACAGACTCCATCCCAAAACGCTTTTTAAACACGTACCTTTTCCTCGACCTTGTACCCTCGACTCCCTTTCCTGAGCGATTTCCCCCTTCCCAAAGCAGAATCCGAAACAAAACCAACTACGATCGATAACGCCAGAAACAACACCACTTTTCCCTTGCTGCTCCCCAGCGGCCTTCATGGCAAACTATCCACCCCTAACCCTCTCACCGCCTATAAATAGTCCCATACTGCATTTCAGACGCTACTTTTGGTGCAGGGGCAGATGACTGCAAGTACGACTAGTACATGCGCGCGGGAAGAAAGCACATTGATGGACGTGTTCCGGGACGCCTACACAAAATTGGGAAACGCAGAGGGGATAGCGGTCACGTGATCAATTGATTTTTTGTCGGAAATCATTTGGAAACCTCGTCTCCGGCGCATTTTAATCACTTGTTTCCTTCGATCATCGGTCTTAGAGTTCGGGGACAATGGCAGCAATAGAGTTGGTAAAACTCCTTGGCGCGATGCTTCTAGAAATGGCGATTTTAGCAAGAACCTAGATAGCGTTGGAGTTGGTTTATTGGAGTCGGATTTTTTGAATTTTTTGGAGCTTTTTGGAGCCTTTTTTGGGAGTGTGTCTGCGGAGGATGTTTCGATGGTCACGTGATCACCATGCGACGTACCGATTCAGCAACGTTCTCCTGTAGCAATACGTCGTTAGATTGGTCATTATCATTAAGCGATATTCGCCATTTCCAGAGTTGCAACCTCTCTCCTTTCTTCGGCAATTGGGTTCGGGTTAGGGGGGGGGAAAGAGGAGAAAGAGAGAAGGAAGGGCTGAAGGAGCCGAGGAGGAGCAAGGAGGTCACGTGCGCGGAGTCGGCGAGAGCGATTCTAACTTGTGTCGGGGGACATGGGGCGGTGAGACACTATGGAGTTGGGCCGAGCTCATTTGGGATGAAGTTGGCGTCAGTTTCTGATAAATGTCGTTGTTGTTTCTCCTTTCGACCTCGGTACAGTATGCACAGTACGTATTGTACACTTGTTCTTTGGCCAATCTCCGACCAACTCCGAACCTCCGACATTAGACGAGATACATGGACTCTAACCGAGGTAGATTCGCAATTGCGATTGGTGTTATCCACCAGAACTCGGACAGTACTCGGCACAGCAAGGGTCAGCGATTTGGATATCTGCCTCTACGTCTCAGGGAGATGTTAGCCGCAGAAGGTGAGTACCGTACCCGCAGACGGTGAGTACGTGGGCCTCTGAGAAGAGTACGTGGGCCGCGGAGAAGAGTACGAGAAGTATTCATTACGCAAATTCAACTCTGTAGGTTAGACATGACTGCCAATCATCTACCAGCTTCTATGGAGGGAGTACCTACTGTACCTGTGGTTCGAGAGAACAGACAAGCAGATTCGGTCTCCATCAGCCTACCAGATGCTCAAATAGATGTCCAAATAGATTTCCATCAGATGATCGACATTTCCCAACCAATGTTCAGCTCCATTGAAACCCTTGGAGATGTATTTGTGTCGGTACCACCACTTGTACCCTCATAACCGGATGATGGATCGGAACATAGGGACATGTGACGATCCAGCAAAAAAGAACTTGCCTGCGCCTATTCATGGTCCCTAGCAGGATCGAACTGCTGATCTTCGCGTTGCAAAGCTGCTATCTTATTAGCACGACGCCTTAACCAACTGGGCCAAGGGACCGACGATGTTTTTCTGAGGTGACCAACTCGGTTTGGAGGTATAATTAGGGCCCATTAAGCGCGAATAGAAATGCGAGGGGCCCAGAGAATGACATTGACCCTCCAGATCGGCAAGAGATGCTCCTAGTCAGATATACCGTCGCTTTTATCGGGTTCTTCCGGGTCCAATTGACCAGAAAAGACCGACATTTCAGAATGAGCTTTTCTGAAGACGCAATACGAAAAGTCTCGGAGGCGAAAGCTATAGGGCGCTGCCTAGGAGTGAGTTCGACTAGAATCACTTCTCCACTATACCCTTCGTCGTCAATATTGGATATCGTGGTTGCTGTGGCACGAATGAACCTCACAATGTGAGCAACGGTCCGTCACTACTAGCAAGGACTTGTCTTCAGCCAACCTCGCAAGACTCATTCTAACCGCCGCAAGATCAAGTAGTTTTTACTTGCCTAACCTGGAATGGCCAAACATACCAACAGAGATGTCAGAATCTCACCCAGACTGGCGCTACATTCGAAACGGGACTCAGTAGGTTGGCGGTGTGTACATGTCAACACACTGCGCTGGCTTTTCATTCATATTTACAAATCAACAATAGCACATCCCTCGCCAGGCACAGTGACGACCATGGCGCTATCGTAATCGACACCATCCATGTCGCTGTAGTATTCCTTCTTCAGAGCGTCAATCACGTTGTTCAGCTTGGCTTCCTCAACCAGATGGACAGTAGATCCTCCCCACCCCGCACCAGTCAGACGCGATCCAAACCCTCCAGAATTGAGCACAATGTCGCACACCTTGTCGATGGCAGGACAGGAGCAGTTGAAGAGCTGGTCGCACGACTTTTGACTCTCGTTCATGAGCTTGCCGAGCTGCCTGGGGTCAGACTCGCCCTTGGACAGCAGGTTTTGAAACTCCTTGACTCGAATGGCCTCTGTGACAACATGCTTGGCCCGCGAGTAGAGAGCCAGAGTGTCGAATTCGACGGGGAAAATGAAGTACTGCTTCTTGACGTCGTCCTCAGAGACGTTCAGCAGGCCGGCCACCTCTTGCAGAGTCACAGGCTCCTTGGGCAGAGTTTCCACCAGGTCCAAAAGTCCGTGCAGGTCAGTATCAACAGCCTTCATAAGTCCGTGAAGAGTTCCCTTGTTGAGGTTTCCGTTCTGAGGAATGGTGACTCCCTTGAGACTCTTCAGAAGCACGTTGACGGCCAGAGTGATCTCCACAACCCGCAGATTGTAGTTTCGAGGCGCGGTTTCGTGTTTGTTGGACTTGACCAGCGTGTTGGCAACCAGAAAAACGGTCTTGGGGGTCGTTGAGGGGAACTGGAATGGAGTGGCCTTGAGGGTTGGAGCAAAATCCACCAGGAGAGTATGATTGAGTTGGCCGTAGATGGAGGCAGCCTGGTCCATACCGCCGGTGTTGACACCAATAAGCTGCTCGCACGTGATGGAGAGCCTGGTGAGCAGCTCACGTGACACCTCCTGCATGCCCTGGGACAGAAGAGTGACGAGAGTGGAGCACACCACAAAGGCAGCGGAAGAGGACAGTCCACAGGCGTCGGGGACAGTTCCATGGACCAACACCTTGATTCCCACGGGTTTTACCTCCTCTCCAGAGTCTCTCAGATGCTTTCGGCCCACTGTGTGTCCACATTTGAAGTAGTTGGTCCACACTGTTTTTGTCTGGTCGATAGTGAGCACCTGGTCGGCGGTCGGAACGTTGTACTTTTCTGCCGGGAACTTGTCGTCTTCCATGTTGGCAATCTCAATGGAGTCGCCGCCAACGCTGAAGGCCATGATGACGTCATCCTCAATCGCCATGGGCATGACACTGAAGTGGGAGTAGTCAATGTGCTCGCCAATGAGGTTGACTCGGCCCGGCGATCTCACCAAAGTCGGGCTGGAGACTGCGTACAGCTCCGAAAACCGCTTAGTCAGCTGATCATAGCGCGGCTGCTGCTTGGTCGGCTCCGCGTAGATGTTCGCCAGCGGCAGGGTGCTGATAGACATGGTCTTGTGTGGGTGGAGAGGAGAAGGGCGGACGGAATAATGGATCCGACGGAGTTTAATTTCGGCACTCTGGTAAAGTTTATTTCCCCACAAGTTAATCCGGAAAAACTGGGGTAATCTGGGGAGGCACGGTAATGGGTTGGAGGACGAGTTTTGAAGTTTTTGAAAAGGTGTTGTTGTTTTTGGAGGTTTGGCGAGAGTTGTTGTTTTTTCCCCGTCGCGATTCGAGTGGAAATTGGCGAGTTGAGTGTGTAGTTGGGTAGGAGGGATGGGCATTGAGAGGAGTATATGTATGTACTACAGTATCAGATGTTTTGCCATGTTTAGGTGGAGATGAAAACACATTGATGGCGGTGGAGCTGAATTCTGCAGTCAGAAAGGTGTAGGAGGGGTTTTATTGTCAGAGGTGATCATTATCTGTCATGGGGTCCAAGTATGTTCGACTGACTCAACGTTCTGATTGTCTGATTGTCTCGTTCTGATCTCGTTACTCATCTGCACGGAAAAGACACAACTAGACCCGAAAAGAGCAATAGAGACGTAATATGGACGCTAGACAACTGTAATATCTACAGGTACAGTTCTGTACATACAGTACTTGTACCACATGTCCACATCTACAAGTGTCTGACTCTGCTACCACTGTTCTCGCATGCTTCTCCTATGGGGTACCTCTCAACTCCACTAATCGACCCTAAAACACATCTTCATGAACCCGTGGTGTAATAGATATTGTTCCCCGGTTCACGACACGTCCAGAAACTCGAAATTGCGCCTTATATACCAACATAGCCGTGTCTAGAATCCACAGTGGGAACCATGGCGGGGGGTCTACATTGGGCACCATGGTGGGGGTCTGCACTTTATAGCAGTCAAGGTTCCAACATTTCACACGGCTTCGAGGGTCCATCTGCTGCACTTTTGGAAGGTCAGATTCGGACAAAATCTGGACAGACGCATGTACGTGCCATGTAGACGGTCCACACGAAATATCCAAGATCCACCGGTCAAATTGTGTCTTCTGGGGCCGTTTGAATGTTTCATCGTATGGAACTCTAAAAATCCTCGTACAGTAAATTTGGCATGAGTATCATCTTCTGGCAATGTGGGAATTTGGCAGCAATGGTCGACAAGAGGGTAGGGGGACATTGACAGACCATTTGTCAGCTCGTTGAGATTCGCAATCAGCAGAATAACAGCGCGGAAAACTCGTCAATAGTCTGGTTCTGGCATTGGTCCCTGATTCGAACAGAAAATTAAGTTGCACGTGCATGCACTAGTCATCAATACACGTCACCAACACAAGTCCACTTGCACACCTCTCTGTTCACATGTTGTCCAAGCTATTTCGATACGACGCGTTTGCCAAGCCGACGGCCGATGCGACGATCAAGACGGCTAGCGGCGGCATCGTCACGCTGCTGGCGATTCTGCTCATTGTGGTGCTCACCATCTCCGAGTACTGGGCCTACACCACGCCGGTGATGAGAAGCCAGATGACGGTGGACCGGTACCGAGGCGACCGACTGGACATTCATCTCAACATCACGTTCCCCCAGCTGCCGTGCTCGCTGGTGACTCTCGACATTATCGACTCGTCTGGAGAGGTCCAGCAGAGCGTGGATCACGATATGACCAAGGTGACTCTGGATGAGCGAGGCAACATTCTCAGCAGCGAGGCGCTGACTCTGGGTGAAAACCCCGACTCCAAGGCTGTGGCTAAGCGCACATTTCTGGACGACCCCAACTACTGCGGATCGTGCTACGGAGCCGAGTCCGAGCCGGATCAATGTTGCAACACCTGCGAGCAGGTTCGAGCCGCCTACGCCACCAAGGGCTGGGCTTTCACCGACGGGTCCGGGGTGGAGCAGTGCGAGGTGATTGGCTTCAAAGAACAGCTCAAGGCCCAGTACAACCAGGGATGCAACATTGCCGGAAAGTTCACCGTGCAAAAGGTGGCGGGTAACTTCCACTTTGCCCCGGGCGTCTCCTCGCATCGAGACGAGCAGCATTTGCATGATCTGAGCCACTTCAAGGACCCCGAGGCTCCATTTACCTTCTCGCATATTATCCACGACCTTTCCTTCGGAGAACAAGTTGATGTGAGCGGTCTGGACTGGGATAAGGGCGTCGCCATGGAGACCTCTCCTCTTGAGAACACCCCCCACCACACTGACAACAAGTGGTTCCGATTTAACTACTTTACCAAGGTGGTCTCCACCCGATTTGAGTTCTTGGACGGCAAGAAGATCGAAACCAACCAGTACGCCGCCACCGCCCACGAGCGACCTTTGCAGGGCGGCCGTGATGAGGACCACCAGAACACACGACACATGCGAGGAGGTCTGCCCGGCGTCTTCTTTTCGTATGATATTTCTCCCATGCGAATTGTCAACAAGCAGGAGTACAGAAGTCACTTTGGCGCGTTCGTCATGCAGGTGGTGGCCACCATTGGAGGAGTGCTGACCGTGGCTGCTGTGTTGGATCGAGGCATTTACGAGGTGGATCAGGTGCTGAAGCGAAAGAAGGATCAGTAAACATGAGGAGGGCATACGAGAAGGTGTCTGTGGGGAGAAGACCCAGACATGGCCAGAAAAGAAAACCATGGGCTTTTGTTTAGCTCCAGTGGAACCGACAGGCAAGTTAGAAGGATGGGTATAGATAATGATTATGATATGTACTAGCGCCGTGTCGACAGCGTTCTCCGGCTCAAAAAGAAGAGTTGGTTGCGGCACCTGATTTGATCCGGGGTTATCTTGGATATGAGCCCTGCGCCATGACGCTTCGAATAGAGGTTCTCATGGTCGCAGGCCCTTTTCTTTTCAAAAGTGGCGATGAATTCTGTTGGTGTCTTGAGGCATGAGTATGCTGGTGTCAAGACATGTTCAGGAGGGATAGATGAGTAGAGCCAGGGGGGGGCTCTAGACATGATAAGAAGTGGAAATGAAATGACGGATGTCTACAGAGCAGAGTTGTTCATCTTACGGGACTGATTCACAGCCCTTGGATGGAGTTCTAGACCTCTGGATCAAGACAGAATGGCGCTCAGGCGATAGAACACGCCAGCAGATGAGTGTAGACGGTGAGACAGGGACGGGAGGCAAAAAAAAGAATCAACTTAGAAGCTGGTGTGGGCCCAACCGGGAATTGAACCCGGGACCTCTCGCAAATTGCTCAGGAACACCCTAAGCGAGAATTATACCACTAAACCATCGGGCCACTGGATGAGTTTCTGTAAGATCCGATCGTCTCTTATCTGCGGAATAGTTCTCAGTCGGTAGATTGTCGCTGTCTAATCTAACCGTTGCTCGCTGTCTGTAATACGTTCACAGGCTGGTGATAACTTGTCTTCTTAATCATACATAAATGTCCTTCTTATACTACCATCCTCCGGGTGGGTCCCAGTTGGGAGCCACAGTCACACCTGCACGTGACCGGCACCATCCCAAGCCCTTAGTAAGCGACTTGGTCCTTACAGTTTCCAGGGAGGCAGAGGCGGATAGGACGGTGAAAAAGACGTTTTTTTTTGTATTTGTTTTGTCTGACGCAAGATTGGAAGATTTCAGGCGATTGTCGGCATTTTGGTGATGCTAATAGTGTCATTTATTTGGTCCTTGCGTGACCAGAAGACATTTTGCAATTGTTCGGAGTGGACTACGGTAGGTGCGGGTTAATAAAATGGGGGAAAGGAGAAAATGATGATTGTGAGCGAGTGTTCAATAACAAATAATGAAGATACAATTGCTAGGGATTCATTACATCTACTGTATTATCTTCTAGTGCTCATTGCTGGCAGCACGAGCACGGGAGGGCGTGTGTGGGAGACAGTTCAACTCGGTATTTGTCGTTGAAGGAGTATCGTTTGGGATTGCACATTAGTTTTGAGCCCTCCAAGGCTTCCAAATGAGAATTGGTACTTCGGTAGCTGATATCTGTTGGTTCTATTGGGGAGTTGAGTAGACTGAAGTAGCATGCCATCTACACAACAGTACCGAATCTTGAAGTATGACATGGAGGGACAGGAACGGACCTTGAACATGATCACAGTATCGTGCAATCATCTCTTCCAGTTGACGACCATTGCTATAATCTGTTCACAAGTCATACTTCAAACACCGCCGTTGGCTTCGAACATACTGCCGCTGAAAACATCACGAGAAACGCATGCTCCAGAGCATCTTAGACAATAACTGTTGTGTCACAGTGTTGTGAATGTAGACTTGAAAAGTGGAGTACAAAAAGACAGTCCGATGACTTCCAGAGTTGTTTTTCAAGTGTTGACCATGAGTGTGAATGAAGGATAGAGAGCAATCGCTGACGGGGGGTGCAGTCGGTGAGATGGAGCAGATGTAGATCCTGGTGAAAGAGAAGAGTTCGAGAAGAGCGAGTGCCGACAGAGGTAAGGACTGTTGGTGAACTGCTGTGGTACTGTAAGAGGTAGGGACAGTTGGTTTACTGTATGTACTGTAGGGGTGATGTAAGAGGAGGGATGATGTAAGAGTAACGTCGTTCACCCACGCTGCTGCTACTTAATGCGATGAGCTAGCACCTGAGTTCCTTGTCGTATCTATCGATACACCCTGTCTCTTTTCAACAAATTACTTGACTTGAAGCTACTCATTGTCGCTTCCTTCAATACCCACTGTCGCTTCCTTCAATACTCACAGTAGCCCCTCCAATACTCACAGCAGGCCTCCATTCGTCGCCTTGATCTCCTGAAGTTACGACTCCACTCCTCCGTTCGTCGAGTCTCGGTTCACAGTCTCGGTTCCAAAGAGTAGTCGTCATCGATTGTCCAAGTAGAGAAGCCGCTCACTTCCTCACTAAACCACTGTTCTGAACCGCTCCGGTAGCATCTCATACGGCTCCCCCCACTGGTGTCAATGTTGAAGTCGGTATACGCACATCTCGACAGTCTCCCGTGTTTCAGGTTCCCATTGATGTCGACAACAGTCGAAAAGTTGATTCACAACAGTGGAAAATCGACTTACAACAGTGGAAAATCGACTTACACCATTTCCTCAATAAAAAATGAGGTACCATCATTATTTATATTTAGCACTCTTACCACCACCAGTGCCACATTTTTCTCGTACATCCTCACACCACCCCAACCCCACAACTACTCAACCAACTAACGACAAAAACCCATGACAACACGTAAAATGCTACCATTAGATTTTGCAACGTTTAAGGGTCATTTTGGTGTACTCCTCATCCCCATGAGACCACTTTTCGACATACTGACGACTTCACCAAATTCGGAGAAACAGGACAAATCCCGCCACAGACATTCTAGAGACACGAGAAGAGCTTAGTATTGACCCAGACTTACCTATATAACATGATATCTAGTATATTTGGTCATCGTCAATCCATATCTCCATTTCAATCTCTATATATCATTCTGTCGTCTTACCAAGCAACACTTATACTCTCATAGCACCAAACACACCATATGCCGACATCGGAAGTTCGCCGAAATCTTCTACGAGTGCCGAAATCAATATATATCGACACGAAGTACTCACAAATACATGTCTTCTGCTTCACTGGCCTCTGAATCCACTTGCACAACTCCACTTCTAAAGCCGGTGTTTCTTCGCCACAAATGACGCTATCAAGCTGAAAAGTTGACTCATGACTAAACCGATTCAGAATGACACAAATTTGCACTCGGTTTTTTACCATCTGCTGTCCATCATCCCCCCAACGTATTTCAGCCTATCTCTTAAGACATGGGTCAGGCTCTCTAACTTTCTAACTTTTTTTATTTTTATTTTTCCCCCCCAAAAAAATTCTAACTCAACTGCAAAAAGCAACTTCTGGGACACTCCTCGTTTTGCAGAACGCACCAGCGAGTGAATAATGTTCAGAATCATGTTGGATTGCTCTCGAACGAGGAGTTCTTGCGGAGCCGAATCTACCGGTTGTGTTGGCTCCTTGTTCGGCCACGTTCTGGGTGCAGCGATCTGACGCTGAAACCACCGCCGTGGGGGACACTGGTCGCACCTTATCGACAAGTTTTTGCTTTCATAAAGCTCCCTGTCTCTCCGACCAGAAGCACATGGTGAACGTGAAACGGCGCACGGAACAGCTGCTAGCCGGAGATTCACGATCGACACTGCAGCTGCCCCATCCGCCATTTTGGGACCGCCAGGGAGATGGTGCAAATGCGACGCAGAGAAAGGTGGTGAACGAAAAAGAAAACATGCGCGGAAAATTACCGTCCAGGGAATTGACACAAATTCTCAACTGACACGTAATTGACTACAGACAGAGAAACGCCCCTTGGCATCATCGACAGGGTTAAACATTGACCTGGAGGTGGTTATGCACGGCTGGCGATGGTGTTTTTTGCAACTCTACAGCTAGAGGGTGAAGATGGGGACTTTAGACGGACTAGCAGTGATTCTATTGAGATACCAACTTGATGAGAGTGATTGACGACCTTTACTGATTACTTCAAGTACAGTACACACTATTGGGTGAGATGGTGCTCTTACGACTCTTCAACCAAGAACAGAGCTAAGTACAAGTACAAGAGATTTGGTAATCGAGCAAATATAACCTAGTGTCAATGAAATGATTGACTGGCTATATGACAGCTATGATTGCTTTATTTCCGGTTCTTGGCTGAGGTTCTTCAGATGTAAGCATGTCTCAGAGGGTGTGAAAATGTCGACACACACGGAAATATCGCGGCTAGAAACACAAGGAGTTGTCCGTCTTGATTCCAAGGGTCTTTTGAAGCGGCTTATCAACTTTGCATCGGTTTATTTCGCTTTATTAAGAAGTAAATTGCTGGAAAATACCAACATCGTGATAAAAATCAAGCCAGAAACGAAAAAAAGAAGCGTATGCGCAAAAAAGAACAATCTGGGTAACGGCAAAGGGTGTCTTTGTCTACTACCAGGAGTTTTTTAAACCCTGCCGCTCATCTTGACGATCTGCTGTCATTCATTGTCCAACTGATGTTCAGTCTATCACTAATATTACGCCAGAACAGCATTGACAGAAACGAAAAGTCGAATGATAGTCGCTCTGAGGTATGTCGATTTCAATAGTATACGGCATTGATCGCTAGATAGTGATTTGAAGTACTATCGGCGAAAGTGCTATGTGAAGTACAATGTGACGTACAACGCTCTGTAGACCTGTTTGCCGAAAACCAACTCCACCACTGCGTTTCCCGCGTCCTGATCCCATTGGCCTTTGCTACATAAATTTGATATAATCATCGCGAGATTTCACCTTGGCTCTCCGATATCGTGTTGTGCCCCCAAATGTGCCCCCACTCGCATTTTTCTTATCTGAGATGTGGTGTGGGAGGTCACGTGCGCCAAAAAATCGGCCCACTATTTTTTATTGCCCTGGTAAAAATTTAGCTTTTGAACAATGCATAGTTTGGTTCTTTGTTGTCCAAGGTTTGAGGATACAGCTATTGTTGGGGATGGCCCGTTACTAGACATGTGTTGAAACGAGGCTATTTTGAAGGGACAAAGGTCTGGGAAGCCGGATGGTGTGGTTTGTGGCA